CTTTAATAAAGTTCGTATTGGCCCTGTGGTCCGTGTGGCCCTTGTGGGCAACATGGGAAGAAGCCTCATGATTAGTAATGGAAAGGGACTAAATGAATTATCCAATATACATAGACATAATTCCATGGAAGTCGGGAAAGACTGGTATAAGGTATGATCATGATAGATATACATACATGTAGGATTGAGTTGATGCCACAGTAGAATCGCTGTCACGTCAATATCTTAATGAGCAAGCCCATGTATTGATATTCATCATTGATGACACTGGCGATTGGCGTCGATCTGAAGCCCGTATGATAAATAACGCGCCCGTTCGTTGGTCATCTCCAATCATGTGGCCTAGATCTCGGCTCGGAGATGGATCGTCCTCCAAAGGCCCGCAACGTGCATGCCACTGTTGAACAGGTAATAATGGGAAACGACTACCTGTTCGACCCCTACGGTTGGCAAACAATAAAACCACGATTCCAGTACAATGTTATTGTACGGCTGATATGTAACTGTGCTAGTAGGTCCATGGAGATTTGTTGGCCATTCTATGTTTGGGTCCGGCGTCGAGGAACGTGTCCTAATCTGGTGGGGGAGGTCAATGAGACGGCCGCATACGACACGATATCTTTTCGGGGAAATCGTCCGATCCAAGGAAGGCTATTGATAACAGCGCATGCACTCCGTACAGTGGGTGGTTTGTGGTGGTCAATTTACTGTTAGTGCCCCCCCTTCCCCTACTAGTGCCACTTGTTGCAGCTACGTATCTGGGTAAGCGATCGATCGATCGGAATGTGTGTGCATCCGTCCTCTATGGAGTAAGTAACTTCGAAGGCCAAGTGTCCACTAGACTCTTCCAAGTTCCAACGCACCGTTATACGGGTTTACCCCAACCCTTGACGCCCCAAAGGATGTTCTTTGGTTCCACCATATTCAATAGTCTACTGCTCTTACCAACATTCTCACGCTAGTTTGACTTTAGACCCATCATTAATTAAGGGAAGAAGAAACCCCAAGACATGCACTGTTGATAATCCAATCACTACTAGATTTGGTGCTAGAGCACGTATTGCATTTATAAAATATATGTGTGTGGTTGCGCATATCTATTTATGTCGAAGGAAAATGAGAGGGGGAGGAGGAGGAGGGGGGGAAGGGTGAAGCAAAAGAGGGAGGGGAGATGCTTTAAAAAAAGCTGGAGAGAGAATGATGACGATGGTGCCACCCACGAACGGCTATGCCCGAGATCTCGAGCAAGGGAAAGCGGGGAGCGTTGTACTGTACCATGGAACAAACCACGCAGGCACGGGTAAAATACAGAGCAGTATACCTGCTTACCTAGCCTTTTCCCTTTTTATCCTTTGCACTTCTCTTTGCTTTACTTTGTCAGGGTTTTCTATTGTTTCATTCTCTGTTTGCCTAAGTCTGTCTGGAAGCATTTATTTACGATTGTCATATACTATATTCTACGCAGGGAAGAATATCCTAGATCACAAGCATTGGAGAGGGAGGGTCAGGGGTAGTAAATGTTCATTCCTTGCGGGAGGGAATCTGGCCACGGCTGCAGCTAGGTTTTGGGTGGTTGTACTGCCCTGCATCGTGACTGGCTAGATCTCCGCCAGTTGCGATCCAACGGCGCATTTTTTTGGGCTAGCTGCAGCCGGTTATGGGCATATGTCTCTCTCTCAGGCTCTCTCTGTGTGTGTATTTATGCGTCTTGCGGATATGCGCTTCAGTTTGTTGACTAGAAATCGTTCCCAGATCTCAGCTTAGCAGGGCCAAGCCCATGTTAATTGACTGTTTCATTCAATCCCATGCAAACTATCATAAGCATACCTACTTACATTCTTCCCGTTCTGACTTGACCTTCACTTAGAGATCCTGCTCTTTCCTATTCAGCTCATTGGAAAAGAAGATCGAAGGAGGCAGCAAACCTGTCAATCCAGTGCTGGTTGGATTTGGAGTATTCTGTGAGCATTGCCGGGATCTCCAGAGGTCCATCATCTATTGAGCTGCAAGAAAATGGTCACCCGCATCTCGTGCTTTTAAATTGAGATCTTACAAGATCTTATCAACAACCATAAACTTGAGTCATTGCTAATGTGGGCGCCTTACTTGGCGGTTCGCCGTGGATCGCAAATTTGAGGAGGTTGAAAAAAAGAAAAGAATTGGAAGGAAACAAGCTCTCATACTGGAAGTGGAGTCCTAACATTTAACTACCTTTGAGCCCGGCCATCCGGAGCGCCTCCAGTTCCTACCGGCATCTCCAATTATAGTCAGTTGACTAAATCACCCAGTTGTGCAGGCACACACTTACCTTTTGATACAGAAGTAGTTGCAAGAACAACGACCCCCCCCATAATAATTCCCGAATAGAGTTGGGGCCAAGTAATAGACTCAAGGGATGTCGGGTGACAATCATAATGAGGACAAGGGATAGGAAGGGCATAGGAAGGAAGAGACCATCGTAGCCATTTATGTGATGGACAAGGGTCGCGAACACACAATGAATGGCAGTTCCATTGTCGTGGATAAGGTGATTGATCTGAGATCTTATTCCCTTCAACCTAAAATATTGTCTGAAATACATGGGCCATTAGGGGTCGTATCGGAAGAATCCTGTTTCAGTATTCGAGCAACGCTCTAATAGCGTAGAGTTGCCAGCTTTTGAAAGTATCAGTTTTTCGTTGCTGTTCTCAAAAGGTACCAATGACTTATGGACTGGGTACTTTGGTACAGTGTACCTGTCGTAGATTGTTGAAAATGGATTGCCGTGACTATTAACCTCTCCATCTTTTCTTCTGCGTACTCATTTCGTGTTTCTTTGTATTCCCGTGCTTTTGACTTTTCTTTCCATCTTCCCCTCTTCCAAATAATAATTTAAGTCCGCTGACCGTTCCCCTAATTTGTATAACGTGCGATCTATGGATCTCAATGAGAATTACTAGTATTCTATTGATTCGACGGCCATTTCCCGCAATGTTATTAATTTTCCTCTGACCCCCTCCGCGAAGGGCTAGCTCTCCCCTCTTCCGGTGCTCAACTTCCGAACTCCATATATCTTCCATACCAGTCTCCTTTTATGTGAGTTTCTTGACACTACTATGTACTGTACCTAGCGTTCAGAAAGGGTTCTTAGATATCAGCGAGTGGTCTCTGACCAGTATTAGGTTTTATTGGCAATTCTGGACAGCGACCGTTTGAAGAGGCCTCGATCCACGTTGTACGAGGGGCTGACCTCCCGAGAACAAAGGCCCGTCTGAGTTCCAAGTGATAGAGATGGCAAGGGAGAATACCTCATCTGTATAATATAGACGAGAGAATGTGGGATGGGGGTGCAGCGGCTTCTGTGCAGCAAACAGGAGGAAATACGTACTATGTACAGAATTTTCGTAAGATATGTAATTGTATGTACGAAGTAAGGAAAAGTGGGAACAGGTATTGGGGAGGGGGATGTAACTCACGCCGATGGTTTTTTTTTTTTTTTTTTTTTCTCATTTTATTTTTTACTTTTTTTTATTCCTTAGCAAAAAGGAAAAAAGAAAAAGAAGAAATTCTCGGGGCCAGGGACAACCCCCCCTGGTAAGGCTCCATCGCTCCCCACCCAGATATCCGCACATCGCCAATATGATCCCAACCCACTCCACACTTCGTCGAAGATCCGCAGTTCGCAGCCGTAAAGCTTCTGTAATTCGCCGTAACTTTAAAGTGGTCACGACCGCCGGTATGATTCGACGATCTCATAGTCCGTTCTGGCTCCTCCGCCTGCCTGTCTCTCTAATTTTCCAGGTCTGAGCTCATCTGTCCTGGGCCGACGTAGTTTTAGTAGCTCCTGTTTGGATCCTCCCATATCTCGTGTGTGTGCGGGCCTGGGTGTTGACTTAAGTGGGCTAAGTATAATTATAATTCTCTTTTATATTTGTAGGCATTATAACTATTATAATCTTCTGCGGGTGCTGCTCCTTCTCCATTGTTGTTCTTCCTCTTCTGGTCCTACCTACCCTGCTGGCGCAACCAACTACTTACCCACTCCTCCTACTAAGGTATTTACTCGCCTTTCCCTGCATCCTTTCCCCTCTAAATTCTTGCATTCCAATCAAGAGGAAGAAGTCAGATTCTCCTCTCCTCTGCCCGAGACATCCTCGATCCCATTGCCTTTTCCTTTTCCCTTTTCTTATTTTATCTTATTTTATTTTTCCTTTTTCCCAAACCCACCGTCCCCCCTCCCCTTGACATTTTACTTCCACCATCTCCAACTTCCTTTCCCTCTGAATGTCTTGAAGGAATCGTCTCTTCCTACGACGCATATCCGCTTGACGACGTTTTCCTTTCCTTTCCTTCCTTCCATTTCCTGCCCTTCTCTTCTCCTTCTTGATCCCTTCACTTTGCCGACTTCGATTACGCATCCATTTCGTTGCTCTTCGTTGGGATCGCTAAGGAAGAAAGGGTCTTGAAGAGAGACGGAAAGGAAGCGAAGAGGACCAACCATCTCCCTTCCCACGCGACGCATTCATCTTCACTATCCCTTGCATTCACTGCGCCTCCGCCGCTCCCGCGAACTCAAACATTGTCAAATCTATCTTTGAGGGAATTCGGCACAAATTTCTGACTGCTAGACCAGCTCCTTTGGCTCCCTGTGCAAGGTTTGACTCTGAGGCAGATGGTTATTCAGAGCGCTAGAAGGACCGTTCCGATTTGACCTGTTCGCTTGCGCGCTGCGGGTGCGTACCGGACTCTTTTGGTCGCCCTCTACAAGAGCGGCCTCCCTAACAACTGCGAACATTCTAATCGCGATCGCATCGACCTCAGACTTCCTTCCCTTTGAACGCCACCAGTCCGCCCGGAGCACTTTCCGAATATTGTCTTGTCCGCGAGTCGCCGCCCTCCGCCGCTTATTGTTTTCTTGGCCGATCCAGCCGAATCTCTCGTTCGCATCTCGCCCGATATCATCGTTTCCCACCCCCACAGCCGCCACCACCCCAGACAATCTTGAGTGACGGAAGAAGTGGCACGAATAATTGTCCCGGTATTCCTACTCACAAGGAGATCCTATAAATCTGGGTATTTTGGGGAAAAGAAAGCGGGCGAACACAAGGACCGGTAACGCGTGTCAGTACTCCGCACCCGATACGGTTGTCCCTCTCGCTTTCGAGTGTTTTTTGTACTTCGCCGCTTTCACCGTGAACGCTCGATCGACTTTCTAGTACAGTGCGATCTCGCTGTCTATCGAGGTAGTGCAGACGGTGTCAATCTATTAGCGGGACGGTTGCGACTGGCATTGCATGAGGCTGATAGTAGTTTTCTAATAATTCATTTGAGTTAAAAATTGCTGGCGTGATGGGGTCGTTAGAGGCTGAGCACAGACACAGGTATGTCTTCTACACTGTGTGGCTTGCCGCGAAATGGACAAACAAGAGCCCATTGATGGCGAATGTGCTAATTACTCTTTTTTTTGTCCGCTTAGGGAACATCTACCAGCACTTGGATTTCTTGGTAAAGACGGGCCTGGATACGCTCCTAAGCACCCCGCTATTGCAACAGCACCTACATCCTCCCCAACACCACTTATGAGTCCAACAACCATGTATCCCGGCCAACCTTTGCCTCTTACCTACTCAGCATCGACTGGCGCGGTTCCTCTGCAGGCTGGGTATATATCGCCTCCGGATTCGCGACGCGCACTTGATGAGGAGAAGGAGAAGCAGCAGCCACAGCCTCAGAGGCAGTCACTTCCGTCCATCCATGAGGCTCTAGGGAATGACAACCATCTACCATATCCTGCACCCTCCCCAGCCCCTCCACAACAAACTCATCACGTACCGCCTCATTCCTTACCTTCCAACATTGTTGGACGGTCAGGTACTGAGGGGCCTCCAGGGCCTCCAAATCCTTTCTCGAATGGAGCATCAACCGGTTCCTTCATAAGAGAGTCTGCTTTTACCCATCAGCCGCAATTGCAACCGGAGGCCTCAAGGTCAAGCTTGGCATCGATCAACACTCAAGACTCGAGAAACGCGTCGTTGCAATCGCTCAGTTCCGGAAAGTCGCCTACTCAAAGCACAAAAACTGGCAATACTTCGATTTCCGGCTCCCAGCTTGGTTCCGGCTACGAGTACAGTGCGCCTCCCTCCGCTGGTAGTGTAGCCTCACCCAATGGTTATGGCGCGTTTTCGCAACCGTTTCCATTCCAGTCACAACCCCCACCAAGTGCGCCGGCATATCCATCTGCTTCTTACGACGCTCGACCATTTATGGGGGCATCGTGGAAGCCCGGTGTCCCAGAAACCGCTCGTGTGGACGCAACCCGGCCTCCCATTGCGGGACAGCCCCAAAGCGATTCTGTCAAACGCCATCTGGATATTTTTGATGTGGAGACATCCCTGAATGAGGTATGTGTGTTTTTTCTTTACCCCAAGACCAAGTGGAGCACCATCTCCATTTCAATTGGTCGTTTAACATACGGTTTCAAATTTCTAATCATACTAGATTGCCGAAATTAGCGCGAGAACTACGGATTTTTCGAGGATTTACGCGGCAAGGGCGCACCAAACCCAGCGTTCTGGCCCTATATTGGGTTCTTTGCCCTCGCTACATGAAGTTGAGGAGATGCTCGGCTTGCAGCGTCGTAATCAGGATGCGTTGATGCGTATACGAACAGCCGTCCTTAACCAGGAGCATGCCATAGCGGAGCAGATGGCACAAAGGAAGGCCTTTAAAGCCGGTGGGGCACACGACGATGTGCACATGGCGATGTACCAGGAGGATTATAAGGGCAGCGGCGGGTTTGCCGGCGCAGATTCGAAAAAACGACGAGGGGTACGTCTGCCATGGATATTATTTCTTCCATTTCCCCTTTCTCCCCTCGGCTCCCAACTTTCCCATAAGCATACCCACTTCTAGTTTGCCATCGCTAACAGCGGCATTTTTACAGAAAGCTGCCCCTCCCGGTCGTTGCCACAGTTGCAACCGAGCCGAAACCCCGGAATGGCGCCGTGGTCCCGATGGTGCCCGGACTTTGTGCAATGCCTGTGGCTTGCACTATGCGAAATTAACGCGCAAAATGGGTGCGAACAAGGCATCATCTTTGGGTTCAAACTTAAAACCCAAGACTGCCCTTGACTCCGCATCACCAAATAGCCATTGACATGTTAGCCTGTTCATTTATGTGGCGTTGGAAACGGCCTGGGATTAGAAGTGCAGGCGTTTTGAGTCCTGTTTCCACTTTTGATCATTACCTAATGTTGGTTTCATTTTGGTCTTCATTTGATCTGCTTCAGGGTCAAGGTATCCCTTTCGGATGGTTGGATGATCACGAAAAGCTCCGAGCATGTGGACTTGATTTGGTTTGGTCCTATTTGTCCCTGGGATTACCTTCTAATACCCCTTGCACGTTGTGGTAAAAGGCATCCGGATAGACTTTTGCTGTTTTCCTTTTTATCTTTTCTTTCTCCTTTGTTTCTCTTCCCTTTCCTTTTTTCTACTCTTCCATTTCTCTTTGCTTTTGTCTCTCATCATATCCTGGTGGCTTTAATCTGTACTTCGATTGTCATCGTTGTGCAACTGGCATGTATGCACCTGACTGTTGTTCAGTTTCTTTTACGCACCCCTTATCCTGGTGTTGTTTACTTGCTTTTCTGCTCTGGTTTACAATTATACCCCCCGTTTCCTACCAGTGTCCTGCTGCTTGTCTGGGAATTGTGATCACCTCCCGATGTGCCTATATGATGTTCATGCACTCATGTCCGTCGTTGAATTGAAGAGAGTCTACTTCCTCCATGTGATGACTACATGTAAACATAGTTTCTTTCCCCATGGCCTCTTTGATACTTTCACAGTCATAATGACAGAAATATTGAGTTGTTTATCACGCACACATGCACCCTCTACGAGCAATTTGGGAGGCGATAGAGTTTCCGGAATGCTCGGTCGGTGCCCGAAAAGACCAGGCGTAGGCCATTACGCCGGTGTCGAAGGCAAGTGTTGAACCATTCGGAGGTTCCGATCCTTCATGTCTCAGCCAGGGCAGTGGTTCTTTCCCACGGATCCTTAGTCTGGACTATTGAGGCGCAGGCGATGGGAAGGCAATAGCGCCCGATTACATCGGGGTTCCATGTCCCGGGATCTGGAAGCCGGTACTTCTTCCTTGGCCACCACTGCCCATGCCGCTGTGGCAATTGTTGGGGCAAGGGATGAGGCAAGATAAGCTCAAGAATTGCTTCTTTCGCCTTCAGGTAGCACCACTGCCGTACTGATTAAGGGCGTGCCACGATCTTGGCCACTATGACGGCCTGTATCCTTGGCTATGTAATGCTGTAAGGTAACGGCTATGATTTCCCAAATGCAGTCATTACGTCGTAGATACCCCCATATTTGATGCCGACATAATGCCATTGTGTCCGTCGGCGCCGGGTCAAACCTCGGTCCTGTACGGAGTACTCCGTACTATGAGTGTCGTGGGATGGCGGGATGGGAAACCGACTACCAGATCCGGTTTAAAAAGAGTTTAGGTAATCCGTCACAGCCGCCCGACATGCAGCCAATGAGCAGCAGGCGGAGTGAGCATCCGTTCACTAGAAGCGACCAGAACCACCGTGGAAATGCTCGACTTTGCATCATGCTAGGCACCTTTCAGGATGCACGAAGTCAATTTGACCTCAAGGCACGCGCCATAGGCCCTTAGTCACTCCCTGTGGCCTAGGTGCTTTGGCTCCAGGCGCGAATTATTGCCCTGGCAATAATTGATATCCATCCATTAGACCGTCGTACGACACTACGGGATGGGTAACCGTCCGATCATGTGGTACTTGCACTACCCCGAACTATCGAACTTGAACCGATCGGATCTGGTTGCATCTCATCTCATCTTGCAGGGATTCTCGAAAGCCAAACCGTGAGCCGATTGCTCCCGCTCCTACCAGAAATTTCCATCCGCATTCCATAAGATGCTTCCATGCCTCGGGATGATGCACCGACTTAGCAGGCGGTGGCTGATCATCATGGTTCATGGGACAAGATGTACCGCAGTCTGCAGCAAGATCTTATCCTCTTAAGCCCTCACCGCCGATTCACCCCTGTCACATATACTTACCGCCTTCAAGGCCTTGAAGTTCGGTGTACCAACCGCCACGGGCAGGCTCAGGATCTGAATAGTCTCCTCCAGGCTCCTCATAATCGGAGATCGTGTCTCATGTGCTTGCGAACTCTAAGACATAATCCAACTATATCATTGATAGGCTAAATCAGGTAGCTTTCAATAGTCCAGGAATGGAAGAGTTCACGAAACTAGTCTGGAACACTATTACTCCGTACCCTTCTCTTGGTTACACCATAGAGCTTGATGAACGGCACTTGCAGGTTGTGTCCGAGTCCTCACTGTTCGTCAACCTCGAGAAGAATCTAGCCAAATGTTGCTGTCCACACACCTCCGTTGGGAACTAGTGAGGTCCCCACAGAACACGGAGTATATTGGTGAGATCATACCATGTAAAACCTCCTCCGAAGGTTGATTTGGAATTAATCAACATGCCGTGTCCCCACGTCCGAATCCCCTTCCTATTGGCTGGGTCTCCATCTCGATCATGCCACCACATCTATCAAAATCTCAGATTGGGTGGCCCAGCCTCCATACCCGTTTCAATGCAATATGTGTTCTCGGCCGCCGCCGGCGCCCGACCCAGCACATTCAATCGATCGCCAGTTTGCCACAACCACCCCAACTGAGCCCTGTGTCACCGGCGGGATCTCGGGCGCCATTTCCACTGCATCTGTGCTCCGAAGCCCGGCCGATTGGGCAAATCGGGGTCCAATACGTCATGGAAGGGGAGGCTGGTGGCTATTCAATATATTTTAATTTGAATCGAGCTAGAATGTTCTTGATTTTGACTAACACTAGTGGACCATCTCTAATGCTCATTTGCATGCCCTTATCATGCACTCCCGGAACTTCCGTGGAGGATCGATCATGCATGGCCCCCAAGATTGGCGTACCGTGTATGCGCTTATTCATACTCCGTACATGACTTCGAGACGACTATACACCTCCAAAATACCAACTCGATTGGGTACTTACTCCGTAAGCCCCATACATAGATAGTACATGGGTTGAGTAACATGTCTTACCATAGACCCACTGTATCCAGACTGTCGGTATCCTTGATCATAAGCCATCGACTTACCGCAAGATGCAACTATATGCGGACTTGAGCCAGCTGGTGCATACAACTCATAGTTTGACACGGAGCAGTTGCCGTGGTGGCCTTAGGGATTGCCTTGCGAGCGAACCATCGATAGATCATCCTGGAAAGCTTCATTAGGGGGGTGGAAGGACTTTTGATATTACTGCTCAAAATGTCGCCTTTCCACACTCAGGAAGAAAGGTTGCTCCTTCCCAATACGGCACAGGTTACAGTGTATAATCAGTCCGTGGCCGCCGGGAGGTATCATTCTCCCTCAGCTTTTGTCTACTATGTATGATGAGCCTGTTGGGTCTCTCAGTGCAGATCTGAACATACTCCAGAACCCACTCTGCTGTGCTAAATGACACCGATGGGTCAGTGGCTCTCGGTATGCCCCAGAGCTGACACGGCTGGCTGCACAATCCTCGGCAACATCAGTGTTTTTACTTGTCCGGTTGACACCGAACCAGATTTCAAAGCGGGCCAAGATTGCCGCTCTACAGCATACAACGACATTCTTCTCTTTCATTGATCGGCGATAAGGGCCGATGCTTGGGTCAGTCGGGGTCTGTTCCTTATCATCGAGCCCACAGTTCACGGGCTTCATCCATTCCATGTTAGTATGGAGTAGAATCGATCTCTGGGATTGAACAACAAGGCTGTAGCCGTATCTGGTACTGATTTGCACTTGAAGTCCCTTTTTTATCAGAATTGATCAGGAGTATACACGATGGTCTGGCTGCTCGGACCCCGAACCATGGTTAGTCGAGAAAGTTTAGTCAGAATATCTCATCTCGGATCGGAACACGGTCAAAGGTGGATCGATGGCTTGGGCATCGGGATCTGATCTGTGACAGCGCTATGAAACGCAAGTCAAATCCGGGCGCTTTGTTTGGTTCTTACCTATCTGAAGCTGGAGACTGGACTCACAATCTTGGGTCTGCATCTTCTCGAACTCACTCTTGCTCCATACGGTCTCAGATATCCACGGAAACATATCATGCTATTTCTCTTAGCTTTGTGGGCCTGTCCTGCTAGTCGCGTGTCATGGGCCTTCGACTCTTGCTGCGTATCGAGTACGCTGCCAGCGGATTACTAGGTAGGCCGTATTTGGACCATACGCTGTATGCAATACCTGCTTACTGCTTAGATACGTACACGCATACACACATACTCCCTCGGTCTCCACTCATCGTATTACATACGTCAGCTTGGTCTAGATAGGACCAGACAATCCCTATGCTGTGGAACATGGCGCTGCATAGCTACTATGTAGGAACCCCCCTCCTAAGTATGCATAGGGACTATCTCAGACCAGCATTGGTCTTTTATCTTCGGGCATACATCAGAAGGAATGATATGCCTGTTACACAGCAGCAATAGTCAAATATGACGTACGGGCTCCATCTGCATGGTAAATCGGTGAGTGTTGCGAAACCGATTGTCTCAACCCTATCTGCATGAGAGTGCTTAACTCGAATTTGATATATCCAAACCAGGCAAGTAAAGCAAGTATCTTCATTCCTGTTCTGTGCATGCATGCATACATGCATACACACGCTATGCATCAGGGTAACCCTGCGTCAGGTAAATCTGTAAGCTGTAAGTACGAAAATTATGTATCAGACTCTTGAGTACCCCGTACATACCTTACTATACAGACACATTCTTATTACATACTAGAGCCGTATCTGCAGGTCGACCTACATACGTGTAGTCTTACGCCTCGTGTCAATCGAGGCGTTGGAATGCGATTGGACAGGATGGGGATTAACTTTAAGGTATCTAGTGGCTTTGTTGGTGCGATTACGGATACAGAAACCCAAGATGGGACGGAACTCGCTAATCGGGCCCCAGCCTAGGCTCCCATGCTATCCTATCATCGTCCATGGATGCCGGACCGATGGATATACTAAATCTCACTTCACCCCTGGAATGGAAAGGTGCCAACTCAGTCCCCCCTGAGACAACAAGTCGTGACTCGGGAACACGAGGGGGTGAAGAGGAGCCATAACAGACCGGAAGGGAACCGGAATGCACGGCTGCCTAAATCAAGTTGCTAGGATGCCTTAGGAAAAGCCGCCTGCAAGTATGCACGTAAGTGTGTGCGTGTTTGTGTGTGTGTGTACAGAACGGGGTTGTGGATATGGATGGATTGATGGATGGTCTTTCAGGTTAGTTGGTCTCCATCTTTAGGATTTGAAATTTTTCGATGTCTCACCCGCTTCTCCTCCCTATGAATGGTCCTAACTAACTACCTAGAGAAGATGGATGGATGGGATGGTTTGTGATGGGATGTTGCTCTTTCTACATCGTATCTAGTTCCTACCAAAACCACAAAGCAATCCCCGACGGGATTTGCTCCGCAGTATCAATTTATTCGTGATTCTTCTGTGGTAGGCTGATCCCATCCCTTTCCCCATCCACATCCCAACCATCTAGATCCGGCGTAAGGCTTTGCTTGAAACCCCATCTTCGACTCGGGTAGCGCCGCGATCTATCGGTCAGCATTATGGAGCTCATTCCCAATGCGGGTTAGAATAAGCGATCCCACGGGATGAGAAGAGCATGCATCTTGGGTTTCCGCGATGGTGCCTAGATGGAAAGAACCTCAGATCTTTAACCAAGTGGGTATCTTCTGCACCGTGCCCCACCGCGGATGACCCCGCTGAGTGGACGGAATGAAGAACCGTGATCGAAGCCCCCCGACCGACCGTCGACCATTGACCATCTTAAAATTTAGTTGAGGAGAGGGGTTGGTTGAGATTGAAGAATTTGGCAAGGCTAGAAGCAAAATGGAAGGAGAAGAAAAAGAAGAATTTTTTTTTCTTTCCCCTCTACGCAGTACTTCCATAGTGTTATGTTTTTTGTTTTGCCTCCTGATTGAAAATTCCTCGAACAAAGGAATTTGAAATTGGAATTGGAATTGGCTTTTCGATCTCATGAGTATGTTGTGCGACGATGCTGATGAACCTACTAGATACCTATGAGTATGACCCACCCACCCTGGATCATCGGGATCAGTTTAGGGAAAGTTTTGAGATCGCTGATCGAGATCGGTTACAATTTCTTCTCGGCAGAAGGGGGCGGGGGGTTCGCTACCGCGCGCTGCTTGCTCTGCAACTGCAGCTGACCTTGCCAATCCTGGGGGAAGAGGGAAAGGGGAAAAAAACAGGTTTTTTTTCCCCTGCGCTATCTGTCACTCCTTACTTTCTAAATTTTTTTCTATTTTTGTTCTGTTGCTTTTTGGTGGTTTTCTAAGGGGTTGTCCCTAGGTATACACTCTTGCTGGAATTTACTATGTGGGTGAACCTTTGAACTACCTTAGGTACTATATCCGTAGTAAAATTTGGCCTGGAGGATCAGTCCTCCCTACGGAGTATCAACTACCATTCAAGACCCTGATTAGTAAATAATGTGATAGGTTATTATCGCATCTCGATCAGCCTCAACTAGAAACTAACATCGACCCCGATTTTCCAATCTGCAAGGGTAGAAACAATGACAGCTGTCATGGACCAGTACTTATATCATCGCCCCGGGCGTGCGTGTCTTTCTTTTCTTTTTTTTTTCCTTTTTTTTTCTTAGGGAATCTAGAAGGCAACGGGTAAGGCAACTGCATTACTTACTACTCCGGACAGGGGGGAGGGGGGAGGGTCGCCTCGAACTATCTAGCCGAGTCCCCACTTATCAGACGGACTTCGGACTACGGACTAGATAGATAGATACTCGATGGCTGATGCACCTGTCCCGCACAAGCAAGGCTAATGCATCTCGATACTGACGGTATGTTGTGGAGGATCTTGGAAGATCGAGATTGCCGTCCGATCTGCTCCATACATAGCACAAATACGAATTTCCTCATCAGGGAACAAACGCCCTGCAAGGATATGTATGGAATGCAGTGACAGGGGTAGGTATGTGTGGGAATCATCTAGGCGCTGGGATGATCGGGTGGCTATGTATGTAGCTAGCTGCATCCGACCTAATATACGGAGTACATGAGCTTGAGAGTATAGAGCTTAGACGAGAGACTTGGGTGCACCCGTCAGCCTGTCGGCGGTGATTGTCTTCGATCAAAAACAATGGATACGGAGTACTGTCGCGTGCAACCCGGTCAGCGCCCTTGCATTAGCTCGCCTTACTCGTGGCTGGACCAATCATCGTTTGCCATTGTAAGATGTGGCTTGCTTATCTGGGGATTTATTTGCACATATTGCATACAGACTGTGTGCGCTGTATACTCTACAAGTCATATCGGATGAGATAGGTAAGATATTGGGGTAAGAAGGTTAGGTACGGAGTACTTTATGTGGGTGTAGGGACTCGGACCAGATCATAGCATCGTTCTAGATCGGGTAGTAACTAGATAGATCGGTTGACATCATGACAGCCTCGATCGTCCCGGTGAACTACCTACGTAGTACCTATGGGCATTGTTATCTATCATTTTGACAGGTTGATGTCGTGATTGTCTTGGGTGTGAAGTCATTGTGCTCTTTGCATCATGGACCCTGGACGTTCTGTGTAGTACAGGGTTCTCCTTGCTGATTGCTAAGGGCAATTATTGGCCTCGGTTGAGTATAGGAATATTACTCATAAGATTCAGCATCATTATGATATGATTGTTGAACTGGGAACTCTTGTGAGCGATGGCTTCCATGTCATATCTTCCGTACAATATCTAGAGTGACTGAAGACGTAGGGAAGGTGGCTCGAAGTAGTGATAGGGTACGGAGTAGACAGAATTAAAACATGGAATCATTGAATATCAGTGCTAACAGTCATTCATCAGATAGACTAGTAGCTATATGCTGCCAGTAGGTCAGGTGTGTAGGCGTTCTAAATGCGATGCCAGGAAGTTGACGGGACTCAACGATGTTGACTGATGATGAACGGAGAACTACACAACTGGCGCAAGCCCTTTATATAGTTGCCAACCTATGTGGGATGCCTCCTTCAATAGGAAGGGAAGATCCACAAGATCCTCAGGCAACTCCCGCGCGGCGCCGGATATCATTCACAGGGATGAGGTAACACTTTGTAATGGAAGTGACTATGAAGGAATTTTCCATCGATGACAAAGCAGCCATGATATAGTTATATTTCAACGTTCAGCTTCTCGACGTAGTGGTCACTTGTCTCACAAGACCTGAGGTCAAGAGCAAGTCATTAAGTGCCATACTTACGGAGTATATGGCCTAGAAATCCCCACTGACTCCAGGAATGACAGGTGTTGGTCACATGCTAGGATTAAGCTCACCTTTCGATAAGATAAAGGAATCGCGCATCACGTGCGAGCTCCCCTCCCTAACAATAGAGCAACACGGTCCTCGATCTATCATCATCATCATCATCGTCATCTTCTCTACATCACTAATTTGTGCTGGACTCAAAGGTTTCTTAGTTTGAAGCCTGTCTTATGGTGACCAACGTTGCACTCAGCTAGATCGCATACCGTGACGAGCATTCGGCTGATCGCTGGCGACATTGCATCATCTGCTCGAATCGACCGTATCGTTGAGTTAATCCGTCCAATTCGTTACACTACTAAGAATGGCGTGCCCTCTTGTACCGCTCGCAGAGATCCCGACTATTGCCCTTCTATACAAACTCAGGCACCTGCTTCCAGCCTCATCCCCTCGCGTGCAGCCCTCGAAGGCCTTTAACGACACCATCTCTCTGATCCGCAGCGACATCACGAAACTGCAAGTCGACTGCATCGTCAATGCAGCCAACAAGTCTCTTCTTGGAGGTGGTGGCGTCGACGGTGCCATCCACCGTGCCGCCGGGCCCGAATTGCTCCAAGAGTGCGAGGCCCTCGATGGCTGCGACACTGGCGACGCCAAGATAACCTCTGCACACGACCTTCCGTGCAAAAAGATCATCCACGCCGTTGGACCTATCTATGGCCTTGAACTGCGAAGGGGTCGGAAACGCCCGGAATCGTTGCTGCGTAGCTGCTACCGGCGGAGTCTGGAGTTGGCCGTGGAGAACAATATGAAAAGCATTGCGTTTTCGGCAATCAGCACTGGCGTGTATGGATATCCAAGTGAGGCTGCCGCTCGGGCTGTCCTCGATGAGACACGGAAGTTTATGGAGCAGCCGGACAACATTGGGAAATTTGAGCGCATCATTTTCTGCAACTTTGAGCACAAGGATGAGGTAGCCTATGAGGAGATTACTCCGTGAGTGATGCCCGGACTAATACCTATTGGTAGTCTCAGCTAATGACGGTTTAGCTTGTTCTTCCCACCAGAAGATCAGGTCCCCAGTGCCAGCAGCGACCTCGGACCCCAATCAGAATCTGACGGTGAGTCTTCGAAATCGGCAGAGATACTCGCAGCCAAGCTTCCTGACCCGCCAACCGTGGACCCTGCCTTGGACGGACAACCGGAAACTAAGAAGCAGAAGGTTAATACGGGCCATACCGACCAGAGCAGTAAAAGCTACTTCGAAGATTTTTCTATCAAATCCGACGATGACTGGGAGGAGGTTGACGGATCGGAAGACGGCCGCACCGAGAAGCTTGATGATGAGCCGGTGCAAGTCGATAGTCCGTCTTCTGAGAATGACGTGCAGAGCGTTCAGTCAGTTCAGTCCAGTGGGATTATTGAGATGGATGGATCGCATATGTCGGACAGTCTTCTAGCAAAAGATTGGTAGTTGCTTTGCTCCAGGCAACAATGAGGCAGCCATGCATTGACTTGATTTAGGCTTGGCGTTGGGTGGGTTGTTTAATGGTAGCGTTTATGGTCATGCAAAGCAGACCTTGAGATGTCATTGTTTCAGATGGCATTTCCTTATGACCTCATGTCTTTACGTGGGAGTATCTCAACTCTGATTAATGATTGCAATGGTGATACTCGTCGCGCCGCCGACACAACCCTTCTCTGTATACCCAAAAAGTAACTATGCAAACTGTGCAAACAAGCTCACGATATCGGGATAATTTGATAACCACAAACGCTGCATCTGATGCGACACCACTCAGTCTAGCAATTGATACCCATTGACCTCTCAATCCACCTCATCTCCTGTCCACAAACCGTCAGACATAGAGATTTCGTCTTAAACCTCCAACCCCACCAACCCGATCCCCGACCAACAGACCACCACCCGCCCACCTCCGTCCACCCTCCGACCTCAAACCACCACATCCATCGCAAACCCCCAACCCAAACCTCATACCGCAACCCAAAATGCCACCACCAAATAACCCACCCCCTCAATCGCCCAAATTCCGCGTCCTCCCCCCAGACCTCGCCAAACTCCGCCGCGGCGCTCTCCCCCGCTCCAAGCTCACCTCCAACCCCCAACCGCAATCCCAATCGCCCTCGGCCTCACAACCACAACCCCAAGCTCAAAAACGCCCCTCCTTCTTCGCCCACCTCCGCAACACCTACGCCTCCCTCCCGCGTCCCTACCGCACCACCTTCCGCTTCATGGGTACTCTCCTCCCCCTCGTCCCGATCGGGCTTTTCTTCTCCGAACATGTTCTCCAGGTCATGTGGGTGCGCGGACCGAGTATGACGCCGTACTTGAATGAGGATTATGAGAATATGCAGACGAAGAGTGATGTCGTTTTGGTGAATATGTGGGGTGGGGGTGGCGTGTGGCCGTGGGAGAGGAGGAGGAGGTTGGAGAGGGGGATGGTGGTTACGTTTCGGTTTGTTTTGTCCCCTTCATTTACCCTGGGTGTTTGGTTTTGGTGGTGTGGTGTGCTTGGGCCGGGTTGGGGTGTCTTGTGTTTGGGATTTTGCTAATCGTGTTGGTGGGGTGGTGGTGTAGGTCGCCTGCGAATCCTCGGCATATGGCTATTAAACGGATTATTGGGTTACCGGGGGATCAGATCACGACGAGACAACCTTGTATGAAGGAGACGCAGATCGTGCCGTATAATCATGTTTGGTTGGAGGGGGATGCCCAGGATCCGAAGAAGACCATGGATAGTAATTCTTATGGGCCGGTGAGTATTAGTTTGATTACGGGCCGGGTGATGGCTGTGTTGCATCCAAGGTGGAGGTGGTTGGATTGGTCGGATTGGGAGAATGGGGTCGTGGAGGGGGATGTGGAGAGGAGGTTTGGGGAGGATTATAGGCAGGAGGTGCGTGATCGGGTGTTGAAGGAGGCTGTCAAGTTGGAGAGGCCGTTCTTGGAGTGAACGGGTGGTTATGGATGGATTATGTATTATTATTATGCGCTGTATATAGACGATACTTTGCCTTGTATTAGATAGAAGCATCATGGAGCGGTAGATCTGCCTGCAGAAATTGACACTCGATGTCCCTGTGCTTGGTATGCTATGTGATTATGCGCACATCCTCCGGTTGATCCTCCTGTAACCGATTAATCTCGGATGCGATACTCAGCACCCACCGGTCCTTCTCTATCCGACTCCGGGCTTTGAACACAATGGTCCGCCCGTGGACTCCAAGCGTTGACACTTGCTTGAGCCTCTGCTTCGTCTGTCCTGTCAGCCCGTGCTCTCGTGCGCGAAATAGGTTCTTCTTGAGAGGCTGCCAGATTACGAATGTGATCGCCGTGTCTTCATCGCTGCTTGTGTAGACATCCGACGAAAGATACACCCGAGGTAAGGAATGGTGACCTGGGTGATTGCTGTCGAATGTTTGGTTCGCGTACAGCAAGTCGGAGTCTGTCAACAGACCGGAGTAGATATAACAGTCGTTGAGGTCGATGGAGGTCTCCAAGTTCTGGTGTATATGAGGAACTTCAACACCGTTGCGCTTTCTCAGTGAGCTTCGGAAAATCAGCAACTTCCCAGCCGTTAGGACAACATGGGTTTTCTTGAAGGTCGAATGGCGACGAGGCTTCCGATATAGCTGTCCAGATATCTACGTTATGATGTAAGTATCTAACAGTATCTAACAGTCTCTATCAGCAGAACGGAGCACATACCTTAATTGTCCGACAGCCTGACAGCAAGCATACGTTGTGCAACAACGGCGATGCTTCCGCCTTCTTGACCTCCCACTTTTTAGCAAATTGTCCCATGATGGATTCCAATTCTTCATCGATCCCCAACAGCTCCAGATTGCGCTGCCGGAGAGCCTTGATCTCAGCCGCATCAGTTGCGATTTTGTCTTTCCAGTATTTGACTAGAGCCTCAAGTCGCTGCATCCATTCGTTCTTAGTCGTCTCATTGTACGCCTGGAAACGGACGACGAGCTTGTTGTCTAGCAGCATCTCAAAGGTTCTGTCGTCATCAAATTGCCGCGTTGCACCGTCATCCCGGTGCGTATCTCGAGAGTCAGGGTGGAATTCTACATCTGGTCCAGCCTCGATATTCGGATCGGCGGGACAACTACCACGCCGCACATTCCGCACCTCCTGCACCTTGCTAAGGTCGATAAAACCATCAGCATGCTCAAGATTGTGGATATTCCTCTGCCGCTGTACAAAGGCCTCCTCATCATGTTTTCTGATGTGCTCTTTGTTGCCACTCAGCAACCAGGAGATGTCCCCATCCTGAAGCGGATATGGGTCAACTTCATAAGACAGAGGCGATGCGTCCAGAATTTGCTGCGTGGAAGGCATATCAGACCCACTGCGGCACAGCCTTGGAGGCGCTGGGGGGAGCGACTTCGACGGTCTGCAGAAAAACAGGTAATGATCCTGGGTGAAAAAGTATAAACGCTTGAAAAACATCTTGTTCATTCGCTGATGTACACCCCGTTGGGATGTAAGACGCACCAGGAAGCCTTCCACAGGTTCAGGCTCGTCTGCTTTCTCTCCATCACGCTTGATGTATGTGTTGTAATGCTGCCTTGGTCGCAACTCGAGCTCATGAGAAGTGTGCATAGCAAGAGAGCCGTACATCCTTTCCTCATTAGCGCCAAGAATCCACTCCAGTCGGTCGTACCGTTTCCAGGCAAGCCCCATGATCTCGGTTTTGGACCACCTTTGCAGCACCTCGGCCCACTCCGGGCGGTTTTCCAGCAGTTTCAAACACCCCTGTACGATGGCTGTGGCTGCCGATTCTTCGTGGATTACCGCCCGACTGAGAATGCCAGTGTTCTTTTTCTGCGAGTCAAGGGCGGCTTCCAACTGTCCGAAAGGATTGTTAAACACAAGAGAGACGCCCAAGTCAGGGACATGAATAGGAAGCGAAGATGGGCGGCGTCTTCCCATGACTTGGCTGAGGAATGTAAACCATTCAACGGCGTGCGCGGAAGATTTCGGTCGAATGATGTAGATTTTGGTCCCATGCTTACATGGACCCCAGAGAACGATTGCTTTATCCAGATGCGAATAGAGATTTACCTTTGTTCTCTTTCGACCCAACGGCACCTCATAGACTGGAGCAACCCGTGTACCTGCCTTCTGCACCTCGGGTATAACACGGGTTTTGTACATCTGAAGTGAGAACGGCGCATCTTCGTCGGAAGCTAAACGACACGCCACCAGGTATTCCCGCCAGTGATCCACGACCCTTGTTTCCATCTTGTAACTGTCGTTCTCCGAATAATCATCAGGAAGCTTCTCCTGTACCGTCTCCTCGATCCGCACAAGCATCTTTTCGGCCTTGATGACCTCCCCTTCTTTCATCTTCCGTCGGTGCGGCAAATTTCGCGACAATTTAGCCTGGGTCCTCGATATTCGAGATAGGACTCTCTGTTGCTTGTCTAGTAAATTATCGTCTAGGTTATGCTTGGCGGCCTTCCTCGAAAACGGGTGTAATGGGTCCATTCTGGATCGACGCCCATTTCGGAGGGGCTCCTCTTCGGCAGTCTCGACCTGAGGCTCCTGCTGTTCAAGGTTCATGGAGGATGTAGTAGGGACCCTTCCTTTTCCTTTGGATCTCGAGTCCGGCCTTAGTAACGCGGTTGTAGACCCATAATCACTAGCAGGTGCCAAGGGACTTGACTGACTGGCTCCATTTTGGCTTGGGGTACTTAGCGTTTGCTTGCTTGATCCTTGCTCAAGCTGCTCCGCGTTCATGGTGCTTGAGGACGCCCCAGCCGCGTCATTGGGCTCCTGCTCCCTGGCTGTATAGTATGCAGAACTCCCATCCCGTTTCCCCATCGATGGATTCCAATCGTGTTCATTGTCCCCTTGATGTGAAATGGCAGTGTCTGACGCAGTGGTAGTGATGCGAGAGATATCATGATCTTCCGCGAGCGTGTAAGGTACAGTGCGGAGATCGCTTTGTGGGCGCGCTTCTTGGTCACTAGTCTCATCCTCTTGTTCCCTTTCCGTCCATTCATCCTCTGTGGTATCTGTTGCGGCCGGTGATTCTTCTGGTGCCGAATCGTCCTGGTCGGTGTCGGAGCCCTGTGTGTAATGCGCCACGATTGGATCTGCGGAGAAGGTGACGGTTTTAGAGGAATATTTGCCGAACTTCATCCGGGTTCTCCACCATGACTTGCGGTGGTTCTGCAGCCAGCCTTGGGGAATTGGGCCGATGAAGAACCTCCTACTGGTCATGTGCATATGCCGAGGAGAAGCATGATGCTTTCAGGGTCAATTTAAAGCAACACAAGGCCATTGCGATAGAGCACGTACCAGTTTCTCAGCGGTATGTGAGTCCGTATCTAAGCCATGATGCCGACGGCATTGAAACGCGGCGTGTGAATCAGTCGCCATGTTGTCGCTGGCATGCTGATCTGGGGATAAACGAGAAGCCATGGCATTTCTTGTAGCGCTCCACGCGGATAAACAAAGCAATTATGAAGACCGTATAGACCTAGACAAACAAAGCAGGCCAAAGAAGGCAGATCCGACAATGGCAGGATTTCCCAGGAACCCAATCATGGTGCGTGCCAACAATTGGGCGTTTTGTTTCCTGCAGTCGACACTGCAACAGGAACCGATGACGTCGCTGTCCGCCCCGTGACCGTGGAGGGAGTTTGCAGTGTTTGAGCTGTATCTTACCTAATCGAATCTTGGATCAGGGGCAACGGACCCGCTCATTGGCCTCACCGCTTGCGTGTCCCGCTTCCGGCGGTGTGTCTGAGAGTGTGCCAGGCCGGCCGTTGTTGTTGATAAACTGCCGCCTTCCCCTCCACGTTGCCTCTTCTTGCCCCTGGACCCCTGATTGTATTTCACTCGCTTGCATCCCCTGCACATATCTTCTTTCTACCTCCATAGACTCTATCCCACCACTAAAACACAATGGCTACCTGGTTCGACCAACAGAAGAAGTCCTTCGCGGACGTTCCTATTGATGCTTCCAACGGCATCTCGACCACCGAGTTCCTCGAGGCCGCCGAGTCCCTCACCACTCTGTTTGGTATGCCATTGACGGATTGGTCCTCAAAATACAGTGCTGATTCTCTTTGCCAGATGTCCTTGGCTCCAGGGCTTTCACCCCCGTGAAGAGTGATTTGACCAACAACATCAAGGTTCGGACATCGTACCCCGCAGTTAGCAGTCACGGAGACTTACCCCATCACAGAAAGTCAGAGAGAGGCAGCTGGCTGCCCCCGCCGAGTCCGAGACTCTCCAGGCCCTCGTTGTGAACGAACTCAAGACCAAGAAGCACGTCGCCTCCGAGGGACTGCTCTGGCTTGTGAGGTACGTCTTGCCCCTAACCCATCCAGCGGCTGTTTCTGTGGTACATCTGTCAGTTGGGTTACACATGCTGATACATGAGTCCTATAGAGGTCTTGACTTCACTGCCCAGGCCCTCCGTCACAACCTCAACAATGGCAGCACCGAGCTCTCCGACTCCTTCCGTGAAGCCTACGGCAACACCCTCAAGCCCCACCACTCTTTCGTGGTTAAGCCCATCTTCTCTGCCGCCATGTCGGCCACCCCCTACCGCAAGGACTTCTACATCAAGCTGGGTGATGACCAGGCTAAGGTCAACGAGTCCTTGGACCGTGAGGTGGAAGCTCTCCAGAAGAGAGTCGCCATCCTGAAGGAGTTCCAGGCCACCAAGGAGGCGAAGTGGTAAATATCAGGACATATATTTTCGATGTGAGGAATATCTGGCATATTACTGAGCGCAGTTTTAAAGATGTATATACTTCTAAGAGTCTGAGACTACCTGCATGATAACTAGATGTTTGAAATGCGCATCATTGGTTAAGACCACGTCATTTTCCCTCTATTAGACCGTAAATCGGATCTCTGTCTATTCTGCTATCCCTGAATATGTCGCATCTATATAAACCAAAACATGCTTTTATAGGAACCTAAATCTGAAACAAGTGGTGTCCGTCTCAACAGTCGATCCCCATCTAGACTCTATCCATCCCCTAACCAAGCCGCTAGCGCTACTTCGGCTCCGGCATGACTGTGGGTCCATTCCACTTCTTATGCCCTCGAACAAACCAGTCAATCACCGCGAATAACAGAGCAATGCCAAACACCGGGGCGCCATAGTTCATGCTGCTGGCCGTGACCGGTTGCGTCTCAGGCCAAGGCAGGAAGATGGTAATGTAAGTGCCGTACAGGATGGCAAAAACATTGATCGGAATACCCAGTTTTCCCAAGGTAAATGGGCCCCAGCGGATATCAGCCGGGGCGCGGATGCGCTTGATCAGCATGAAGAGGACAGGGACTAGGTAGGAGATGTATAGGGCGAGGGTATCCAGTGACAGGACGGCGTTGAAAGCAGCTGAAGAGCCAATATTGATCAATGCAATCAGTACCGTAATTGTCGTGACGAGGAAAAGAGATCGGAGGGGGATCTTGTATCGAGGTGATACATATGCGAAGAATGATGAGAATGGGAAACCCTCATCTCGCGCAAAAGCCCATGTCAGCCGACTAACGGATGCCAGCACGTTGAAGGATGAATAGCAGCCCGAAAGAAGAATTGGCAGCATCATTGCACTGGCTGCTGCTTTTGACCCTGTCTGAGCATAGAATATCTCAATAATGGGGTATCCGGTCGCCGAATCGAGTGCACTGTGGAAGTCTCCCATTGTATATAGCAAGGCAATAGCAAAACCAAATGCGAGGATGGCATTCAATACCAGGCCCCAGACCATCGACCGAGGAACGGCTCTAGGAGCATCATTGACCTCCTCTGACATATGAATAACACCGTCAAAGCCTGTTTAAAGGATCAAATTGAGCGTTAGCTGGCAATTTGCGGGTACTCAAAAGGGATTGGGGGCTCACTGCTCAGAGTGAAGGCTGCTGTCAGCAAGCCAATGGAATAGATAACCCCGTCGTTGTGCCATCCGCTCTGGTCAGTGACAAATTCCGCCCATACGAATTCATTCGTGTGGCGTTGCCCTAGCACGATCATGACAACCATGATTGCCGGGTAGGATAGTAGATGGATGACACCCGATAGTACTTCGACGGGTGCAAGAAGACGGCGGGCAAAAATGTTGACCAGCAGCGGCAGGAATAGGACTGCAAAAACGAGAAGAGTCCCATGCCAGCCTTGGGGGACGTAGGAGGAATAGTTCTGTACGAGAAGTCCCTGGATTTCAGTCCCAACTAAGTATGGCCCAACGGCAACATTTGCCCACCATGCTATGACCTATTCATGAATGCGTGCCTTCGTCAGAAAATGGACAGTGCTAATGCTCCAGCGGCTTATCAGCAGCTTACCGTGACCCAGCCTGTTAGGAAAGACACCAATCAGCCCAATGTGAAGCTTTCAGAGGCGTTTGTGAGCCACTCACCTTTAATAAAGCTCAGAAATCGAGGGGCAACAGGTGCTAGCTCATACGTCCAGTGGTATTGAGCACCAGCTACGGGATTTCTGGCGCAGCGGTTAGGAAGTTGCATCTAGGCACATGATCGCCTCTAAGATCGGGAACCACTCATACATGGAGGCCATCTCTGCCATGGACAGAGTTAAACTCAGAGAGCCAGCGAAAGATAGTATCATGCCGTAGACGATTGCGACTGGGCCGCCATTCAACAACCCCGCGTATAGACTAGATCCCAGGGATTCCCAGGATGCCTGTAAGGTTGCGGCGAAAGCTAGCATAGGTAGAAAGCCTAGATACCGCTGAATGATATTAGCATCCATTGGTTAATCTCGAGTTCCCAGTCATTCAATTGCTCCCTACGCACCTCAAGTCGCGGCTTCCCTCGATATTGGCAGGAAGATGGGGGTGGAGGATCCTCTATGCTCATAGCATGAGGACTCTTGTTAAAACCAGACATCTCAACTTGGTGATTGTAACCCATAACTAGTGGTTATCGTTGTCATGCAAAAAGAAGCATGCGTTCTCAGTCCAAGGAATCGGATACCTAACTCAGCGCAGGGAGTAAAAGAGTTGCAAAGAGAACCTGAGGGGGAAATCAAGCGGGATGGCATTGCATTTAGGAAAAAGCAATGAAAGCAAGCTAAGTATCCTATGAGGATGAAACTAACCGTCGGTGTCAAATGAATGTTGATTAAAACGGGCCCACGGGTCCAGCCGACCTGCAGGATGTAACCCCCGCCCCGATCTAGTACGAGGCTTGTAATTGAACTAAGCAGGGAACTCATCCTTCTGCGTTTTGTTTCGAGTTCTTTCTACTGCCACTAACCGCTCAATCCCACGTCTTTGGCCGCTGAGCGGAGCCTGAGCTGAGACGCATAAGACGGAAAAGTTTGGACCAAATCCCCCAGGATGGCCCCTGTCTGCTGGACTTGCTAGAGACTAATATACTTAGATCGTCTACGACGGAATCCAGTTAGGCTACACAATAGGGTCAAGGAAAAAATTCTTACCCCCATGGAAGAAGGAAGTAACCCCCTGTCAGCCTCAACGTGCAAAGTACATGGAGCTTATATATAGATACAATGCACGAGACCCTGCTGGTCTTCTTGATTTCTGCGTCTGCCAGTGCACTTAGCACCGAGAGCATGCTTTTTGCTCTATTGCCGCTATGTCACCATTCTCGTCTGAGCTTTTGCCACCCTTAGAAGCGATAACACCTGATAACAGAGGCCCAGCGCTCACAATTGTAGCCTTCATCTTTCTATTCGTGACTCTAATTGTTGTCGTCGTCAAATTTGGGTCCACGTTATACTCGAAGACGGTGCTTTTCAGCACGGATGCACCTCTTTGGATTGCTTTGGTATAGAGCCCGTCCTGTTCTTCTGGGACCATAGTTGATGCCAATGCACTGGCAGGTCATCGCTTTCATCCAAAGTCTTCTCACTCAATTTGCGGTTGACAATGGCCTTGGAAGACACACCTCTTCTCTTTCCTCTGCTGAATTCTCTAAGTACAACAAGGTCCGCCATCCTCCCATTATCAAGTATCTCATAAAGCTCACCTTTTTGTTGTTATTGTTTAGTTGACTTATGCCGCTCAACTACTCCCGATTTTGGTCCTTTCACTCTCAAAAGTGTCAACATGTCGATTGATTTACAGAATCACACCGGGTCAACACATCAGACAAGCCAATATGGTTGTCGTCATAGTTGTCGGTCTATGGACAGTTTTTGCACTTTTTGCCACGGCCTTTCAGTGTCGGCCACAGTGGGAGTATCTGCCTAGTCAATGTGCCGGGGAGGTGAGATATCAGGACCTCGGACAATTGCCTTGCCTAATAATTTTCAGGGAGCCGTTGCATACCCGATCATAATTATCAACATCCTTACGGACCTGGCACTGGTGGTACTGCCGCTGGTTATGCTTTGGAACGTGCAAATGCCATTTCAGAAGCGTCTCCAAATCATTGCTTCGTTCTGCGCACGGCTCATGTAAGGAGCCTTTACTGAACATACAACCTGAGCACATGCTGACAACCTTGGAGTGTGGTAGCAGTCAGTATCACCGAACTAGTATACCTGCCGACATACTTGCGCTCAAACGATCCAACATGTATGTCCAGTAGCCGGGAGAAGAATGGAAATGACAGCTAAGGAATATGGCATCTTCACAGGGACTATTGTCAACGTCGAAATTTGCAATGAGTAAGCTTTTTTGTCGGGTGACAATCTCTTGGTAGCTGATCTCCCTTTTTACAGGCTCACGATGTACCTCAGCATTATTGCAGCCTGCATGCCTTCCATATATCGCATTCTCAGCAGCTTAAAGTCAGGATTAAACGACGTCCATGTATCTGATATCGAGCTCAACACGACTCAAGGAGCTACCGGTTCAAGATCCATGTCTCGAAACCAGGCTGGCTCCAGCTCCCGCGCAAGAAGGCACTCAACGCTTTTGCCAGGCTTCCGAGGCACTGATCTATTCTCCAGGGATGATAATATGACGCAAAATGGACTGTATACGATACACGATAGTGGGGTTCGCAGGGATAGGGATGGTGCAGAAAGCACGGAAAGCACTCAGTGGCTGACAGAAGAAGATCAGCTACCGGTCGACGGAGTCAGGAAGACGGTGGACATATACGTAGAAGTCCACGATAATCCATCATGAACGTTTTGCATAGTCGTGGGAACACAATTGGTTGCGTATAACAGTAGGCAATTGATGGGCACTAAAATGAAGCCTATATACGGAGCATATGCCAGGCGCGTGGTGGTCTCTTTTCGCCTCCTTTTTAGACGGCTCCAACAAAAGTGAACCAGCGTAAACAATGAGTTTGTCGGACTTCGGTCGCTCATGTGGGTGGGCTTAAAGCTCAAGCACCCGCGGGTTGTCCGACGGTCCGAGGCTAGCAAGGAACCCCCGGCTTAGCTCTTAGATAGACTGCAGTGGTGAGATTCTTATCTCCACTTTCCCCTCTGGTCGTATTGAAGCCATTCTATCCCAAGTATCTTCCCGAGACACCGAGATAAACATGAGCATGAGCCTATCGAGAAGCGAGAGACTTATGACAAGGTAGCCCATAGATCATGATGCTTTTCTTTCCCGCATTGCAGTAGTTGGCAATAGTAAACAAAGTTCAGCATCCATATCAGTCCCCCACCAATTTAGTCCGCAAACGGTCATCTTTTAGATCATTCACTAGTGGCGGAATCCTTCCGTGAGCGATTTATAACCCGTCCAGTATGTTGCTAACTTACATAGTACGGACGGGGTCTAGACACTGACAGACTGTAAACCCCCATTTCCTAGTCTGACATGTTATGACAACCAACTCTAATAGGAAGTCATCAACGACACGCAGCGTAAGGTAAAGTGTGTGTAAGATAAGTCCGATTAATATGTGCTTAATAAGATCGGCACGTACAGTTTTCAGCTCATCGTTCTCATATATAACCATTAATAAAATCGGTCCAAAAGTGGTTAGCATGTGCGGGGGAAGGCGCAAGCCACCCTGAGTCCCTTCTCGCCTTAGGGGAAGCCATGTTGTCTGGGCCATTGGTGATTTCACTAGTTCAACCAACTTCTTAATCCAACTTACTTTCGCCTCTTCTCTGCTAGGGTCTAGGCTAAGGCACACTACTTGTGGTACTCGATGGCTGTTCTTGGGAGTTACGGAGAAACAGAATGGAGCTCCCTGGGGCTGGTTCGGCCCTATCACTAGTCTATTCCGTAGGGGGCGGTCTCGACTCGTGACGGAGGAATCGGCACAGTAAAGAGGATTGGGGGATGGTGTGAGAAGGGGACTGCTGCGCATCTCTGAATTTATTTGAGAGAAAGATCGTTTAGAAAGGAAAGTGCACACTAGAATGGCTTATTGGGAGAAATATGTTTACGAGCTGTTCGAAGATAAGAGATTGGGTCTCTCAATGATGATAATATCATCTTGAATAAACATGGCTTACAAAATACATTTTCTCAATCAAGAATATTTTTGCTTTTCATGGAAATACTGTGACTTGAGGATGATCAACAACAAGGATACTGTAGTAGTACCCTTATGTTGATAATGAACTAATCACTCAATGGCCCTGATGAAGTTCTCGGCTTAAGCCTGAACAGCTTATTTCAGAAAATTCGGCTTTCCGGCAGGGAAATGTACACATGCCGAGGAAAGATGAAGAATTACATCCACGCGCATAACGCACAGTTCCACTTCCTGTCTATTCCAGTCCGACATCGGTTAAAATGGTAGAGAGGACTTGTAGAAGATGCAAGTGACTTGAGTAGGTGCATGCCTTCTCGAAGGGATGTTTCCCCCTCTCTTCTCTTTTCCACCTAATCAGTGATTAGGCGTTTTGAGGAAGCCTAGTTGGAAATACCGAGGAGATAGAAATTACTGGATTTGGTAACATCGAGGAACTATTTGATTGTATGACGGATGTACAAGTGATCTAAAGGTAAAAATACCTACCCAATGCGCCGATAGAGTCATTTTGGGATTACCACCAGAACTGTACTCTATCTAAACGATCCCTGAAATCCTAGATTGGTCCATTGAAATTAGTAGGACGTCCCTGTAGCTTCTTAATATCGGCGGGAACAGGCCCCTGCCGGGGTGATTGGATTCTCCCGTCGGAAAGAACTATTATTCATGTCATCCTAATTAGCTTAGGACATCAGGCGGGGAAGAAGTAGGGCGGGTGGGGATGGGGGTTGTGTCACGAACAACTAATGTACTGTGATGTCTTGGAAGATGGCAGGTCAAGGGAAAGTGTGGGTTGAGCTTTAATTGATTAATCTTTTTAGCAAAGCTGACTGATGCATAATGGACATTATAGTTGTGGCCAGACCAGCCGCTGGGTGGGGGACACGGATACCTTCTATGCTGGGCAACAAGTAAGGGATCCCTCATGTAGAATCTATCCCAGCGATACGCGAGTGCCCACATGCGCAACATGCGGATATCTGGAATAGTGTCTCACAATGTATCCAAGAATCTGCGCCAAACAGTGAAGATAGCGGCGTGATGTTCTAGGCTACATCTCCTTAACACCGGAATGGGGTCATTCAAACTGACTGCTACCAGGGTTAAGACCTGCAAGGTGGGAGCGGCGGTGTGTAAGAAGAGCTGAAATCTGGGCTGGGTGAGCTCGACATGGTGCAAATGAAGCTCTGAGAGGCGGGTGAAGTGAATTTTCTGAGCCAGGTGGGTGAAGGGAACTGAGCTCAAATCGTGGAGTTGGTCCCACATGGACAGCCGGAGGACGAAGAGGTTCGGGGCAGCCCGGGTGGCGAGATGGGAGAGAAAATCTGTGTTATCATCCGGGTCTGCTGGCCCAAGACAGTTGTCCAAGTCTTGCAGATCCTGAAGACAGGCCTGTAGGCTTTGATGCAGAGGCCCGGACAGAGTAAAGCAGTCCGGTGGAACCATGTAGTTGTTCTCTACCCTACAAATGTAGAGACTCTTGGTTGCTGACCGGGGAGATGCCGCGCTCAGAGCTTTCAACAGACTAGTGAGGCCCTTGGCCTGTGTCCACCTTCATTTTACCTAAGGGTCGACCAGTTGAAGGGCATATAGCTCTTCCCCGGAGCCGTGCGCATGGGTTGACAAGGAGTTGTTTCCGCAATGTCTGCATGCCGAGGCAGATAAATGGACTCGTCTTTTTGGATGGATCCATAGGAGGATAGTCTCGCATCCCGATAGTAGAGACATGTTCCAAACGCTCTAAGCATTGAGTGAGACTTGCTACCACGCTAGTCGAGTCTGCAAGCGCCAGTTGATCGGTTTGAGCAGACTTATAAATTGTATACCGCGCTTTCACTTCCTCGGTTGTCCAGTTTTGGCTCTCCGGTATATCCAAGTGAAGGATTCCTGTAAAAGCAGCCAAGTCCACCTCGTGATCCCCAAACTCTTGCGGGGTGAGACACAGCTCTCGTCGTGTTAAGTTCACGGATAGTTCGAAGCCGTTCATTACGTGCGAGGAGACTAGAACGGGTGACGGAGAGGATGTGTATGGGTACTTGTTGGCTAATTGTACCGCGGAGTGGAGTTGTGCGGAGGCCTTTTAGGGGTGGGAAATAGAGTGTTATGCTCTTTGTTAAACTAGGTAACCCTTGTAGGATAGAACCAAAACTAATATCAAATTTGTCTATTGCCCCTCGGATGATGTACAAAAAGGCCTTATATTTTTTTTCCCAATATGGTGTTCGTTAGGATAGCCTGCTAACTGATCCATGAAAATAGCGGTAAAGGAATCTCAAGCTAATCAGGCGTAGAAGACTGTGGTTATATTATAAACCTTCATTAAGCGACGCCAGAGGGTTGAATGCTCGGTTCAGTGAGTCAGAAAGCTTAATATCAAAAGACTAGTTATAGTTCCAAGCCCTAGAGCCCTTGCGATAATACCGCGGCGAGAGTGAGCAGCACCTACCAAACAGTGGATTCGTTGCTTTATCCAGTGGCATGTACTCATACGAAGGAATGCAGAATATGATGGTGCGAAAGCTCCACGTAATGTATGATGGCAACCTGAAAAGCGACGGGGGGGACGTTGTCTACGTGCCATGGCTAGGTTACTGCCCAGACCGAGCCGGCTCCAAGGCCTACTAAGCCACGTAATGACTAAGGATATACTTGGTGCACTTGGACTAGTCATCGCCCAAGGGAGGCTACTTGGGGCGGTAGTATAGTTGCTGATATACCGGTCCCTGTGGTTCTCAGGATTTCGCCTCGCCTTTTAGATTATCGGAAACGAAAGTAGCATCCACGATTGATATACGGCCATCGGTAAAGGTCCATATGTTTTGATCTTGGACAATGCATAGTAGGGAATCAAAAGTGACGTTTGTCCTTCCTTGAACATAACATGAGCATATGCAGGCGGATCTGTGTTTCAAAGTAAAGAGGGATCAAGAGTATTCTCGGAACGTGGACATAATCTATTTAGATCACTAGATCTCAAACCGCATGTCAGGTGGCTAGATTCATCGCTAACAGGCAGCTCCCCACTTTGGATCTTAAAAATAGAAGAAAGCTCTAAGAGTAAGACCATCTCTGACAGTTAACGTGATAGTGCGGTGAGACCCCTCTGTGGATGATGAAACAACAGTGGGAACAACCAGTGTTTCGGGACAGAAGCTAAGTGCAGCTACTGCGTACGGAGGACTGTGCCGTTATCTGTGATGTCAATCGCTGCTGCTGAGGAGCTGGCATTGCATTACCTGCTTAGCTCACGAGATGAATCCCGAAGATTTATTTCGATCTGCGATGAATCCCATTGTGTGGGCGTTGGCGATCCAGAAACCCTAAGCAAAGAAATATTTAGATGTGTCTATGTAGATACGCGGCAGTATCTAGACCTCTGTATGGATTAGTAGGCGACGACATCCACCAAAAATAGCTTTGGAAGGCTGAGATTAATTTTGATCGACGAATGTGATTAGTTTTGCATGTCAGGCCGATTCAATCCACGGTTGGACCTGACGTTCTTGCTGCCACGGAGTTCCTGAACCATGGACGGACTGGGCCGAGGTCCTGGAACACCCACGGAGCACTTCGTAATCAGGTATAGAGCTTCTGAGCTAGGATGACAGCGGACACCGAGAAGGGAACCACCGCCGACCCTCAAAAAGATCTACACGCTGCATTCTCAGAATAGCGTGCGTGGTACTCCGTACTAACTACTAAGAGGTCCAGGGGCAGATGATAGGCAGGCTGACCAAGGGGAGCCCACCAGTTCGGTTGGTCAGACCGACGGTATGAGACATCACGATCCACGAATGATAGCGAAAATGGCGCTTTAGCTGGGTTTGGCATGGTTTTCCACCTTTGAAGCCTTAGGGTGGCTGTAGTTTTTAGGACTAAAGGCACTAGCGCAAAATCCTGAGCTCTTAGACTCTAAGCGAGATGACAAGTGATGTGAGAATCTGGTCAGTATTCTCCATCGTCCCTCTAAGTCAAAACTGGTCAATAGTGGTACATAGGCTGGGACTTATCTAACAACTATAACGCCTTATTAGAAGCTTTATAAACGTCTAAAGCCTTATTTGTGTAAGTAGATGAGTAAGTAGGTGAGTGGCAGCTCCAAAATTCTTCTCGTAAGTCGCAATAGCTGTTCTATCACTGGATCGGCAAATTTGATTGCCTGTGTTGGCCATTGGGTGTGGAGTCCTCCGTAGTTGCCGAACGCTGGAACGAGGGCAAAGGAGGGGATCTCGGCACGCACGGGTCCTCCCACCGTCCCACGACCCTTTGTCCCCCGTGCCGTGTGTCCGGCGAGAGTGTCCATTGTGTCTACAGACCAAGCTTCTCAGGAAAGCATACCCCAGTCCGCGATATAGGCCTGCTTGAATATGATGATTCTACATTTCATATGAGATTGAGCATATCAAAATGATGTGTAGTCGTTACCCTACTATCGTCACCAACAAAAGCAAAGAAAAGAACGCCCGCTGCAGAAATTCCACGGCCTCTTTTTCCCTAGGCTAGACCTTCGGAAAGGACAAATCTAGAAGCTCTAAAACCCGGATTGGACGTCTACCACTGTGGTCCTGTCCCGGATAGCCAAGTAAACGGCGCTGATCGACATGAGAACCATCAGAAGCCTGCTAATCGTTACTTCATGCGAAAATAGAACGAAGGCGGCCGGGTCATCCTTGATCGTGTTTTCCGGAAGATTTGCCGCCATCGAGATTCCATCGAGATTTGTATCTCGTTCAGCACGAGTGGTCTCCTGGACCGTGAGCTGTAGTAGTAGCCTAGTAGGGATTTTGTTCCACGTCTTGACCACTTTGTTGGGATGCATAAGCTCAGGAGCTGGTTCCCCAGATGCGATCAACGTCCGATTCACCTGCTACGGAAAATAGTGCTGATGATTAGGCAGTAAGGGAGAGCAATTAATCCTAAAAGAAACCGAACCATGGATGCATGACAGGGAAGTCCCTTCAGGCGGCACAGTTCCTAGTCTAGCTCTTCTGCAGTGGACGGGATCGTCACCTTCCCAACTCCTCGGGGAGCTCTCAATGATTTCGGCATCGTCATCATCATCATGACAATGAAGGAGTGAAAGATCTCTAGTCTCTAGCTCTATGCTGCTGTTTCTTATATTCCTATAGAAGCTTAGTATGCACCAGTGTGTCCAAGGTCGCATTGTTCACTCATTTCTTAGAATCCCGTGCTTTATAAGGCCCAAGCCCCTGGGGTAGACGTTGCTGCGGCAGTGTGGACCCCAGGCGGGCAGGATCCCAAATTCTGTCCCCGTCACACGCAGCCCAGCTGTTAGCATGGAGCCGGTCATTCCTTGTCCCTGCCATGGTTCCATATTGGCATGCGCGCAGCAAATGTCTGTGTCCAGATATCCACCCACCCCCTCCGTGCTTGTGTTCTCCGCTATGCCCCAAGTACATTTGCCCTTATTGGCAAGGGTAGACTGAGCCATTGCCTCAGATTTTTCCCAAACCGATCTAAGGAATCGTTTTACATCCATAGCACTACGGAGTAGGCAGTAAGGACTTCATCTGGTGGTATCGAGATAGGCCGCTGTGAATACATACCACCATCACATGCCACTATAGACCTCGCTACCAGATTCCCGGCACCTACTTACCCGATAGTAGCCGATACCCCTACCCCTCCTGGCCCTGATACGACAACCAAGGTTTATTGACTAAAGAAGCCGAAGTACGTTGATGTGCACTTATACAGACCGCATCAGTCCCACATGGCAGCATTGGGACCTGGACCCGGGCTCCATCGGTATTTCAATCCCCATTGCTCCGTACTCCGTATCTTTCTTGCCACTGGGTAGGATCTAGTAGACGCTCCAAGAATCTTATGTGGCCCAGTCTCTTAGCGTCGAACCTTTTTCCCTTCTACCTACCCCTAGGACGGCTCCCCCATCTGGATTATATATCCAGCTAAGTGACATCTACCCCGTCCTGTGCCCCATATCCTTCCTCCCACACTTGAGGGGACAATGTCATCCGATCTCGGACTGCGACGATTGTTGATTCACTCGCGCCCCAGTGTGCTCCGCCATGATTGAATTTAAGGGCCGCAGCGAGTCAATATTTGTTGTAACGGTGGTTTTCTTGGGGATTTCGTTCATATCCGTGTGTCTACGATGTTTTGTCCGGCTGAGACTGGTGCGGGCATTTGGGTGGGATGATGCACTGATGGTTTTCGCCATGGTATAGTATACACTCTCGCCTTCACCCTCAGAAAAATTGCTAATTTGAGCGTCTCCCAAACCCATAGGCACTCGAGATCTTGTTCGCATTATGTGGAATCACCGGCTCGTTGTATGGCATGGGCCAAAAGCTCGAGCAGCTGGAACCAGGCCACCTTGAAACTGCTCTGTTTGTAAGTACAGTGTACACCAAGTGGGAATATCATCGCTTACGCCGATAAGTGGTGGTGGCTTGGTCAAACGAGCTATGTCGTGACTGTTGTCGTCGCAAAGATTTCCATCGCCTTAGCCCTCCTCCGTCTCACCGTTTCAAAAATACATACAATTCTTCTATGGTCCGTGGTCGGTGTATCGATCGTTGTGGGCTTAGTATTCTGGTTTATGTTGACCTTCGAATGCAAGCCAGTGTCACATTTCTGGCAACGCACCTCGCCCGGATCCTGCATGGCCACCGATTATCTTCTCGATATCGCCTATGTGTATAGTGTCACTGCCATGCTCTGCGATCTAATATTGGGACTACTGCCCATCTTCTTGGTGTGGAAGTTACAGATGAGCCGACAGACCAAGGCAGCATTGGCGGGTATCTTGAGCTTGGGTTGCGTGTAAGATCACTTGGACAGCGTCGCCCATGACTGCTTGCTAACTGTCTCACTAGAGCCAGCGCAGGCGTTATTGTCCGCATTCCTTTCCTCCCGACTTATAAAGACACAGAGTTCCTCTGTAAGTTTCTATGGCCTTTCAGTGACGGAACGTGTGTCGCTAATGGCAGAAAAGACGCAACGACCCAAATATCCATATGGTCCAATGTTGAAGCAGGCCTCGGAATTACAGCAGGCTGCCTCGTCACCCTTCGTCCTCTATTCCGCTGGTTGGGTGGAACTAGCTACACCCCCACACACAGCAAGAAAACAGCCGGGAGTATGCCACTCTCTAGCATGAACGGCCCTGGTAAACACTCGCGAAGCGAGCATACGGCAAATTCGACCAAGTTCTGGCGCCCGGACCTGGATCCTGAAGACTCTAGGGCTGTCATTACGACAGTGCAAACAGCCCAAGGAAGTCGGAATAGCAGCCAGGAAGACCTCAATCCGAAGCCAAGCGCATGGAATGGGGTCAATGTACAAAAATCATTTGTTGTCACGTCGAATGAGGTATAGGAGTTGATCTCCTGTGCTGTTCTTCCATTTATGATATGAGCTATAATTACGGAGTATAATGTACCTTTATAGGATCAGTTTCTTTCATTCCCGTCTATGTTTGCATCATCAGACAGTCTACTGCAGTTGCTACCACAAAGCTATCAAAAGGCGGTTGGGCTGGCCTACAAAGAGCTCTAAAAGCTACTGTACCCGTCAACTTGGTTTTAACTTCCAGCCTTGTAGAACTCCATCTACCATACATCCCAGACTCCACAACTCCACATGATAAGTTCAAGCAATCTTCACATATAGCCTCGGGTGCCTTCACTGGAAGTGATGTCTGTACAGAGTGAGGAGTGATCGTAGGCAGAAACGATTTTCTGAAAGCCAGGCTCTTGAAGCCCTCTTGTCAATACTCTAACCCGTCCAATCTCTGGTGCGCCGAGCATATTTACAAATCTACTTTCACTAAGACTGACCTATATCTCCCGCTTTTCAAAAGGGTCTTCTGAAATGTTAGGGTGATAGCTACCTCTTCGATAGCGATAAAGGGGCTCCGCATCGATTGTATATGGACACGGGCCCGTCTGAGATGACGTAGACATATTAGAAGCGAGATTGCATGCGATAGACACCCACAGTAGTTACTCGGAGTTATGACTTATCTTGAAACCATCCAAGGAGACGCACGGAAGACATGAAGCCATCAGTTTCATCTACCTGGGCTGTTCAGGGCTGTGACAATGTATCTGTCCTAACAAATCCAACTATCTAGCTTGTTTTTGTTGGGACTGTCCAACGACCATCAAGTCTTCCAAGACCTCAGTTCTTTGGTTGCAATTAAGATCCGGGCAGCCCGGGCCTTATGACTCACAATTCGCTGTATTCAACAGCCCCAGCACTCTAAGACGTAATGGTGATTTGCTCTAAGCCTAATGTCTGAGCCAGAAGATTTGGTGGCTTTCTATGTAGCCTCTCGATATCATGTCTCTGAATAAGGGTAACGAGGAAAGGGAAAGGCGCTCTATTCTGCACTTCAGAAACTGAGTCACATTTTTGTCTTTTGAAAGGTAATATCATTCAGTGTCATTATATTTGCTATCTCGATCGAATGCTTATCAGGACCAGGACGGTCGGGAAAATCCAAGCTCCGTTGTGGCACGTGGCGGCGGCCAATCGTGAGCAACGGGCCTTCGTTCCTTCAATCCCCGGCGGCGAATCCCAAAATTATACTGTCGAGGTGGCTTCTTCGCACTTCCCTCTTCGACCTGCCCTTCGGAAATTTACAGGTGGCTTCAAGGTTCTGGGCCCTCCATCTCCTATGGTTTATTGAAGCTCTCTTGGTCTCTCAAGCTCGCGTCGTTTGACCCGCGTCGTGGTCATTCGAGTCTCACCATGTGAGTGTGGCACTTCCGTTGCATCGCGCGCAGTGATCGCCAACTAACTTGATGATGCGCAGGGTAGGACTCGTTGATGATCCCCAGATCAAATACTCCTCGCTTCATAACCCTCTTCCCACCCAACTACATACCTATGTGTGGCCGTTCCTAATCATCTGGCCGGCCTTTCTGGCCTTCTATCTCTCCCCTGAGCGCTATGATACGTACATTCAAGGCCAGGAATGGACCTTTGTGTGGGTTGGCTCGATCATCACGGTTCAGTCGCTTCTGTGGTTGATGACGAATTGGAACATCAATATCCAGACCTTGTTCACTGCCACCAAGGCTAGATCGGTTGACTCCGCTCGGCTCATCAAGGTGATTCCCGCAGCTAATGCTGGTTCGGCTGAAGTCTGCCCATTGATCCTTGATACAAGAGGAGGAAAGAAGACACTCTCTTTCTTGTTCCAGAAACGCCGGTTCCTTTACTATCCCGAACGTCGATGCTTCGCTCCCTTGTCGTATGTCCTCGATGCCGATCCCAAGCCTGCGCTCAAGACCTTCCAGAAAAGCCAGGGCTTGACTACCAAAGAAGAGATCGACCGCATCCGGCTCTACTATGGCGACAACACGTTCGATATACCTGTTCCCGGATTTGTAGAATTATGGAAGGAGCACGCCGTTGCACCTTTCTTCGTTTTCCAAATCTTCTGCGTGGGGCTATGGATGCTGGACGAATACTGGTACTATTCCCTGTTCACTCTCTTCATGCTTGTCATGTTTGAGAGCACAGTGGTGTGGCAACGCCAGCGGACTCTTAATGAGTTTCGGGGAATGAATATCAAACCGTACGATGTGTGGGTCTTCCGCGAGAAGGAATGGCAGAAAACCACTAGTGACAAGCTCTTGCCCGGTGACCTAATGTCCGTTAACCGAACCAAGGAAGACGGCGGTGTGGCATGTGACATTCTTTTGATCGAAGGCAGCGCAATTGTTAACGAGGCCATGCTCTCTGGAGAAAGCACGCCACTCTTGAAGGAATCGGTTCAACTCAGACCAGGCGATGACTTGATTGAGCCTGATGGATTGGACAAGAATGCATTCGTACACGGAGGAACCAAGGTTCTACAGATTACCCATGCAAACACCACACCGGATGATGTTGCCAGCTCCAAGGATGGTTCTGGGATCCTGCCCACTCCAGATGCTGGCGCACTTGGTGTTGTTGTGAAGACCGGCTTTGAGACAAGCCAAGGTAGTCTCGTGCGTACCATGATCTACTCTACCGAGCGAGTGTCCGCCAACAATGTGGAAGCCTTGCTGTTCATTCTGTTCCTGCTTATGTTTGCCATTGCTGCCGCATGGTATGTTTGGCAGGAGGGTGTGTTACGGGATCGCAAGAGGTCGAAATTGCTTTTGGACTGCGTCCTCATTATCACTAGCGTTGTTCCTCCTGAACTTCCCATGGAGCTCAGTCTTGCTGTCAACACGAGTCTGGCCGCTTTGAGCAAGTTCGCTATCTTCTGTACTGAGCCTTTCCGGATCCCTTTTGCCGGCCGTGTGGATGTTGCCTGCTTCGATAAAACCGGAACTTTAACCGGCGAAGATCTTGTCGTCGACGGTGTTGCCGGTCTCACTCTTGGTCAAGCAGGCGCAAAGGTTGAAAAGGATGGGGCGCACACTGAACTTGCCAAGGGTGGCAATATCGGTGTCGATACCACACTTGTTCTTGCAAGCGCTCACGCCTTGGTGAAGCTGGACGAAGGCGAAGTTGTTGGTGATCCTATGGAAAAGGCTACGCTGAAGTGGCTTGGCTGGACCCTGGGTAAGAATGACACTTTGACGGGCAAGACCTCGCTACCCACGGGTGCTTCTCAGGCTCCCGAGGCCGTCCATGTCATCAGACGATTCCAGTTTTCGTCCGCGCTGAAGCGTCAGAGCACCATCGCCACGGTTGTCTTCGACGATCGCAACACACACAAGAAAGTCAAGTCAACCTTCGTTGGTGTCAAGGGTGCGCCGGAAACCATCAGAACTATGTTGGTTGATACCCCGCCGCACTACGAGGAAACGTTCAAGTACTTCACACGTAACGGTGCCCGTGTCCTTGCCCTCGCTTACAAGTACCTGTCTCATGAGGCCGAATTCTCTCGCGCTCGTATCAACAACTACACCAGAGAAGAGGTGGAATGTGACCTGGTTTTCGCTGGTTTCCTCGTCTTGCAATGCCCGTTGAAGGAAGACGCTATCAAAGCCGTGCGCATGCTTAACGAGAGCAGCCATCGCGTTGTTATGATTACTGGTGACAATCCTTTGACCGCCGTGCATGTTGCTCGCCAAGTCGAAATCGTGGATCGTGACGTTTTGATTCTAGACGCACCCGAGAACGACACGTCGGGAACCAAAATCGTTTGGCGTAGCATCGACGACAAGCTCAACATTGATGTTGATCCCACTCAGGATCTTGATCGCCGTATCTTGGAAACCAACGATATCTGTGTCACTGGCTACGCCTTGGCTAAGTTCAAGGGCCAGAAGGCCTTGCCTGATCTACTCCGCCACACCTGGGTTTACGCTCGTGTCTCTCCTAAGCAAAAAGAAGACATCCTTCTCGGCCTCAAGGATGCTGGTTACACGACTCTGATGTGCGGTGATGGAACTAACGATGTCGGTGCCTTGAAGCAAGCCCATGTTGGCGTTGCTCTTTTGAACGGTTCTCCGGAGGATCTCGCCAAGATTGCTGAACATTATCGGACGACTAAGATGAAGGAAATCTACGAGAAGCAGGTTGCTATGATGCAGCGCTTCAATCAGCCTTCCCCACCTGTGCCTGTGCAAATTGCACACTTGTATCCTCCAGGTCCTAGCAACCCTCACTACCAGAAGGCCATGGAGCGTGAAGCGCAGCGTAAGGGTGCTCCCATCCAGTCCGCTCCAGCAGAGGCGATCCCAACCATTACGTCTCCCGGCGCACAAGCTCTTCAGCAGTCCAATTCCAACCTGACCTCTGATCAGCAGCGACGGCAGCAAGCCTCCGTGGCTGCCGCCGGATTTGCTGATAAGCTTACTTCCTCTATGATGGAGCAGGAGCTGGATGATAACGAACCCCCGACTCTCAAGCTCGGAGATGCCTCTGTTGCCGCCCCCTTTACCAGCAAGTTGGCGAATGTTATTGCCATCCCCAACATCCTCCGTCAGGGACGCTGCACACTAGTTGCAACCATTCAGATGTACAAGATCCTCGCTTTGAACTGTTTGATCAGCGCCTACAGTTTGAGTGTTATCTACTTGGACGGTATTAAGTTTGGTGATGGCCAGGTGACCATCAGCGGTATGCTGATGAGTGTCTGCTTCCTCTCTATCTCTCGCGCGAAGGTAGGCGTCTGACATCAAACACACAAATCCCCAGAGCTAACATATCATTCCAGTCTGTCGAAGGACTATCGAAGGAGCGTCCGCAGCCAAACATCTTCAATGTGTATATCATTGGCTCCGTGCTTGGCCAGTTCGCCATTCACATTGCCACTTTGATCTACCTGTCGAACTATGTATACAGCATTGAACCGTAAGTTGGCTGGTTTATATTGTAGTATATTTTACTAACCTGCTTGCAGGAGGCAAACCGATATTGACTTGGAGGGAGAATTTGAGCCTTCGCTTCTCAACAGCGCCATCTACCTCCTGCAGCTCATCCAGCAGATCTCGACATTCTCGATCAACTATCAAGGCCGCCCCTTCAGAGAGTCTATCCGTGAGAACAAGGCCATGTACTGGGGTCTGGTTGCGGCATCGGGTGTCGCCTTTTCTTGTGCGACTGAGTTCGTTCCCGAACTAAACGAGAAGCTGCGCCTTGTTCCTTTCAGCACCGAGTTCAAGGCTACGCTGACTGTCCTGATGATCTTCGATTATGCGGGATGCTGGCTCATCGAGAACGTGCTCAAGAGGCTGTTCAGCGATTTCCGGCCGAAGGATATCGCTGTGCGCCGGCCCGATCAACTCCGGCGGGAGGAGGAACGTAAGCAGAAGGAGGCTATGGAGCAGCAGGCTCAGTAGGGGATGAGAAGGGCTTAGATTTTGTGTTTCAAAGTTCTAAAGCCGGTTAGAGTAGCTGCATTTCTTGTCTAGATATATAGGTGCTGTTGGTAGAGAGCAAGGCTTGGATGCCTTGCTAATGTTGATGGGTGTCCATAGAGCAATTGTACGTTTAGATTATCTCTTTCAACAAATATCAAGTTAATCTTTGAGACTTGGCCTATGCACGGGATGACCTTGGCTTTTCCAACACGCTATGACTACAAAGGGGCTGTCAGGGTCGATGTTGATGCCTCAGGTGTCGTTGTGACCGAGCGATAAGCTGCGGAACTCCTGACGCTGGCCTGGCGCTTGTCTGGCTCTCTCGGCTCCCTTCATCTCTTGTCTCCCCCTCTTGAGCTCCACCTCCGGGCAAGGCTGGACCGTCATAAACCCCCCTTTCATCCGCCAGTTCCCATTTCATCTGGTCTATGCCCCTTCGTGGGTTTTTGTTTCTCATGCTCTCCTAAATCCCAGTCATCATGCCCCGGAGGACGCTGGGTGGAGGTCGTGTTCTTGGCCCCGCGAACGCTCGTTCTCCATCGGCTTTAACCCCGTCTCCGCAGCCCAGTAACCCAAGACTCCTCACCTTATCGCCATCCGCCAGCAGTGTTTCCCTTAATTCACAGGCCTCGACATCCCAATTCTCATCTGAAGCCCAGGATCTCACGTCGCGCATCTCCCTTGAAAATGGCTCTGCCTCCATACCTGCCGCTCCGGCAGCTGCCGGAGCTCAGTTGGCCTGTCCGATCTGCAGTGAGGAGATGGTATGACCTGTCCTACACGAGCCTCTTCCCTGGAATTACTGTGGCCATCAAAGTATATGCTGACCAAAGCAACAGGTGACACTGTTACAGCTTAATAGGTACCTCGATTGACGTTCGCAATAACTCTTACTGTTTGTCCATGCGATTGACCCGAATTTCAGACACCTCGATGACGTCCACCAGAACCTGGAAGACGACCGGCAAGATGAAGTTAAGGACTGGTTCAAGACCCAAATGGATAAGGCCAAGCGCTTTCAGCCCCTCGCTGTTTTGAACCAGAAGCTCAAGGGTTTGGATGTGTTCGAATCGAACGAGAATATTCAGCCTTTCGCTGGTCCAAGCCGGCCGTCCGGACCGGTTTCGACGCATCCTCTTGAGCCTCCAAGAGCACCCGACCCGGATGATGTTATAACGAGGGAGCACTGGCAAGCGCGCACTCTATATGATGTGTGCCTGGAACCTTCGTGCGGCAAGCGGCTTAACGCAACCAACGGCTGTGTCAATTGTCGCAAATGCGGGAAGCTATTCTGTGAGGATCATACGATGTATCAGATGAAGCTATCCAGATCGGCTCAGCATGAGCCAGTCAGGGGGTTATGGTGCAGGGTCTGTGAAACTTGCTACAAGTCGAGGGAGGGGTATAACGATCACAATGGTAACCCGAGGTTCCCTTCCTTATTTTGCAAATCAGGAGCGGGCATGAGACTAACTATATCTTAGGTCTGGTAAGAGACCGTATGGATGAATTCAAGGCAATGAGGAAGCCGACAGTTGATAAGGCTCTGTTGGAAGTGTCTCGTTTGGAGAAACGCCTGACACGGCTGACGCAGCTGCTCGCTAGTTTACCTGTGGAGCAGATTCAGTCAAGCGCGAATAAATTGTGGTCAATCTCATGGCAGGGCGACCAGCGAAAAGCCCTTGAGCAAACCATAGTCAGTTGGCAAGATGATGCTAGCGTTTCCCGATGTCCCTTTTGTCAGCAAGATTTTACCAGTTACTCTTTCCGAAGGCACCATTGCAGGACTTGCGGGCGAGTCGTCTGTGGTGACCCAGCAACTGAATGCTCCGCGGAAGTTCCGTTGAGCATTTCGCCTCGTATGTCATTTACTCTATTCTATCTTGCCTGTTTGGCGACTGACAGGGTGCAGTAGCAAAGACGTCAGCGGAGAAGTCGGTTCGCACGGGGGTGATCAACGTCGACATCAGGCTTTGTAAGGAGTGCCGATCGACCTTGTTTGACCGACGAGACTTTGAAGCCGACATTATGGGAAGGCCGCCAGCTGTGCGGGCGTATGATAATCTCACCCAATTCGAGAGGGGCATTCGGCTCCTACTACCTAAATTTCAGAAGATACTGGGGACTTTGCAGTGCGTACACCCTATGGCTTGCCCATCCACAGCAGCAATGCACCACCGCTAACCGATCATGTTACAGAGATCCCAGGCGGCCACCATCGTCTGCACAGATTTCCGAAGCTTCCAAAGTTCGCAAGCGATTAACAGACTCATTTGCTCAGTATGATGTTGCTGCTAGGCGAATTCGTGATATGCAAACAGATTCCCCCACTCAACAGCGGCTCCAAAAGGCCATCTACCAACAAGCCAGCAATTTCCTCCACCTTCACATGCTTCCTCTGAAGTCTCTTCCCAAGGTTCTCAAGCATGCATCTTCCCACGGACGACCCTCTAGCTCCACAAGCTCCCCTACTAGCCCTAGTCCTGGCAACGGTTCACTGGGTGGCTCTCGACGGCAAGGGCCAGCCCTCGCGTCGATCAAATACGGCAGTATTGCAGCTAGTGGTAGCAACAGCAGCCTAGCTAGTGATGCCAGCAGCGCTATTTCCGCCCTGGAAGCTGAAGAAAAGTCGCTTCGGGAGCGGCTGATCGTGCTGGAGGAGCAGAAGTTCTTCGTGTCGGAGATGATCGCGGATGCGAACAGACGACGAAAATTCGATGAGGTTAGCAGTCTCGCGATGAATATTGAGGATCTCACCCGGGAGATTGATCGGGTGAATGGGATGCTGGATGGGCTAGACTTTGAGGGCGTCTATACCGGGACACATCAGCAGACCTGATGGCTTGTAATAATACCAACTCATTCGCTTGGTTTTCCGTTGCTTGCTTCCATCATTTTGCTGCAACCGCGATGCAGGGTGGTATCGTTACTTCCTGTACACGATTCTGGCCACGGCGCGGGCGCGGCGTTTGCGGTTGGGCTCAATTAACTTGCATAGCATGGGCGTTGCGTCGTATGCATATGATCGTATATGAATATGGTCTCTACAGTCTCCTTTTCTTCTCCATTGCTGTTCGCTGTATTACCCTGTATTATCGCGCCAATGCTTGATACCATGAATCATAGAAGCCTTCTATTATTCAATCGCACACCGTTATGGAAACGCCACGGACAATCCCGACCTATCATCCATGCATACCCCAATTGCGGAAAGTACCAGATGCATAAGCCCGCCCTGCAGGAAGCAGCAATCAGACTTGCCATTCTCCGTCCGCACCAAGCCAGGAGGAATGCACAGCTTCGGAGAATTCGACCCTCCCACACACAGCATCCTGTCCCCAAAATCGATCCATCCGCGCGGGCAGCCCCTACACATATAGTACCAAGTTACGGAGTACTCTCCCCACAACAACTAAAACCCCCTCTACAATAATTTCAGATACCATAACAAACCAGTTCATCATGCATCATACCTACCGCTCAAGGTACAGTAGCACAGCACTAAAAACTGGAAATCTCCTACCAGTGAAACTAGTCCTATGCAACGCCACGCGGAGTAACCGGCACCCAACTCAACCCAACCCAACCTGACCTAACCCAACCCACCCCGGTTCGGCTCACTCCAGTCCAAACCCCCCGAACCCCAGCCACCCAGCCAGCCAGCCATAATATGAGCGTTCCACAGAACCAATTATGCAGATTAGGTAGGTACCTAAATAGCAGGGAATCCGCTGCTCGGTGGCCAATTCCAGAGACCAGTCAATGGTATACACGTGGCAGTGATTGCGGGTTGCCTTTGACGGAAGAGTGAAGATGTTGAGGGAAGTTTGAGATTTATTATCGGATGTGGCCACTGTTAGTCATTATTGTGGTCCCGATTCTTTGTTTTTATGATATATTTTGTTCGCGCGCGCACTTGGTTCGTGGTTGGTACCTGAGTGGGTATTGATTTTAGGTGGGTGAACTGTGAGTACCTAAGTGGGTTTGGATTTACCCCTCGGGCCTCGATTCTACTAAATCGGCGGTAAGGCGATTGTTCTGCCTGATTGTTCCCTTTGCACTTAACTTCTTTTTCTCGTCGATGAGTGCAGTGGATGGTGAAAGACTTGGGTTTGGATGTAAATGAATTGTTGAGACTATGAGCATGCGAAACTCGGCAGTTTTGGGATAATTGCTTTTGTTATTCTCCTCTCCCTCTACACTCGTCGCTGGAATTGTGTGCTATCATGGATGAGATCGAATCCCCACCAGGGCCCAAAGACAAACTAGAGGTGGCCTTGTTCCTAGCCGCTAGCCAAGGGTATGATACCATTGTGACGCTTCTCCTAGGCACTCCTGGTGTGACTCTAGACTGCAAGGACGAGCTCGGCCGGACGCCTTTCTACTGGGCCGCAGCCGGGGGCCACGATAAGGTCCTCCAGTTGCTACTTGGAACAGGTTCAGTCGATCCAAACGTTAGAGATGCAAAACGGGGACAGACGGCAATATGTGCAGCCGTGGAGGGTGGCCATGAGAGCGTCGTGACCACGTTGCTAGGTGTGGGGGTCGACTGCCATACTCCGGACCTGCAGGGGAAAACACCATTGGCATATGCAGTCGAGAAGGAGAGTACATCTAGCCTGGATGCATTATTGAAGGCCGGAGCAAATCCCAATGTGAAGGATGAGAGCGGCATGGTCCCGTTGTCGGCTGCCGTGTCGAAGGGCAATCCGGATATCGTTGCACTACTGTTGGATTCGGGCGCAGACCCCAATGCGGCGGATCCGAACGGGTGCGCACCATTATCGACGGCCGTTCAGAATGATAATGAGACCATTGTGCAGTTGCTACTGAAGGCAAAAGCGGACCCCAACGTGAAGGACCCTGAAGGAAAAGCACCACTGTCATGTGCTGTGGAAGCCGGAAACGAAACCCTTACTGAGTTGCTGCTGAAAGCAGAAGCGGACCCGAACGTGAAAGATCCGAAAGAAAGAGCACCGTTGTCCTGCGCGGTAGAAAGCGGGAATGAAACCATTACGCAGCTACTGCTGAGAGCAAAAGCGGACCCAGATGTGAAGGATCCTGAAGGGAGAGCACCACTATCATATGCTGTGGAAGCAGGAAACAAACCCATTACAGAGCTGCTACTGAAAGCAAAAGCGAATCCCGACGTGAAGGATGCAGAGGAGAGGGCACCCCTTTCATACGCCGTCGAAGCAGGAAACGAAGTCATCGTACAGATGTTGCTGAGAGCAAAAGCAAACCCGGACGTCAAAGACCCAGAAGGGCGAGCGCCGCTTTCCTGTGCCGTGGAGGCGGAAAACGAAACCATGGTACAGTTGCTGCTTAGAGCTAATGCTGACCCAGATGTGAAGGACGGGGATGGGAGGCCTCCATTACTGTGGGCGGTTGACAAAGGGTCCGAAGATGTGGTGCGCTTGCTGATCGCGTCCCGAAGGGTGAACATCAACGCAGTGGATGATGGTGGCCGTTCCGCGCTGTGGTGGGCTGCACGGTCTGGGTATTTCGATATTGTGCGGCTGCTGGTTCGGTGTCGGGCAGATATGGAGATGCAGCCTTCCTCGGGAGCAGATTATGAACAATCCGGCACACCCTTGTACCAGGCTGGTCGTCGGGGGCACTTCGACGTGGTCAAGTACCTGCTAAAGAAGGGGGCCGACATCAATGCTCCGGCTGGAGAGCCAGGTTTGTCACTGCTCATATCGCTCGTGCTGTTTGACCGGACCAAAAGGGGCAGGCGAATGCTTGAGCTGCTACTTGACAGGGGTGCCGACGTCAATTCGCAGGATAGCTCGGGACAGACAATATTGGACATGGCAGCAACAACCGGCGATATTGAGCTGGCCGCACTGGCACTGGACCACGGGGCGATGCTGGAAGCCATGGCGGAGGATGGCATGACAGCCTTGCATCGCGCAGTGCTCCATCGGCACGACCACATCATGGACATGCTACTCGAGGCCGGCGCAGACGCTGAGGCGCAAGATGGTAACGGGGACACTCCACTGCATTTTGCCGCGGCCAGTGGCCGCAGGAACCTCTTGGATCTATTCTTAGAGAACTCTGATATCAACGTGACCAACTTTTCGGGGGAGAGCCCGCTACACAAGGCAGCAAAATACGGTCGTCGAAAGATGGTCGAGTATATGATTCAGAATGGGGCCGATGTCAAGTTGTGCGATGACTATCAAAGAACGCCGCTACACAAGGCAGTAGGATCCGAGAATCATGTTATGAGGCTGTTGGCCAATCGCGGTGCGGATGTCAAAGCGGTAGACATATTTGGGCAGACTGCTCTTCATATGGCGGCAGAAGCTGGACTAGCTGAAGACGTCTACTTCCTGCTCGGCCATGGACTGGCCGGAGATCTCAAAGACAATCGTGGACGAACGCCACGAGACTTGGCTGCTAAAGGCGGGAAGAAGGATGTCATGCGGGTGTTCAAACGCATGGAACTGATGGTTGCGGAGCACGATGATGAGACATCTTCTGATAATGAATGATGTGGATGAATCTCTACCGGGCACAAACCCTGGCCCGATCAGGGATTCCGTCAATTGCATTGCATGGTGTCTTTCGGTGTTCATTAGACACCCTTGTTGCTCGACGGGCTCGAATTTGCTCGGGTTGCAGCGTGCCTTGCCCGGCCCCATCCGTCGTCGAGTGGTCACCTGCCCGGGGTAGCTACCTCCTTCCTAATCGAGGAGCGGCTGCGAGTATAAACCCCCCCCCTCTTTGGCCTCCCTTCTCCCGGATCTTCCTTTCGAATCTCTTCGTCCTCCTCCTATATTCCAGCAAGCGTCGGTCCTGGCGTTCTGCGTTTCCTTTCCAGACTCGACGACGACTATGCCCCTCTCTATCCTTGGCCTTGTATCACTGTTGGATGGGCAGTGATTCTTGCATCGGTTTCTTTCCGGCTCAGATCCCACAAGGTCGGCTGGAGCTGTAGGTGGGCTGTTCTGCGATGGCCTGGGTGGTCCTCCTTTCTGGACATAATTGGTCATGCTGTACATAGCCTACCTACATCTTTACTATATCGAAATGACATGCAGGCATGAACTTCTGTGGAATTGTCATTCGCCAGCAGGCGTCTTAACGTCGTAGTACGGACTCGAGATCCAAGCAGTTCTGGCTTGCTCTTTATGTTGCATAGCAATACCCTCCTCCAGCCCGTTAAAAAGTGCTGTTAGATTGCTGTTCGGATGATGTAGTAAACTGCGAAAGCTGCCCGGGCGTGATAGATAGGAAGGGCTGGTGGTGAGTGATAGATAGCATTCCCTATCCTCGCCCACGACGCGCAGGTTGGTTCTGGCAGCGGCAGCTTCGTTACTGGATGCTGAAGGTTCTCAGGCAGTAAGTAGAAGCAGCAAACAGAATGGCAAAAAAAGCAAAAAAGAAAGCCCAACGCGGGGCTCGAACCCGCAGCCTTGAGATTAAGAGTCTCACGCTCTACCGATTGAGCTAGCCGGGCTTGCTCGTTGAAGAACGCTGCTAAGTAATGCACTATATTCCAATATAGCCACAACCCATCCGTATATGTATCTTAAGTGCCAGTTCACTTCATCTAACAAAACTGAACTAGTTAGTAGTGGTTCATTTGCAGAACATCTTACTACGATGCTCTATAAAGTTCATTTTATATGGCTCCACAAGAAGCCGCTGTGGGTCTGGACCATACGACTCTCATGAAGTGCTTAGTTATAACTTAATCATGTTCTGCTATATATATAGTCCCAGGCCACCTCCCGGTATACCCATGCGTCGAGTCCACGTATGCTCAGAGACGCGGGCCAAATTGAGCCACGACCTATATGGCAATACCCAAGGATTAATTCAAGTGAAATAAGCTGCACACGACTGGATCGCCCCAGTAGACAAAGAGGAGCGCTATGAGATCCACGGACAACAAGAAACAATTGCTAGATCATACGATAAGACGGGTTGCAGTATATGTTGCAACAAGAAAAAAAAAAAAAAAAAAAAGACGGAAGCAAGGCATACAAGACCCGTCGAAGATGTTGAGTAATGGGGGTATTAAATGTTGAGACATGCCATATTTCTACCTTCTACGCCCGGGGCTGAGAAGGGATATATACCTTTTGGCCTACGTGGATCTTGACATCAAATATGATGCATCGGAAAACATTCCCGAGAACAACAGCAAGCCGAGAAGCAGCCAATGCTATATCTAGATATACCCCTCTCCAGTAAGCACAATAGTTAGTCCGATCAACCAAAATATGTCATCTACCATAGTATGAGTTTTTAACCCAGGCCTGCCCACATGGCAGGCCCCATGAACCAGGTAAAGCATGAATTACACCCACCCACTATCGGGCTCTGGTTTGCGAACCGTAAATACGTACACCACAAGTCAAAAGAGTATTGGTAGTTCTGGCATAGTCTCATATATGAAAAGAAACCAGTACTACACCTAGCTGATCTATACCTGCTACCTAACAGGTAACTTTGACCAAAGAGAAACATGGCGAGCATCCACCCTTCACGAGACCTAAGAGTAAGACTAGATACAGAAAATATTCAAGAGTGATCTGCGACATCTGTAATACAGTTATCCATGTTTTCTTACACTTTAACCAAGAAGGGCAGCTCTCGCCTGAACTCGACAAATTCGCTAAAAGACGACTGCCTGTAGCGACACTGGTTTTTATTTGGCTTATAAGGCAAAGAGAAGCAGCGTTCTTCAACTAGCTAGCCCGGCTAGCTCAATCGGTAGAGCGTGAGACTCTTAATCTCAAGGCTGCGGGTTCGAGCCCCGCGTTGGGCTTTCTTTTTTGCTCTTTTCTTCTTTCTTCCATCATCAAAAATGCAGCGATGATGGCGTTAGTGTCTTCCTCCTTCCTTCCTCTTGTTTCCTGCTTTTTGTTTCCGATGAAGACTCCGGTATTCCCATTTCTAGTTACCCTAATCTGCCTACACATTGTCACCCGTTCCTAGAATACTTCCCTCTTTGAAGGACCCGGACAAGCATCTAAAATATCACGAATTCTATTATATGCACACATACAAACCTAACTATGACCTTGTACTGTGTTTATTCAATACGGGACTATGCGGCGGCAGTTCAGTAATCATTGAATAGGACTTGAGATTGCTCGCTGCTCGTATGTACTGCATAAATAGACCTTCCTGAAGTTAGGAAAGATACCACCTCCAAAAGCCACATCAAAACCGCATGACACAGGAAGATGCACAAGGACAACCGCGAAAGCCATTAATACCAACTTTTCTACTCACCTGAAATTTTGTTCATTCCTGGTCCGCTATGGTTGAGCTCGATTCTCCCATCATCATACTTCTTCCAGCTTTTTCCTCTGCCAGCACTCTGACCGTCTCCGTGAGCGACATGATCTGTTCCTTGAGCCGCAAAACCTCCAAAGTGGTACCGTCAATCTGCACATTTGGAGTGGTCTCCTGCACAGCCTGTCTCCAGCCGTCGTCAACGTCAAAGTCAACTTCCTCAGCCGCATGCTCCCATTCCTGCACACTATCATCATCCTCTTCACCGCGACGACGATTCCACCTAACTCGCCTAGCGTCTCGCACCTCGAAGAACGCAGTGATGACGAGGATGGGCGAGTAGATGATCCCCATGATGACGTCATTCAGCTTTGCATAATACTGCCTTGGTAGCCACCATTCGAACGGGAGCACCAAGAAGATAATCTCCAGCAAATTAAATGCTAGATGGAATAATTAGCCATCGTTCATCGTAGCAGCGGGTCAGACATACGAGGTATAAAGACATTCTCATCCGGTGCACGCACAAATTGCATAGTCTTCTGTGCGAAGATGGCCATGTATTCGTCCACAGCATTCCCCGAAATATCCTCGTAGGCACTATTATATAGTGCAATGAGGATATTCAAAAGGACTGGAAAGGATTTAGTTAGCCATACTCCCAAGTCTTAAAGATGAGGGGCATTTACTGGTCATGACAACGAAATTGAACAGGTAGTAAAGGATGATCCCGAAGGGAAAGGCAAAGTCCTCAAACGTGCTGAATTCTGGACTCTGCATGACACTGTTCGCCATCCCTTGGATAATACCTCTGACTATCTGCGTGTCCTCATCCACCTGAGCCATGCCGATGAAAGCTTGGAAAAATCCCGCAAGAACGACAAAGAGCAGAGCGAAGAAGATTATACTCTCCTTCATCATGACCCTCAACACCACGAACATGGCACCGAAGAAGCGGAAAGAGTCGAGGTAGAGCATCATACGCATCCAGAACATTGGTCCCGCAAAGGCTAGAAAGTTGTAACTCAATTCGTTCAGACTTTGCCTTTGTGCATCGTGGACGGATGAAGAATGAGCCAAGGCAGCGACGCGCAGGAAGAAAGACACGGCAAGTATCGCATAGAGTGTAGAGTTGAAGGCATTCCAGAAGTCCAAGTAGTGCCACCCGACCTTCCAGAGTTTGGTCACCTCATCGCAGATGAACGCAAGTGTCATAACATAAAGAATCCCCTCGACGACATCTATATCGCCCGTGGGATTAACTGTGTTGATGACCTGAGTATAGAGGCCAAGATATATGAGGGAAAAGAATATCTGGCAGATGTTCTGATAAAGAGGTGCTCTCATCCGATCTGGATGGAAGTGAACAGCGAAGCTAGTGTTGTCCCTTTCCAAATAGGGAACGAAGTTTGTTGGGTTGCCCTCTTGTTGGCAGAGCCATCCATTCCAGAGGTATCTGATGCATTTTTGATATCCAGCAGAGCCAATGACCCTCAAAGCATGAAGATCAACAGCACGCTCAATGACATTGGCTGGCACGGTCTCCTCGCCGTCAATAAAGATCGAGTACCGCTTGAGAAGAATATTGAGGAGTAGTGTATCCTGATCTTCCTCGGTTTCGATTCTGTATCGTAATCAGCAAAAGTTTCAAATCATGCAAGGCAAAGGTGTACTACATCCGCTTCGCTATGACCTCACAAGCGATGGCTCGGCGTTCATGTAAATCAGAATCCCAGAGTTCTTCTTTGGCCTGAAGTTTGAACCACCGCAGACAGATGAGCAAGCAGAACGGGACGCAAACCTGCAGGTCATCACCCCCTGCTAGCCGGGCTGTCTGAACCACATTCTTTGTGATGACCCGACTGTTGGGATTAATGATGTCACTCTCATCGAGCTCACAAGGGACGACCTGTTCGATCTGATACTTGAGACGCAGAGCGACTTTTGTCACCTCTTTGGAAGGTAGAGTTGAAGGGGCTTGATCATCTGTAAACGCAGGGAGCACTATGAACCCTGTCAGCCGACCGCATGGTGTAGAGCGGCTCCGCATTCAAAATGACGTACACCGGTGTTGCTCCATATGCAGGCGGTGTCGGGCCCGCTCTCTGTCGGTAGTGAAGATACTCCTCCAGTGACCCATCTTGAAATGTCCGGCAAAGTAGCCTCCTTAGCGGAATGATGGCAAAGATCAGACTCAACAGGAGCTGAGGGACGAGCGATTTTCAGAGCTACGCAGCTGCTTGACACTCTTTGGGACTAACTCGCGCGCCCGTAGCGCCCCACCTCCGGCCAATCAGCTCAGACCGCCAGTGGAGGGACCATCTCCGAGGAGCAAATCATACAAGAAGTCGGGGAGCGATTGTACGCCGCATACGCCTATGTCTAGAACGGCCACTGGGGTTGAATCGTTAATTCAAGAAAGCTTATGTACATCAGATCATGGGAGAGCTCCTGTTGGCCGGAGCCCAGTCTCAACAGAGATTCAAGCAACATCCACCGAGCAACAATGCATGAAGACAATGATGCCATGCACATTGTCCCATGAGAAGAGAGGGTTTTCGATGGGATAGGGCTTCCCCTGCCGTCTTCCTACCTTGCTGATGATTTCGATTTCGTCCGTCGCACATTAAGCCGTACTTCCGTCTCATCAATCGTGTCATGTCCAGAAACTCTATTGAACTTTTCCGCTCCCTACCCGACACACGTATACGATCGCCTTCAACCTTCACCCTGCGATGCCGCCAACTCCAGTACGTGAAACGTTCCGTATAATTTCCACGCCTCCGTCGAAGCGAGCCTTAAGCTTCAAACCCCGCCGTGAAGTTTGCCGCGGGCAGCTTACTCAGGAACGCCCTCGTCGCTCTCGGACATGCTCTCGTCACCGCTGACTTCCATGTTCTCACGTTCACGCTTCTCCATAAGTTCCTGGAGAGCGGCATCATCGTGCTCGGTGACAGCCTTGGGCGCCATCTTGACGATGCAGCCACCACCGGACTCCTTAATCCGAGCCTCGATCCTTTGGATGGCCTCTTCGAGCATCTGAATACCAACGGCCTTATCCAAGCACTGGCTGGTCAAGACGTAAAGTGGCGGGGCAACCAGCTTGACCTTGATCTGGGTCTCAGCAGTGTTGTTGGCCTCGGCGGTGCGCAGGGCCTCCTTGACCGCGTCGATACCATCGTAGCCAAAGCAAGTAACCTCGATATCGGCGCGAACCTTGGTCGGGTGGGGAGTGAGTCTCTTGCTGATGTAGTGCGTCAACTCCTTCTTCACGGACTCGCTGGGGAATTCAACTTCGTTCCACACGTCGGGGTTCCTAAAATGGTATGAGCAAAATGGCCCGTAATGTCCTCGTGTTCGCTATGGCCTTACGTGATGGAGATCTTGAACGCATCGTGAGAATGTCCGTATTTCCGGTTCAAAGGCCATCCGATCTGCTGGTAGAGGGTCTCAAGAGGGGTCTGGGTGGCCTCGGCAACATGGCGCATGATGGAGTGCACCGCCTTGCTCTTGTTGTATCTTTCCTCGCACTTGACCACATCTTCGGGAGAGACTCGTCGCTTGGAAAGATCGATATAACCTGGAGACGTAGAAAACCCGAGTTAGTAACTTGTAATCGTCACCCGGAGGACTCATAACTTGCCCTTCTCCTTATCGACACGGAGCACGATGACGACCTCGTTGCGACCGATACGGATAAGCTTCTGGATACTGCGAATACGTCTGCGCGACAATTCGGAGAGCAGGATCATGCCGTCAATGTTGTCATATTCGAGGAGCTTAACGTATGCGCCCATTTCGGCGATCTGTATGGTTGAAAAAGCAACGATTAGAGACCCCTTCGCTTCCGACAAGGAAAGATAACCTGTAGCAGTGCATACCTGCTTCACGTTGACCATGACATAGCTGTCGACCTCCGGATACTTCTCCTCGTAGAAACGGCAATTTGTCAACGACATTTTCGGCGGGGTTGCGCCTTCTGCCAGGCAAGCTTCTGAACGGTCCGAGCACTGGGATAAGGCTGAAAAGCAATAGGGTATCCGAGACTAAGTGGCCTCGAGATAAATCCTCCGTGAGAATGCCTGAAAGGATGTGAGGGGGTTGTGAGCCTGGATAGACGACTGTCACTTACGGGGTCACAAAGCACAATTCGAAAAACCCACTTTCGGCCTCGCGGTTGAGTCATCACGTGCAGGGCTTGATAGCTTACCGCCCGGCAAAACACGATAATGCACTGATAGGGCCATAGTGAGGAATCGATACTACTAGAGTAACAATTCACGCCCAGTGTCAAGAATCAGAAGAAGTGCTGGCCTGAAGATTTTATTGTTATTGTTATTCATTTCCCACGCATCGTGGCTGGAAAAGCTCACCTCATGTAGTCTTGCTTCCTGGTGATATACTTACAAATGACTTCTCTTAAATCGTCGCGTACTATGTCCGATATGATAGCTAGAATATTCAGCATAACAAAAGGCTTAGGCAGTTTGGCACAGGTCTAATCTAGCACCAATGATGTACCCTCCTCTTCCTGAGTGTTAGAAACCCTGGAGATGTGATCACCGGAAACTTCCGTTAATACTTATTCATTATATTTGAGCACGCCGTTATAGATCATCACCCGCTGGTGCTCTCCAAACGGCGTTCCGCTTTCTACTAGCGTTTTGTTACCCCTTGTCGAACGACATTTCAAGGATCCTTATTTGGATGTGATCTCCTGCCGCTGTCTCAGCCAGAGAGTCTCTGAATGCCTTGAATCTGCTGGCAATTATTCTCTGATGAAAATCCCTCCTCCAACGGTTTCAGGTGCTATATCCTGCAAGACCCAGGTCTACAAACACTTTTACTGCAAGAGAAATAACGAACTCGCTCAGAGGACCAGGGTGACCAGGGGCCCGACTGCTCTAGACAGTTAATAGGCCGTTTCCGTGACATTATCATAAATCAGATAGACCATGTCAGAGTCCTGCCCCGATTAAATAATCCCCAAGATGTTCGTCAACCTTTGCAGCCTCCGGTTGTTGCACCCACTCGGGACTATGCGCCAATATAAAAGTCTGATTCGTTTTAACCGCATACACGGCTTCCTTGTCCTACACCGATAGAATTTCAAAAGATTATACCAGCAATATAGATCTTGGAACCTACCTTCTTGCCATGAATGAATCGTTCATTTGCTAGGACCACCAGGTATCTCTGTCCCTCGAAATAAATCCCATCAGAATATAGAGGACTCGCATCGCTAAGCCCCTTCAATAGGCTTTGCACCTCCTCAGGCTTAGGCTTTAGATTCGTTTAGTACATATTCGTCTTGAAACCATCGTTCTAAAATAATTAACAAGTGCCTTACACTGAAGCCCGGCCTAGCCGCCCATAACACTGTCACCGGCTCCTGAAAATATAGCGCCTTTGTCGATTTTGCCAGTCGCGATAAGAGAACTGTCGACATACCCTAAAAAAATGAGAAATTAGGAATAGTGTAACATAGCCATGATTGTTAGGTTCAGTACCTTGCCAGCTCATCTTGAGTGTGTACCTATGTGGTTGCTAATATAAAGGGATTATAAAAATTGGGTTGGTTCAGTGAATAGACAGAGGGGTTAGGACTCTTTATAGCCATGTTCTTATGTACGACCCGTCAAAAAGATGGATACGTCATCCTATATACAATCTGTCCAGCCAAAGACATCGTCAAGCGACAGCCGCTCCTTCTCCTCATGACGTTCATCACCCCCTCTATCTGACTAGGGCTATGTTTTACCAGCGCCTTTGAAGTATCTGATACATTGTGTTTGCTATCATCCATCATTATAATGACCCCGGTGGGTGAGTGTTCGTTACACTTTGATTTGGCGCAGTAACTGAATAACTCTTCCAGCAAGTCTTGTTGCCCCTGGTGGGTGATCTCACTCCACCGACCCGCCACACAACGTCTCTAGCTATTGTATATTTAGAACTAGTATTCGGTCTTCTTCTGGCCCGTCTTCTCGCTAGTCTCGTAGCGCAATATTTGCACTGGCGATACATCTACTGGCTGACATTGGGCGTACTGTGCCTGGCTTGCTCTGGGCCTTCCTGCCCGACTTTCCGTCACCAAACATCGACATTGGGTAATTGAGAGTTTAATGGTTCATACTGAAGCTGTACACCTAGCACCCAGTCTTGGTCTAGGCTACCGTGGTCGGGCTTCTGGTCTCTGCCACAAATACCGATTTCTGGACGATTCTCACATTCTTCTGTCCGGAGATCCGCATCACTTCTCCGCCTTTATCATTGTACTATATCCATGGTCGGGCTGTCACCCATGTTCCCGAAGCTATGATATGCAAGTTTATATCTTGCTGCTGCGGAGGTAAGGGAAATATGGACATCCCCGCAGTAAGTGACATGTTGTGGGCCTGTGAATTCAGTGGGGCTACCCCGTACACCCGCACTTGCTGGGTCAATGCTTTGACGGGCAGCCCATAGGGTTAAATGCTGGGTGTATAATCCGCTTTGTTCAGTACTACTTATTCTCGCGAAGCCACTGCTGACACACAACCTGCGGCCATACCCGGGTGAATACTGGCGGCACGGCGCAGGATACGGTCGCCAGGGCAGCCAGGAATCGGCAGTGCCACGACCGGCACCATCCACGGTCACCACGCCATGACCGGCTGGATCGTTCACACAAGTCGCAAACACCCACAGCGCCGCCGCCAGCAGGTCATTCCAGAAGCTTGTTCTCAGGCTGTAGCGGACGATTCAAACATCATCAAGCTGTGTGCTACGCTGCGCGATGATGCGTAGTCCAGTTAGCCTAGTCCATAATTTCAGGTTACAAGTAGTGTTGTTTGCGTGGCTAACACCGTACCATGAGGCGAGTTGTGACTATAGCTGGGATAGATAAGAATTCAAGGTCCCTATAGACTAAAGTTTAATCGCGTAACATGGGCGTAGCCATCGAGATTTCAGGACTGTTTCTAACAATTATATGTCAAGAACCACGTAGACCAAAAGGAATATATCCCTTCTTAGCCTCGGGCGTAGAAGGTAGAAATATGGCATGTCTCAACATTATATCTAACCCAATTGAAAAGGAATTATTCCCTCCGATATCAAGACTACTAACAACAGAGCCGTAATTCAACAAGTTTAGGCAGATAACATATACGCAGCGACAGTGGTACCCGACATAGAAGCCGAACTCGTCTGCGCTACATCTCTCTTGTTTCTATTTAGCGGGTATCTAGAATAGCATAGACTTACAGATAATACACATTTGTTATCACCCACTGCAACAAGACGGAGGACGTCTCCATAGACAATGTATCTTACAGCATTATTAGGTATACTGAAATAGCTTATGATCATCTTTAGCTTATATAATCAGTAATAGACCTAACTAGTTATAAAGAATATCCCTACCCAGGCTTATGTTGACCACAGCCTTGCCCGTGCGTTCTTGGCTGCAATATGACTGACCCCCACTTGTATCAATCGGAGTGGCAGATTTTTGTTAGTCTGATTCTTGGGCCCCTTCCTAGTTCCTACGTTGGGGGCCTAATTATCACTGTTTTCTTATTCGATACGGAATACGTATAAATCCTTTGATCCTTTTCTGACATTGGGGCTATGTCTGCTTACCCCACCTTGACCCAGCCGCACCTGATAACCTCTTCTCAGTGCGAGGATTCTCCTTGTGTGGGCCTGGTAGCTAGGCATGCCGTATTGTTTACGATTGAATCAAATGATCGGCGAGTTCTGTTCCGACTATCCAGAAAATCGCGGAGGTATCGGTGGTCAAAAGACGTGAACTCCGAATGGCCCGTGCTAAGCAGATAATCATATAAGAGAGGCTCAACCTTCCAACATCACCCCTCTGTTTTTTTTTTTTTGTAAATACGTTCTCAGCGCTCGTCTCATCTCGCTATATCTACTTCCTATCCTAGTCAGCGAATATGGCTCACTACATCACCACAAACGACGCCAACGGGGTATCCGTCTTCTCCAAAGTTCCAGACGAACAATTCAAAATATCCGTTCCAGTCGGCGAAATTCGAATTCTTTCATCTGCCCATTCCTTCCCGCTTGACCTCTCAAGCGAAGCCGATATCGAACAGTACCAAAAAGACCGTACCTCTACGTTCTTTCCAGGAAGCAGCCGTCGGATTGTTCCTGATGGAGGCACCTCCACAATCATGATTACAATGGAACCGGGGGCTGAGAGTCCAATGCACAGGACTATGACCTCGGACACTGTGGTGGTCATTGAGGGTGAGATTGAAAGCACCTTGGACTCAGGAGAGACGCGGATTCTCAAAGCGGGTGATGTGCTTGTGCAGAGAGCCACTATGCACAAATGGAGGAACGTTACCGCCGATAATGGCCGTGCGAAAATGGTTGCTTTCGCCCAATCTACGGCTGAGCCTTTGCAGATTGGAGATAAGGTTCTCAGTAACGAATGGCTCAATTGAAGGCTTATCGATAGAATGAGGCGCGTTGGGAATTTGGCTCGTTGTTCAGATAATACTACGCGCACATATGCCATACCGCGGGAACACATGAATGGTGTTGAGCAACAGATTTTGTGTCAGATAGTTGACGATTTGCTAATCCTCTTCTTCGAGCCCTGTTGAGCAATATCGGTGGTTAATATTAACACTACTATACTGATCCCTTACAAATATCTTTCGTTGAACAGCTCGGCCTTTAGGCAAACAAAGATGAATTCTAATATAAAACTGGCCCAAAGAGGGAGATTTATACGGATATACTGACCAAGGTCGTGAATGATCAGATTCTCTGGCCTCCGCATCCAGGCTACTATAGCACCACCATGATTAAGCTGCAATAATATCTTTGCATAGGAATAGTATACAAGTGATGTGACTTATTTGCTTTAGCTTGCTCGAAAAATTCCACGACGGAGCCAGAGCATACTGTAATGGCACACAAAGTCATGCTTAGGACGCAACCTAATAATATGGGTATCTAGCTTCTGCCAGAGAAATCACGGAATAACAATTCTTCTTTTTCGCCCTCTTTTCCTTTCTTTTCTTCTGGGAGGTCTAGTCATTCTCTGAAACTGACCTGTGCATGAGCTCAGTGATCACTATTGCTTTTATATGTAGATTAAGCGCCTTATCATGGTTGAGGGGTGTTGATAAGATGAGATCCATGATGCATGCCGTATACAACTCAAAAGCAATGTGCAGAAACTTTTGGCCAAGCGGTCTGTTCAACTTACCGGCTTTGAGCTTAAATATGCCGCAAGCCACTAGCCTACGTCGTTCGGTAGCTGGAAGCAAACGAGGGTTTATTATTAAGTTACTACCTATAGCGGCATACTAAGCGACTACTACATGTACGAGATCATCTTGATGTATGTGTCTAAAGTAAAGAGCCCATTCGGGTGAAGCAGCTGATCTAACCGTAGCACAACGGTCTTCAGCCTTCAATTGGAAGAATAGGCTAGTCTATTGTTATGACCTATCATGTAAGTATGCATGCAGGATGCCTGACCCCCAGGGAGGCTACTGGGTGTAGCACACTGGGCTTGGTGCCTCATGTTGGGCAACATCGTTTGAGCCGAATTGCATTGCACCGGTTGCAAAGACTGGCTGGATACTGGTTGGTTGGTTGTTGGTTGGTTGGTTGTCATAGACCGGAAACAAAGAAGCTTAGGTAAGCCATGGCAGGGTTGTTCTTAACTAGTTAACTAGGTTAAATGGGAACGTCATCATCCTGACGGCTTGTCTCAATGCAGACTGGGGAAGGCAGTGGAATAAGCAGGCAAACTCTGCCTGAGGTGCGGCATCGCACACAAAGAAACTGGTATCTTGTATGGTCGGTCGCCAACCAAGGCCTGCCTGCCTTATCCGAAAACTTACGATTCCGCTAACGACGTACTTATCTTAGCCAGCAGCCACCGCTCCCTGCGCTAGCAATGCAAGCCTCTTGACACGCTCGACGTTGCTGTGTTTTCTTTCTTCCCCTCCTTCTCTCACCGTCGAAGTCGCGATCGCATATGGCGTTTCTCGCATCGCTTCAGACTGCATTGACTGTTAGAGTCTGATCTCGTCGTTCCTCCGGGTTTCTCCGAGTAAACATGTCGGATCCCGATTCGCAGCGCGGACACGCTGAACACCGCTCTTTGCGGGACTGGGTCGTCGACCTCTTCCGGGGACCCCTGTCGAACAGTTCCACAGGCTCCCAGACTGAACAACTTCCTGAAACCCTAGAACCGAACGATAGAACCCGCCTGTTGAAAGTGGATGATGATGGTGGAAGTCCCGCATATGGCACAAGAGACGGTACAGCGCCACCGGAGCAGGAAGGGAATCACCAATGGGGTATATACTCCATGCCCCAAGTCGACGGACAGTCTGGTATATCGGGAGAAAGTAATCAGCATGTCCCTGGAAACCCAAGTTTCGTTGAGGGCCCAGAGAACATCCCTCGACCTGGGTCAGATATGGCTTGGCCTGTGAAGAACCATAAGACTATGTAGGTTTGAGCCTTGCGGTCGGTTGACTGTCCGATTGCAGCAGAATGACTGACCAAGGACCAGGTATCTATCATACTATATCCCATTCTTCAACTGGATCCAACAATATCGTTGGTCTTTTTTTCGGGGAGACTTGATTGCAGCCATGACAATCGCATCCATCTACATCCCCATGGCGCTATCCTTGGCTTCCAATCTCGCTCATGCCCCGGCAATCAATGGTCTTTACTCATTCGTATTCCATCCATTGATCTATGCGATCCTGGGAAGCAGTCCCCTATTGGTTGTTGGCCCCGAAGCAGCTGGTTCTTTGTTGACTGGAACGATTGTTAAGGCTAGTGTTACACAAGGACACTCGCAAGAGGACGATGAGGCTGCCAGTGCTATGGTTGTTGGTGTGGCCACTGCCATGGCAGGGGCCATGATACTGGTCGCCGGGCTGACTCGCTTGGGTTTCCTGGATAACGTGCTGAGTCGGCCCTTTTTGAGAGGCTTCATTACCGCCATTGGCTTCGTCATCTTCGTTGACCAGCTCATTCCGGAGGTCGGGTTGGCGGACTTGGCTAAGGAAGCCGGCGTCAGCCACGGAAGTACAGTGCAAAAGCTGGTCTTCCTCGTCGAGAATGTCAAAAGCTGTCATGGGCTCACAGCTGCAGTGTCTTTCGGCAGCTTTGCCATTATAATGCTCTTTCGGTATGTACTACGCCTCCAATAACAGAACGATCAATGCTGACTGCACCTATCTTAGAACGATCAAAAAAGCACTGGAACCACGATACCCCCAAGTCGTCTACTTTCCCGACCGTATCCTTGTTGTCATTTTATCGGCCGTTTTGACCTGGCGCCTTGGCTGGTATAAGAAGGGGCTCGAAGTCCTCGGCCCGACGCAAAATACTGCTAGTGGGCTTTTCGCATTCAGGTGGCCGTTCCAACTCAAACACTTGAAGCATGTACGCACTGCAATGAGTACCTCCTTCGTAATCGCCATCCTTGGCTTTTTCGAGTCCTCCGTTGCTGCCAAAGGGCTCGGTGAGAGACGAGATGGCGTCCAGGGCATGTCCGTCAGTGCGAATCGGGAGATGGTGGCGCTGGGCGTTGCTAATGTGGTCGGGGGCTGTTTCATGGCCCTTCCCGCATTTGGCGGGTATGGTAGGAGTAAAGTCAACGCGTCCACGGGCGCCCGTTCTCCTATGAGCAGTATCTTCCTCAGTATCATCACCTTCATCTGCATTATGGTGCTGTTGCCATACTTGTATTATCTTCCGGTAAGTTTTTTTTACAGCCCCTGGCAGATCTTGAAAAGGCACATATTGACCTCTACCCCAGAAAGCTGTACTGTGCTCTACAATCTCGGTTGTTGCATACAGTCTTATAGAGGAATGTCCTCATGATGTTGCGTTTTTTATTCGCTTGCGTGGCTGGACAGAACTCGCATTGATGCTTCTCATTTTCGTCTCCACAATCTTCTACTCGCTGGAGCTGGGTATCGCGCTCGGCATTGGTCTCTCTATCCTAATGCTTATCCGCCACTGCACCCAGCCTCGCATACAGATTCTCGGAAAAGTAGCTGGTACATCCAACCAGTTCGACAATGCCGAATTGCACTCAGAAAATGTGGAGCTCATCGAGGGCGCCCTTGTTGTTAAGATTCCAGAGCCGCTCACTTTTGCCAATACTGGTGACCTCAAGAATCGTCTGCGCCGTCTTGAGTTTTATGGCACGAATCGCGCACATCCTTCCCTTCCACGTTTGCGACCCCCGGAGCACAATAAGAACGTTATTTTCGACGTTCACGGCGTCACGAGCATCGATGGTTCCGGCACACAGGTCCTCTCTGAGATTGTGAATGGTTACATCGATCTCGGTGTAAGCGTCTTCTTCTGCCGTCTTCCCAATCGCGATGTGTTTCGCATGTTTGAAAGAAGTGGCATAGTTGACCGGTGCGGAGGCATGTCGCATTTCGTCACCGGTGTCGATGAAGCTCTCAGGCTCGCTGAATCAGAGGCCCGTACAGAGCCTTGAAGATCCTCTCGAAAGAAACCAGGAGCTCCAGTTGCATAGCTGGGTTACTCGTCACGACCAGGCCTTGTAAATGATTCACGACATTGCACGATATAAGACAGACGTATAGAATGTATAGTCCCAGCCTCTGCTAGATATGTTGTTGATAGCAGTCAAGATTAGAATCGCCAGCGGTTTTTGTTTTTGGAAGGGACCTGTGTGGGAAGTGCTTGTAGTCTGCGATTCCGCTTAATCACGTTTCCTGGCCCTCATCCTCAGTCAACCACGGCCCTGCGCACAATATCCGAGAGCAACATCTCGCAAGCCCGCAATGTGAGGTGATTCTTCCGACTAGCAGCATTCTCCGATTCGCCATTCTCGCTTGCCGACGGCGCTGCAACCAATTTCAATCTGCCCTCCCCACCAAGTGAAAAGCCCCCGCAGGCGATTTTCGTCAAACGCACATGCTCCTGTCCTTTTACGATGGGACCAGCGCCGCTCAAGTCAACCCTCATCGCCAAATGCTCTTCCAAGTATGCACTGAGAATAGACAGTATATCCGACTCACTTCCTGCACCGTTGCCTTCAGTACGAAGAAACCCTCCCAGTGACTCGCGCGGTATAGTGATATTCAAGGAGCGCAAATCCGGCGCAACGGAGGTTGGAAACGATAGCGTAAGGTGAAGCTCCTTAAGGATGTCAACGGGATCCAGGGTCCCAGTGTCTCCTTCAGAGGCGAGAGTATTAATGTATGTGATCAACGCTGCACCTATGAATTGCGAAGGAAGGCGAAGCGGCGAGCAGTACGTATCGAACGTCGAAGAGAGGAAAGAGATGAAAGTTTGTCGGAGAGGTGCGGGAAAGCGGGTTAGGAGGAGAGGAAGGCGCGTAGCGTGTGTTTGGGCTTGGGATCGAGTTCGCGCTCGGGGTCTTGCGGCGGGCTCTGGTTGAGATGTCGGAGGGGACAATGTGAGGAGAGCGGCTTTGTAGGTTATGTTCTCATACTCGAGTTTCACGAGGATTCCGCTTCCTTGATGAGAGGGCGAAACAGGGGGTGGTAGGCGTTGGGTTCGGGATCGAGATCGAGGGGGGTGTGGAGGCCGAGATTCATTCTCTGGGCTATGTTCATGTTCAATGTCTGAGAAAGAGAGGTTTGGAATGAGTTCCCAGGTACAGGATTGCAGCGCGCCTGTCCTGGAGAGCGCATCGTCCTCTGTCGCAGGTAGTGGGCCGCTGGATTGAATGGCGCTGGGGAAAGAGACCCCGGTTAACTGATCGCGCAGTCGAGTCGCGTAGGTCTTGAGAGCCACCGGGTTGTCGAGAAGGGAGTCGAATTCTTTCCCATGGTGGAGGGGTGAGAGACGGTGGAGTGCCCATGTGGTGTTTAGTAGATTAATTTGTGCCATTGTGGTGGTATCCTTGCGCAGGTCGAGTATTTGGGAACTGATGAGAAATCACATATCGTGGTATGATAGCTCTATTGGAAGAAGGACTCCCTTTGAGCTTGCCAGCCAGACAGGCAAATAACGCGGGTATCAGATTACTTAGTTGGGGAGTTCGGGGCCTCAGCGCGATTATCTCCGTCAACACACCTTATCACGCAAACATGCCAAACACATCTCCATGACTGGAAATTAGGGCATAGGGTATGGGTTTTGTTATGGTCCGAGGAACCATCCTATTACTACAGTAGGTGGAAAAGGTCCAAGCATGGCAAAGTTTCTATCTCTTGTAGAAGCGGCTGCTCGAATTATTATGCCAAAAGAGTAAGTCCCAGACGCGTAAGTAGCTCATGCAGCAACATGGATATATTCTCCGCCCTGGAGTACACCAAAACCCCAATGAAACGCCTCGCCTTGAGAATGCAAATTATGCAATGCTTGCTAAACCGACCGAATGCTTTATGCGCGCCATCCATCTGAAATCTGACAGTCTTGGCAGCAGAACAGTACAGGCAACCCAGTCCAGACCATGATTCTCTCTGCAGGGTGCGGCGTTGCCTTTCTCGAGGCCAATTCCTCTTTCACAACATCGAACCACACATCTTCCACAGAACCATGAAGGTGCACATTCGGTGCATTCTGGAAAACCAACGCGTTGATGTCGTCTTTTTCATGTAAGGTGATGTCGTTATGGAAGTTGTGCATGAAATCCTTCCGCTGCATCCGCTGATTGCCTCCGTCCCCGATCTCAGCGGAGAAGTACTCCACTATTCGGAGGAATGGTGACACTGTAAGCAGAGACCCGATCCAGCTGTCATCCGACACCGTAGGCTCATCAGGCGGTACAGTGTACCGCAGGTATGAGACTAGAAGCTGCATGCAGTGGTGTGTGGCTATCAGGGTAGGGGTGTCAGTAAAAGGAGGTGATCTGATTATCTTTACTTGCAATTCCCGGTACATGATTTTACGGATGTGGGGGGGTACAGGAACTGGCAAGCGTCCAGCTTCCCAGTCACGCAGGAGGATATTAGTCTGCTCTCGCCTGGCAAGAGCGTAGGTCTCCAGGAAGTATAATGTATAATACCTGCAGGAGAAGGGGCATGTCAGAACGGATACAAGGAGAAAGTTGGGGAGCTAACACGTACATCAGCGGAGTGAGGTGAAACCATAGGCGCGCAGTTGTTCGCTGCACAAACACATACCGCTCAGCCTTGGAGGAGAACATAGATTTCATGAATGCCGGCTCACTGTGCACAAACCGATCCATGACACGGTCTGCGATGTAGCAGCAGAGCCTTGAACAGAGTGTCTGCCGGCGACGCAAGCCAGATATGTATTTAAAAGTGTATATGTGGCCACCCTTGGCACTCTTTGCCGGTGGGAACAGATCCGACAGCAGCACTGCATCGTCCTCTGGGTTTCGAGTATATGTCCTCTCGCTATCTATCGGGGATGGAAGCGTTCCATGACGGCGTTGGCGAAGGTATTGCCGGGTAATCCACTGTTCCTGCGAGTTAAGCAGCTGATGGAATGACTTGCAGACAAGCCTTAGCGGCAGGTAATCTGAGACACCGCAGTGGGCGAATATCTTGATCTGGATTTCGACCGGAAGGGTATCCCAGGGGGACGACGTTGGAACTAGGTTCACTCTGTCAACATTCAACAAGGACACGTTAGCGACGAGCATGCCACAAGCTCCAACTGCACATCACCAGTGCTAAACGAGGGGCATTTAACGTACACTGACGACGATACCGACGATGGACCTGCAGCGTGCTTCGACGGATTATTCTTCTTGGCATCTGATTTCTTTCCTCTGTAATTGATGACAGCGCGCGCCTTCTTTGCCTGTAGCACCAAGTTATGGAATGAACTCATCGTCAAGCTCCGAAAGGCATGGGGAGGCCAGCTCCAGCTTCAGGAACAGGATGGAAGAGCTTGTCACCATGCAAATCCCCTAGTCAGTCTTCTCGTCGATCGATTTTAAGGGATTCTCCGCTTGCGCCTTTTTGGGGTCGAGGGTAGATGACTAAGCAGGGCTGAGCAGCTGTTGCTATTTTAAAAGCAGTCCACGCATAAAAGGGTCATATGCGGGGGTGTCTGAATGTCCAGGAAATGGATTATGGCTGATGGAGGGTGATAAGAACAAGGGGGCGACCTTGACAGATGGAACAATGGTGGGAGGGAGAAACGCTCCCATCTGAAACTGGATTGGGGCTACCAGTCTGCTAATTTGCGGCTGGATATTCTTTCGTTCCTTTCTCTGACCCCGAGTTTTCAAATAGCCTAAGTTACGCTTTGCTAAGGAGGAAATATACCTAAGCAATGTGATAGCTTACTGCGAGTCAATAGAACATCCAATGGACGTCTTGTCACACCAGTGTTGATACTCTGATACGTTCGTTTCATTTGGGGACTGCAGAACCCGGCCTTACGTCATCGTGCAACAGGGGTAGTTACTCCATCCTGTGCTTGATTTGTTGGAAGGACTGAGTATTATGGGGCCCAGGCTACGGCCTGACATCGCAACAGCATACACAAGAAATCATGCAAAGCCTAACAAAGCACTGTGAATAGGCTTCACATTAAGCTGGAACCCCCCATTGGCTCATGAACTTCAAAGGCTGCTAGAATCTAGCAGTTTTTGACAACTGTGTCCTTTTACCATGGTGGCGCTTTTGATGGCACCTTATAGGGCATGGAGTACCGATGCTTCTGTGACTTCCCCAGCATAGCGAGCTGAGATTGCAGTAGCATCATCTCATGATCATCATCATCATCGGGGCTTCAGTAGGAGTGACAAGCAAAAAGAGGAGCAAAAGATATTTTGGCAGAAGTTCATCAAAATTCAAACCAATAACAGTGCAAAAATATGTGCATCATCCGTGAATCGAACACGGGCCTCATCGATGGCAACGATGAATTCTACCACTAGACCAATGATGCTACTTATTGCTTAAGTAGGCAAAATTTTGATAAATGTAAACAAAGGGTATGCAATCAGCCGATATTTGAATCATGATCTGGGTGCCTCAGGTCCTGATCATTTGTGGGTCAACTTCTGCTATAACATATGCCGACACTATGCGCTGTCAACTTAATTTTGTATGCTGAGAGTAAAGTAGTCAGTAGCTAATGCTAAAATATAGAGATCATCGGACATGGCGCGTTTACAATGGTCCAAAGACTTTCGAGGAGCGAATACATTCAAAGTCTCATCCACGGCTGGTTACCGAAGAGTATGTTTGTGTTTGAACAGAGTAGGCTGACCCGTATTTTATTATTCGGGACAAAAAGCTCACCACATCCTCGCTGGATTCCTATCATGGTAGTTGATGTCGAGACTGGCAGAAGTATGCATACAGGCAGAGGCATGCGAGCGATCCATCACCCATATTCAAGGATCCTGGTGGAATTACGCGATTCATTAATCCCATGTTCCGATGCCCTTGCACATTCCTATTTGCATACTATTTTGTCTTCACATCCTGAAAAGACAATGACTTAATTTCCTACTTTCTCATCTGGTGCGCTTGCATGAACTACTGTTCCGACTTGACATGCATCGGATAATCGGATCAGACGGGAGGATAGGGTCGAATATTGCAAGCATCGCGATTGGACTCTTTCCCGCCCAGTGCGGGATTAGTCTAAGTAGAGCCATGGCCCGACAACACGCCGTCGAAGGAAGCACTGCCCCATTGCGCCCGAGCACTTGGCAGCAAAATACGTGGTGGGACCTGATCCCGTGTTTCCTTTAAAGAGCCTCACTGTAGAATATCCACGGCGCTTCCGACCGATCTCCCTGATGTATCGAGTCGGATGCCGAAGGCATTTCGAATGATGATGTGTACCTTGTTCCCCGGATCAATAGGTAGACTTGACCTGTTTAATGACAGTTGTCGAGATTTATGTCGGGTGATCATTGCACAGCATAAACCTAATCCTTCGCCCGGTGATCTTGATACGGGATCACCAACAAACATCTCAAGAAGGGCTGTGAGCTCGCTCATACAGCCACGGGTCAAGTTGACTTGGCGGGGACTTAGCCACTAGAAGACATTTGGAAGACTTGAAGAATTCACGTGGGTATTGACAGGGCACCTGCATACAGGTAGATAATACCGGGGCAACGGCAGGAGGTATGCAAGCCAGGTGATCAAAGAAGTGAGAATGATGTAATTTGTGTGACGGGTACTCCGTTGTATCCGGAGTAGCGTCGGCGAGGACCATAAGTGATTTCCGACTCTTGGAGTTGGAGGATCTAGTTCGGAGTACTCTTACAGTCACGCGCTTTGCGGCCTTATGGGCGGGCACAACTAAGACATTGGGGCAGTTTAGTCCGTCTATGACGATAGCTGCGGCCAAGCCTCGCAAAACTCCGGAACCGTCTCGGAACTAGAAATCTACAAACCGCTAAGTGGTGGGTTTGGGGCCTTTTTGAGTTGCTCAGCCTTGGGGGGCGGAGTAACAACAACAACAACAACAACAACAATCCATCGGTCCACCCAACACTGTCCAACTGGGCAAGAGCGCGGAGCCTCAGGGATCAAGGGCTCAACTCTCGAGGCGCCCAGGGGAGGGGTAGGCTCCACTACAAGAGGATTAACTTGCGAACTAAGGGGTCAAAAGGCCCAAAGAGGCCCGTTGGATTAAAGCTAACGACCCACAGCCACCGATGCGGAGAACATCTGAGTTCACATGGATGACGGCGTAGGAGGTGGTAGGGCCGGAGCTCACTGTTGATAGTATTAGCTAGGAAAATCTCCTGTCGAGTGGCTTGACACGACCCGCGAGCCAAGGTTGCAGCTGTCCAACGGTACTATTTAATTCCCCTCACCCCCTCTTCCAATGTCATACTTTCTGATCCTTCTCCATCAGTTGAATGTTCCAACGCCTGCTTCTTGCCCGCCTCTAACGTTGCAGCTACGAATTAAACCCGGCGGTCTTTAATCACTCTTTCCTTATCCGCATACTTAATCTACAAGCCCGAATCACGCCTCCGGCTCCACCTTAGCCCTGCAACCCATTCCAAGTCCAATATCAACTACATACATCCCTGCGACCTGCAACAAAATGTCAGCCGAAAGAAGCACGGATATCAACGGCAAGGCGCCAGTCCACCAACCTACGGACTCTGCCCGCGAAGCAGGCTTGGTTAATGTGCAACCAGCGCGCCTGGGCGATCTGCAACCCAAATACGCGCAGCAAATCCAGCATGGTGATGAAAATCCCGATGCGCATGGGTGGTACGCGTCATTCAGTAAGTTTCACCCTACTTTCGTAGCCCTGATTTTGGCTAGCACAGTTAGTCTAACAATTTCGCGTCCCAATTAGTTCACGGACTTGGAGAATGCATCGGATGTCTGGGTGCTATTCCATGCTGCATCTGCTGTCCCAATCCATTCAAACCAGTTGCACAAGGTGAAGTTGGCTTGATCACAAGATTTGGACGGTTCGTACACCCCGTGGTAACTCCTCATGATTTATCTTCTAATTTTGGGTGTTTTTCTCTTGCAGATTCGAACGCTCCGTCGACCCCGGTCTGGTTAAAGTGAATCCGCTGAGCGAGCACCTTACGGCGGTGGACGTTAAGATCCAAATCGTCGAAGTACCCCGCCAGAGTTGCATGACCAAGGACAACGTCAACCTAAACCTGAGTTCTGTGATTTACTACCAGATCATCTCTCCCCACAAGGCCGCATTCGGTATTTCCAATGTACGACAGGCGCTTGTGGAGCGCACTCAGACTACACTGCGTCATGTCATCGGTGCGAGAGTTTTGCAAGACGTAATTGAACGTCGTGAAGAGATCGCTCAGTCGACCTCGGAGATAATTGAGGACGTTGCTGCTGGATGGGGTGTCCAGGTTGAATCCATGCTTATCAAGGACATTATTTTCAGCAGCGACCTGCAGGACTCACTTTCTATGGCGGCGCAATCCAAGCGTATCGGTGAAAGCAAGGTCATTGCTGCTCGTGCTGAAGTCGAATCCGCCAAACTGATGCGTCAGGTAAGGACCAGGCTCACTCGAACTTCTCAATATAGGCTAACTTTGGTGACTTAGGCCGCTGATATCTTGTCCTCCGCGCCTGCGATGCAAATCCGCTACCTTGAGGCAATGCAGTCCATGGCTAAGACAGCCAACAGCAAAGTAATCTTTTTGCCGGCAATGAACCAGACCGTGCAGCAACAGATGGCTACGGCTGAAAGCGCTGGCGAGGGACCTAGCCGGTACGGACAAGCCGATGATGGATTCCAGCGTGCAATGAATGCGCGCGTGGTCGAAGATATCTGATCGCAATCTACCACGATGATTTGATTGCGTAGGGCATGGTGGCTATTCCTTTCTGATGAGTATATGCTAATGACTTTGGACGGATTATACCTCGGGAATTCACATCGCCTGATAGCCTTGTGCCTTTCCTCTCGTTTACCTGGCTTTGACGATACCCACCTTCTTTTGTTCCGTGCTTGTCATATGTTGATTAATGCTTCCATGTCTGATTAATTAATCTAATTATTCGTTATCCTTTAAATATCTGCTTTCCAACCCGAATCCCACATGAAGACATTAGTTTGCCGTAGATGAGTAGTTAGACTGCACATATGTAATCGATCATTATCTGCCTCGCGATAGATAAGCATCAAATACTGCCGAGGGCGGTGTAAAGCATGGATGTCAGCAGTACGGAGCAGTGGCCGAAAGTCGTAAACAAGCATACCTTGTTGTTGGTTATCCCGACGACTCGCTGTACCACGTCCTGATCCTTACAGATGAACATCGAATTTGTCCAATAGAGCTACTTGACAGGGCATACTTGCCCCCTCAACGCTCCAAGACACGAGCACTTTCCGACCCGATGGCTCCTTCACAGACCCCCAGCCCGGCTCCTACAGCTGCCAGAATACCAAGCTCCCGCCCGTCGTTGGAGATGACACCGGACTTCACTGACAAGTCATTTGATCCCGCCGACTACCTTAACGATGCTCTTCCCTCGCTGACGCTGGCGTCAACCCAAGCGAACCTCTCGCGAGGGCCCCCGGGGGCTATCCCCTTGTCCGAGCTGTCCAGCCAGGTCCAGTCCGTCCTCTCACAGATCAACGCGCAAAACGCCCGACACTCCACAACCTTGACACAGCTTACCGACGAGATTCTACGAAGTGGGGGACGATTAGCCTACGAAGTTGAAGTGCTGCGTGGAGAGACGATCGGACTCTCGGATACTCTGACGGAGGCGCTACGGGATGACATTGCGAAGTTTGTCCCGGAGGATGTGGACAATGACAAAGACGCTACTATCGAGGAGTCGGAAAACAGCAAAGAGCAGACAGAGCGGAAGGAGGAGATCACCGTGCAGGATCCGGAATATGTCACGAAACTACGAACGTTGAATCAGGTTCGGGCCCGGTTGGAAGAAGTGGTGCAGACTTTCGGAGATGCCATGGAATGGCCCCTTCCGCCATCGGAAACCTCTATAGCGTCGTCCTTTATATCGGTGTCGGCCCCGGAACCTGGGCCAGAAAGCCACAGCCGCGAGGAGAAGGGCCAGGAGGCAGCCAAGAAGTTGCGAATGGAGGTAACGGAGCTACTGGATATGAACGGTGGCGGGCAGGCAGGTGTTGAAGCCGCGGCACGTCGTGTTGAGTCGCTACGTACCTTGGCAACGATCTGGAAGGGAACGGCTGAGGAGAAAGCCCGGACTAGGTTCGTAGACAGCCTGGCCAAAATTGTGGAGGACCGTCGCAGGGCCCTGGATAACCAGGGCCGCACGGATCAATCCCAACAGTCGTCTGGATCGTCTACAAAAGGACCGTCGGCTAGTCATCGGCGTCAGGAAAGCGAGGGACCCGGGGGTGGGATTTTCCGCAATCTGCAGCGGTTACGCGAGGAAATATACCTGGAATGAGACAAGCAAATTCCGGAGGGGTGTGTGCTGTAAATCATGATTGCTTCAAGGCCATTGCATGGGTGTGGCGTTGATAGTGTACATATGGAGTGCAAGTGATCCTGTTTGTCTGCATTGTGGGCTTTGCCCCGGTTTTTTTTGGAAAATTATATGATAGGCGGTTGTCTTTCAGATCGGTAGTAGCTAGTGTCCGGTTAAGGGGGGTATCTATCTATCGAGTATCGATTCCTCCAGATTTTACGATCGCTTCTCAGGCGCTCTCTGGACTTATTCCAACCACTCCCAAGCCATAGATGGACCACGGTCTGGGACGGCAATAGTCCGGGCTGCATGGCTCGGTATAGACGGAGAATCTAGTTCCAAAGTAGGTTGAGAAAGGTGGAGTCATGCACAGGGAGACGTCAGGTATCGACGTAGGCCGAAGGTAGGGTAAGCAATGGACTAATGAGCAAGCAATCTGAAACCACCATGCGACTGATGCCAAGATGTGGAGGGCACGGGCAGTATGGATGTGCAGGTTCGATGACGCGGCAGATCCGAGGATGGCGTTTCCCGCCGAATCGCTCACTGGGCTGAATGAAGCTTCTCACGGAGAACCCTTCAACGAGGGGCATGTGAACTACTGAACAATATGCTCTGAGTAAGCATCTGACCGGGTCACCGAGTTCAAGGAAATTTGCACCGCGCTCTGCCGGGACGTGGAAAGAATCGCCCGGTGGGACGAACGGGTGCAGCGAGTGCACCTCGCAAGTCGCAATACCGACGGAGCGCAGGACCGGGAACCAAACAGGCAAAGCGAGGAGCCATCGATTGCAATCCGCCAGGAGGAGAGGAGGGCAAGCCAATGGCAGGGCCAGGTCTTTCCCCAGTCCCTGACCGGCCCCACTGGCGACGTAAATCCTGGCCCCAACTGGCCGCTTTTTGCTGAAGTGGTCTTCCGCCCGGGTCGACTCTTGACCACTTCCGCCGTCGTACGCCGTCGTCTTTGCGTTCTGTGTCCGCGTGGCATGGATCTTCTTTCCGACACTGCAATCTTCGTCTTTGCCTCTTTGCCGTTGTCACTATTGACTGCTGTTCCCTTCGCTCCAGCATGGCGTCTTGCGATTCCATTGACCTCTCTTAACCCTGCCTCTTCCCGTTCGCGTCGCCGCTCCTTCTGATCGCATGTCCCACTTGCGGGAATGCTTATCGTTGGGAAGACCCTCTTTCACATTGGCTGAACTCGTGGATCTCGTCTGGTCAGCACGATCTGACGTCTAGTCGGATCGTCCGTCGCCGCTGCTGTGCAGTGGTCTTCTAATCTAGAGCCAAGCTTTCCACATCCAGTGCTTTCGGGATGTCAATCCAAGGCATCTTGGACGGCCCGTGGGCCGATCAATATCAATCCGTGCGGTCGTCAATGACGATGCTATGGCAGCAACAGTTTCACCCTCGTCGCCTAAGAGCTCGTCCAGTCAGAACTCTTATGCTCCTGGCCGCCACATGCTTCTTCTCCCTAATGTTGCTGTCGCGCTCTAGCCAAGTATGTGAATGCGAAACCTGCAAATTGTTACCCAAGCTGACGTAACGGCTCTTTTCTAGCCATCTGTTAGCTACTGGCTGAAATTTCCATCCTATCCCCCGTCTCGTGAGCGCCCCGAAGACACTCCGATGCTCTTTCCAGGAGGGCATAATGTGAACCGAAATGATACACTTCCGCATAACCTGCAAAAGTCGACCCCGTCATTTCATCTCCTTGTACCTGCATCACACAAGTCTTCCTCACTATGTCGCACCTTGACGTCGTCTATGATACTGAACTATCCGCCGCCCACGTTGATTAGCTATGGCAAGGCGGTTCCGGACGGCTACACAGAATATGCTGCTATGGTGGACCGGATCGCTGGCATATATAACTATCTTGCGTATAGCTCGCAGATGAAGGATAACGACCTCGTTCTTATCGTCGACCCGCAGGATACTTTCTTCCAACTACCGCCTGAGGTGTTAATCCAACGCTTTCAAAATACTCTCCGGGAGAACAATGCGAAATTGCTTCAAAAGTATGGCACTGTGACGGTTGATAGGCCCTACCGTACAGGGTCACAGGAAACAGTTCAGAAATACTCCCAAAGAATTATGTTCGCGGCAAGCAAGGAGTGTTTCCCCGGGCTCAGCTTAGATGCAGGGTGTGTTACTGTGCCGCAATCCAGCCTACCCCCGGACGCTTATGGGTGGAAAACCGATATTCACCCACAGGGACATTTGAACAGGCCCCGTTGGCTTAAACCTGGCGCGGTTATCGGTCAGGCAGCCGATCTCAAAATGTTATACGCCGAGGTTCTGCGGTTCGTGCATCAACATCGCAATGAACGGGGCGACTATCTAGCAATGACCCAGATGTTTGGTCGACAGGAATATGTGCGGGAGCTGGAACGACAGAGCACTGCGAATGGATTCAAGGAATGGCTGTACACACTGATCGGCATCTCTGAAGCGTCAAATGTGACAGGAGCCACTCAGCCGCATCTTGAACTTGGCACCCGCTACGAGTATGGAATCGGGGTTGACTATGAGTCCCGCCTGTTCTTCAACATGCGTAATGCCAAAATGGATGTCGAATGGCTCCACTACAACAATGTCAGCAAGACTTCGGCAGTGCAGATGCAGCATGGCGTCCCCAGAGAGACACGTCTTTTGATTCCTTCCGATATCACACCAGAGAGCATTGGTAATCCATTTATACAGCCCAAGTTTGGCAAGGATGACTGGCCGAACCCGCCGTTCAATGAAACTCTTGATAAACTACCCAACCCACGCAATCATACCTGGCACCACCTTCCGTTAATGACTAATATTCACTCGGCATCTGTTCCGGCTCTGTTACATCTGGACGGGGATCACACTGTCCTAGACAAGTGGTGGTCAGAGATGTGGTACCAACCCTGGGCCCGTGCCCTTCTCCGCAAGTATATGCGCACCCCGAATGGGTTCGACGCCGCCCAGTCTTCCCTGCTGGGAGGACAAGAATGGTGGGATATGCGCGGCGGTAAGGGAGGTCTTTGGACCGACAAGGGCGAATGGCTGGCCTATACTGAGGTCTGTGGAAGCTATGACAAAGAGCTATTCGATGACGAACTTGGGCCATTTGGCAAGGAAAATGGCGAAGACGCTGACGAGCCGGTTTACAACCGGTTTGGAAACGTGATCAAAGGCAAAGAAAAGGCTGAGATATGGTGATTGTTCTCTGAGACTGGTTTTCAGAGACAAAGTAATGTCGGCCGAGGTTGTCTGCGAAGACACGGCTCGCGTGGGGATACTTTCTACCCGGATGCGTATCCCTATTGTTTCTCTTTGCATATATTTCCCTTGGAACTGCAAATGCAGTGAAAATCCGCCATCAGCTATGGCCGTGCATATATATCAGGTGTTTTGGGTTTCTTATCGTTGGTTTTGAGCGAAGTGGTTCTGGTGGAATGTTTCTGAGTGTGCTTTTTTTCTTCGCCTGCCCTTCCTGCTTTGCCGGTTTCATGGCAGTGGGGGGCATAGAGGCTGTTCCCTTGTATGATATTCTCCCCGCTGGGATTTCAGGAGTGTCTGCTGGATACCCCATCATATACCAGGTTGTATAGATAGATAGAACGTGCAACAATTGGCTATGACATGCAGCATAAACAAAGCGTGGTATAATGATTAACGCGAGTACTCTATCCCTCCTCATCCATACCCTCTCCCTGCGATAGGCTCTTCGACCCCAACGTCTCCCGAATAATCGCCAAAATATTCGCGACATCCTCATTGCTCAACCGCTCCTCCCGCTCCTCAATAACCGTATCCATCAGCGCCAGCGCACCGTAATCCTCCTCTGCTATTTCCCCTTCCCCTTGTTCCTCACACGCCTCCGCCCCATCCACATCCATCCCATTCGTCTCCTCCCCATTGTCCTGTTCCATACTCTCCCCCTCTTCTCCCTCACCCGCTTCATTGTCCCCGTCCGCCGTGGGCGTGATCAGTCCCACGCCCAGGTTCACAATCATCAGCACCTCACCCTTCGTGAGCCCGTAGGGCTGTAACCTGGTGACGAGCTCGCGAAGGGCATGATCTAGTGGTGTGGGGGCGTTAAGCTGGGCAGGCGGAATAGTTGTGGATGTGGACTGTTGTGTTTGTGCTTGAGCTTGTATTTGTGAGGGAGATAGGTGTGTGTATTTTGGGTAGTTGAGGATATGGGGCGAGAGACGGGTGGCGTAGTTGTGGATCTGGTGGGTTGTTAGTTTTCTTGGGCTCTGTACGGAGTATATGAAGAATAAAGGTGATGAATGTGTTGTGCAATATACGGCTAAATGTACGTAGATCGATGACCGACTAGCTAGCTAGCTAGCCAGTTGGCACGCAGAGGTACAATCGGTATTAAGGGCATAAAAGGAGAAGCATGAATGAATATCAGTACGCACCTCCTTAATGACCGTATTGTGATCTCGCAAATCCGGACTCGGAACCCAGTGTCTTGAGTTCGGCGGCGGGTTCGGGGGTCGCCGGGGGGGATTGGCCGTTACATAGGCTAGGACCTCGATGTTGGTGAGGACGGCGGATTGGGGATCGACAATCTATTTTTTGGGTTAGTGAATGTTTTCGCAAAAGCCATTGGGCCAGCATACCCTCATTGTGACGGTCTGATTGTATAGATCGATGGATATAGGAGGGGTGGATAATGCGACGCGGAAAAAAAGCGATGGAATGCGGGGCGGAGAAAGATGTGGCTTGATTCTGCCGGTTATATACATGAGAGCGGTGAGGTAGTCCCCCTCCTGGCGCTCAAGATAAGGATTCGACTAGTCTTGAGTCACGCCAGGTACGCACTCTCGCTGACAGGTCTCGGCTGCACATTCCGGCTTGCGTCAAATCTGTAGTGATTTCCCCATTCTAGGATCTCTTTCTCTAACATTTCCAAGTTGATACCGTGTAGGATCCCTAGTTCCCGTTGTAGATCCCTCAGCACGTGAAGTACCCAGGTCCGACAAGTAAACTTCTCATCGCCGTTCAGCTTATCATCGTAGCTTCGGAATACGCGGTCTAGGGTCTCCTGTGCTAGTGCAGTGGATGGGACTTGGGCGATTTGAAACAGTCCGACGAGGAGGAAGGTCTTAAGGATGCCGGGGGCTGATTCCGGGCCGTGAGCGGCCATCCAGCCGTTGCCTTCGTTGCGGATGTGGTATTTGGTGCCGCCATTACGGTGATGGTAGTAGAGAGCCCAGTGGTAGTCATTCGGCTTTGGTGGATCATCACGGATGAAAAGAGCGATGTAGAGCGCATCGGGATTCATATTGAGATCGATGTGAGAGTGTGTGACGCCGTAGTGGATGACATTTGATGGGATGCTGCTATGCTCTTTCCGAAGGGGTCAGCTGGCACATGCGCGTACGGTGACTGCCTGCAGTGAATCGAATGCAACTCAATGCACCCCTATCTACGGAATACCTGCGGAGGATATGGAACCATTTCCCTTACATGGAGTTTTCAAGTCTGCAGCTGTAGATAGTATCTAGTAACTATCTACTATCTCTCTCTCTCATGCACACTATGCAGACAAGCTACCGACCTAAGCTGAGTTGAGACTAGGTGAGGATGGGATAGATAGCGGACAAAAGCTTAGCCATATTTACAGGCTATATCCTGCAGGATCCCTCTCGTCTGCCGCTACTGCAAGTAGCATGTTTGGAAGACCACAGCACTATCGCATCAACTTTGTCCGTCGCTGCCGGTGTCTCACCCACGGAGCTGACTACTGGATAAGGAATAGAGTTGGTCGACAATAGATTGATCCGACTTGTCAGTCGCGTGTCTGTCCACCATCTTCGATTGCCTACTTCGCCGACTCGGGATCATCGGGCCTGGTGCAAGCGAGATTCGAACCTTTGCGCAATTCTGGAAAATCATGGAATCGGCCTGACATTCCCGCCAAGATGGCTGGTGGGACGGCGAGGACCTAACGGGAGATTTGAATCATCATTTGTCAACGCTTTCTCATCTGGTTATCGCCAAGTCACCCGCTGAGTTTTTGACCCAAGCAGATTAGGATATCCACCTTGAAGACGCGGAAAAGGGCCCTTCTCTCCACTGTCCCTTTCAGGCCTGGATTTGTCAGGGCTTTGCAATCCATTTCCATCCTCACCGGACCCACCGAGCCCAAACTTTGATCGCCTATGACAAGGCGACGACTCAAGTGGTTTTTTTGCGCATCTCCACCTTATCCGTTCCGCTGGTCAATGATGGCATCGACAACGATCAGATAATTGCACATGAGGCAACGATCGGCACAAGGGCACTCCCCTGAAACGAAAATATCTCTCATCTACCTACTGGATTCAGATACTCACTGGGTAGATGAGGGACTCGGGATAGTGGGACTCCGAGCCGTTTTGCACAAATCTGCTCATACCGGAGGGATTTGGCACGGAGCTAACAGACGAAAAGGAGACCCAGGCCTTGCTCTGACACGACTGGCTTCATTTTCCACATGGACTAGTAATCCATTGACTAAGAGGAACGGAAGAAGGTAAAATAGGGCATGCAAAAAAGCGTTTATCCGGAATGCTCGCGTGCCATGTGAGGATATAAGAGACCTGTCTGCTCACGACGGCTCAAGTATCTATCATCACCCAAGACACTTCACCATGAGACCCTTCCTGCTCGCAGGCCTTCTTGCCACCGGCTCCGCTATCGGGGCCACGGCCTCTAGACATGCTCACGCTTCCGCACAGAGCGACGCCTACGACTACATTATCGTGGGTGGAGGACCGTCTGGTATCATCACCGCCGAAAGGCTGGTCGAGGCCAACAAGAAGGTTCTGTTGTTAGAGCGAGGCTATGGTCCTACTGTGGCTACAGGGGCCAACGACACCCTTAGCTGGAACAAGACCCTGACCCCGATTGACCTGCCCGGGCTGTCTGCCGATATTGGTGCTCTCCCTCAGTGGGATGAGTACATCTGTACCGATACGGCTGGATATGCGGCCTGTGTGCTCGGTGGTGGTGTGACCGTCAACTACATGGTCTTCGTGCACCCTCCGGATCGCGACTTCAATGACAAATGGCCCAAGGGATGGAAATGGGACGACGTCAAGTCTGCTGCAGACAGGCTGTACGAGCGCAACCCCGGAACCATCCTGCCCTCTGCTGATGGCAAGCGCTACGACCAAGGTCTCTACACCGTGCTCTCCAACTTCTTCAGCAAGCTCGGCTGGAAGTCCGTCGATATGATCACCCAGCCCAACGAGAAGCACGAGGTCTACAGCTACCCTGCCTGGAACATCAAGGACCAGGTCCGTGCTGGACCTGTTCGCACCTACCTGCCCTTGGCCGAGAAGAGCGACAACTTCCATCTCCGTCTCGGCACCAAGGTGCTTCGCCTTCTGCGGTCCGGTAGCCAGGTGACCGGCGTGGAGGTGGAGAACGCATCCGGCGCTCGTGAGAACATCACCATTGCCAGCAACGGAAGAGTCGTCCTCTCCGCAGGTGCCCTCTCCACCCCCCGTATCCTCTTCAACTCCGGCATCGGACCCAGCTCCCAGATTGAGATCGCCGAGGAGAGCGGCGTCACAGTTCCCCCCAAGAAGGAGTGGATCAACCTTCCCGTCGGTATTGGCGCCAAAGACCACCCGATCTTCTCCATCATCGTGAAGACCAACGGCACCTACGGCCTGCCCGACTACGACGCCATCGTGAACGGCTCCGACACCACCGACATCAGCCTCTACGCCAAGGGCAGCGGTCTCCTCACCGAAGGAAAGCACCGCATGATCTTCTTCACCTCGAACGACATTGACGGCCAGACGCGCTACTACCAAGGCTCCTGTGCCCCCACCGGCACCGATGAGGTCACTATCACCGCTTACATGACCCACGGTCTCACCTCCTCCGGGGTGCTGGGACTGTCCACCGACGGAAGCACCGTCTGGGACGAGAAGCCCTACCTGACCACCGCCGGTGATCGCGCCGCCGCCACCGCTTTCATCGAGCAGATGATCACCGACCTGACCGACTCCACCGGGTTCACCCTGCAGACCTACACCAACGTCACCCAGATCCTCGGCAGCGTCAGCCCCGGTATGCACTACACCACCACGGCTAAGTTGGGCACCGACGATGGCCGTTACGGCAACGGTACCTCGGTCGTCGACACCAACACCAAGGTCTACGGAACGGACAACCTGGTACGATACCATACCCCACCCTCCTTACTACTTCCAATGAACCATATGCTAATCATTTGTCTCGTATAGTTCATCGTCGATGGCAGTATCCACCCTGACCTTCCCACCGGTAACATCCAGGCCACTATCATGGTTGTGGCTGAGGCGGCTGTTGCTAGAATCCTTGCTCTGGAGTAATTTCTCAATCGGCAGGTTCATACATAGCCTAGCTATCGTGGGGCTTATTAGCTCCTTCAGTGACGGAAGTCGATAAGAGGAGTCGTCTGACGTTTTTTACTTTTACGATAAGACGCTGTATTATTAGCATTATGTTGTGAAATAGAATATATTGATGAGTCAATGATTGTGGCATCAGTTCTCTCAAGGATGAATATGGATAGGATAGATAATGGTTGTACTATAGTAAGCCTGGTAACCCCTGAAGGCGCCATGCATAAAGGATGCATAAGGTATTGGGCAGTGCGATAGTTGTGAACACTTATGCATGGGGAGTGCATGTATGTATGTACAAGCTAGTAGCGACACAAGTATCTAGAACCGAATGCTACAGCAATACTACTACCACCACCACCTGAACACACTACATGAACGAACCAAGTCAGAAAGAACATTATTTCTGGAACTGAACTGCCTTAGACCAACAAGCACCTCTGCGCCAGGATAGTAGTAACTTCCATCCGTCAAATGCCACCCAAAACATGTAGTAATCTTCAAGCAAAAATAAGCAAAGAGAAAGAAAGAAAAAAAATCAGCCCACATGGTGTGATATCATACAGAAATATTTGAAGCATTCCATCAGGTTTAACTTTTTGACTTCCTTTTTTTACTCCTCACCCTTCTTCTTCTTCTTCTTTTTCTTCTCGGCGTTATCGACCTCCTCGCCGTCGTCTGAGCGCTTGCGCTTCTTCTCCTCGCCCTTGGCGGACTTCTTGGACTCCTTCTTGGCCTTCTTGATGTCCTTCTTGCTGATCGAGCTGGGGTTGCCCTCCGCGTCGAACTGGATCTCGCCGCGCTCGAGCTTGCGCTGGTACCGCTTGACGCTCAGACCGGCCTTCTCGGCCATCTTCTCGAGGTCCGAGTCCTTGCTCTTCTTGGACTTGTGCTTCTTGTCGGTTTCCTCGTCGGAGTCGGACTCGTCCTCGGCGTCAGAGTCGGCATCAGCCATCTCCTCATCCTGAACCTCCTCCACGAGCTTCTTGCTCTTGCTCTTCTTGGCGGAGACGGGCTCATCGCCCGTCACGGCATCGGCATCAGCGTTGTATCTGCGGGCCTCGTTGAGTTCGAACTTCTGGGGCTGAGCAGCACCACCGGGGCCAATGGCAACACCACGAGGCTTGAGAGGCTTGCCCTCCATGGCAGCAAGCTTCCTCTCGAGGTTGTAGCGGGCCTCCGTACCCAGAGCAGCCTTGTCCTCCTCGGTAGCATCGTCATCCCACTCAGCGAGAGCATCCACACGCAGACCAAGGGAAGCCTTGGCGGCCAAAACTCTGGCCATCTTACCCTTGTTCTTGCCGGTGGCCTGACCGATGAGGGAAGCGTGGTAGATCAGACCGTACTTGGGAGTGTCGTGCTTGGTCTTGAGAGCACGGAACAGCGCCTTCTCGGCACCCAGGATCTGGATGGTACTGGCAGGGCTCTTGGACAGGTTGGTCAAGCTACCAGCGTGGGCAATAAGACGGGCACCGACCAGATCGCCAACGAGGGCAGTCAGGTTAGGGGCGATGGCGTTCATACGGGCGGTGAGGTAGCCGGCCAGTTGTTGACGGTATTCGGCGAAGCCAACGACCTGCTCGGCCAAGGCTTGAATGTGTTCCAGATCCTCCTGGCTGATCTCGGTACCCATGGAACGGTCCGCAGCGGCCTTAACGGAGCCCTCAATCTCCTCGGGAAGGATCTCGGCGAGATCGGCGGTCTCCCAGTTGGTACGCATGCCCATCTTAAGGACGAGTCTGGCGTAGGCGATGTTGTCGTTCAGGATCTTCGCCAGCTCGGGGAAGTGCCAGCCGTACCATTCCTTCACACGCATGGCGTAGTTGTTAAGCTCCTTATCCAAATCATCCAACAGACCAATGGCCTGCACAATCATGGTGTCAATTTTATCGGGGGAGAACTTGAGCTTGTGTCTAGCGAGAGAGTGGGAGAGACCCAGGGACATGGTGGACATGTCCTGGGGAAGAAGGCCGGGAATGAGGGTGGGCAGGTGTTCACGGATGGCACGGTAGACGTCGGTCGTAGAAGAGTCGGCCACCAGCTCGATGGAGAGTCCGGGAAGCTTGCCAATGGCATTGCCTAGACCGATCCCAGTCAGTCACAAGTAAATTCTACGATTTCCGCACAGCATTGCGCGACGTACCGAGCTTGGGGTCGGAGACCGCCAGCGACACCTTCTTCTCATCCTTGACCTCGTCCAAGAGGCTGGCCAGACGAGGAGTGACCTTTCCTTCAACGAGGGAAGCGACCTCCTCCAGGGCGGTAGCAGCGCTGTCGAACTTCTGGAAGCTCTTCAACTTGAGACTACATGCGGCGGTTAGCCGGAGTACAGACGCGGGGGAAAATTTTTGCTTTTGAACCACCACGCGCCGATGAAGAACAAGCGGGGTTGACGAGCGTGGGTGGGATGCAGATGATTTAACTTACAGGTTGGAGACGCCCTCAGCCGTGGAGGCCTCGGTGGCCAGATCATCTCTCTTCAACAGCTTCTTGTCCTTGGCCTTGAGCAGGGCATAGCCCGCGCTGGTTTCCGTCAGGATAAAGAGCGTCATGGTGCACGGCCTCGACTTCTAGCTGCAAAAATAGAGACAGAAGAACAGCTAGAGGTGAGAAAGGAAAAGGAAAAGGCCGGGGGTGGAGGGAATTGGCGTGCTGGTCGGGATGGATTGAAATCCGCTGGGAATATTTTTTAACCTCAAGAAACTAAAAAGTGAAAAAAGCGAAAAGCGCCCATGCGAGTGTGGCTAGTGCAGTGTGCCGCCGTGGCGGTGCGCAGATTAGGTAATGCGCACGGGGATGCCGATGCAGCGACAACGAGTGGTCGTCAGTCTATCAACTGCGGAGCTGTACTGGACATCTGGACTTCTGCCCATCTGCTAGCCCACCATGGAGGGTCTCTTCTTCAACGTCAACAGCGGGTATGTCGGGTCGTCATGGCTGCTGCAGTCTTCCTTCAGATCGCTGATCAAGCGTCTACAGTTACATCGAGGGCATTGTCCGTGGTTATCGGAACAGCCTCCTAACCGGTCAACACTACTCCAACCTGACCCAATGCGAAACTGTTGATGGTCCGTGGCTCTGCATCTGCCCCTTGTCCACTGTACAGATCTAACCCCGCTTGCCCTGCTAGATGTCAAATTGCAGCTTGCCCCAGCCTATGGCGACTTCCTCGCCGCCCTCCCTCCCAACCCTTCTACCTCTGCCCTTGCGGGCAAGATGACGGATAAGCTGGTCGCCGAGTTTCGCTACCTTATGGCGCAGGCCACGGGGTCCACCGCCAAGTTCCTGCAATACCTTACATATGGCTACATGATCGACAACATCGCCCTGCTCATCACCGGTACCCTGCACGAACGTGACACTCGCGAGCTTCTAGAGCGATGCCACCCCCTCGGCTGGTTCGAGACTCTGCCCGTCCTGTGTGTCGCCACAAACATTGAAGAGCTGTATAACTCCGTGTTGATTGAGACGCCACTGGCTGGTTACTTCAAGAACAGTCTGAGCCATCAGGATCTCGACGAACTGAACATCGAGATCGTGCGCAACACCCTCTATAAGAACTACCTGGAGGACTTCCACCAGTTTGTCACCACACATCCCGATTTCAAGGGCACTCCTACGCAAGAGGTGATGTCCGAAATCTTGCAGTTCGAGGCAGACCGACGTGCGATCAACATCACGCTGAATTCATTCGGAACGGAGCTCTCCAAGCTAGAGCGGAGGAAGCTGTACCCGGAGTTTGGCAAGCTCTACCCAGAGGGCTCGTTGATGCTTTCTCGGGCCGATGACATTGAATCTGTGGCTCTCGCCGTGAGCATCTCTGCAGACTACAGGGCGTTCTTCGATGCCGTTGGTCTCACTCAGGGCGGCGGCGGCCTGGGAGGCATGGGTGGCTCGGATGGAAAGAGTCTGGAGGACCTTTTCTATCAGAAGGAGATGGAGATGAGCAAGATCGTGTTCACACGGCAGTTCACTCCAGCTGTGGTGTACGCATGGATGAGGCTGAAGGAGCAGGTGAGTTGCATCTCCCCCGGGCCGGATAATGCCAGCTAGCTAACATTTGAGACAGGAAATCCGCAACATCACGTGGATTTCCGAGTGCATTGCGCAAAACCAGAAAGAGAGGATTGGAAACTTTATCTCCGTTTTCTAGATACCAGCTCCCTTTTGTCACTCCGTTTCCGCCCCGCCCTTTCTTGAACTATCCGCCAAAATTTGTACTTTCCCGTTGTTGCACATGTGACGCTAGGCTCCCGTTGTTTGTGGGCGCTTTCGAGTTTCCTCCTATTTCCGCCGTGTCTAGTTAGTACCCAGTCCCTGTAATGAGCGCATAAATTCGCCCAGCATGCCTACTATGATAGTTTTGGCTATCCGGCCTTTGGTACCCCTTGCCCCAGGCGTTTTGGGATTTTTCTTCTTGTGATATAGTCTTATAGATAAAGCTGGATTTATCTACCCTGTATCTGGTTGCTGTCAAGCATGATGGCATACGATGATCATACGAAAGTAGTCAGTACTGCTCGTGTAGAATACAACTGTTCATAATCATGGATATGTACTAAGCTCTGAGCCAATCTGTCTACAAAAAACATCAAGACAGTCGCGGTCCATAAAAAAATAAAGCCAAATCAAGGTTGGCACGTGGGGTGTCTGAACAACAGGCCCTTGGATCTCATACAGGATTAAATATAAAACACAACGAAAGCCACAGAAGGACGGGTCCAGAATACTGAATGGCATTTCTGTCCGTTTCTCCCAGGATTCGTTTGGTATGTTTGGAAACAATAGAGGTATGCAATGGTATGCTTATGGAAGCCAAAGTAGTATAGCAGATGTCAAAGACAATGTAAAGAAATTCATCAATATATGACCTCGATTCGTCACTCCTCTTTTAGAAGGTTTCATTCATCCCTGTTATGGGACGATCGCATGCAAGAAAAACGACCACGGACTTAGTCGTACTGGAAAAGAACACTGATACTCTCACCGTGATGGACACGACGGATGGCCTGCAGAACATTAGCTGTAATCTCGGGACTAGGAGATTCCAGATTCGACTTACCTCGGCGAAGACGTGACCAACCTCCAAGACTTCCAGCTTAGGGCATCTACGCAGGTGATCCGTCTGGTCGACGCTGTTGGTGACCACCACCTTGTCGAGAGCGCTAGCATTGATGCGGTCAATAGCATCTCCGCTCAGGATTCCGTGAGTGACCAGGGCGTAGACCTGGGCGGCTCCTTCCTTCTTCAGGAGCTTCGCCGCTCTGGTAATGGTGTTCGATGTGTCTGCAAGGTCGTCGATCAGGATGGCCGTCCGGTCCTTCACATCTCCCACCAACATCATGGTCGCGTTCTGGCGATCGGTTATCCGGGTGGGACGACGTTCCTAGAGATGGTCAGAAAATTCAAAAGCGAGAAAGACCCAGGGAAAGCCAACCTTGTGGATAAGGGCAAACTCGATGCCCATGGAGTCGGCAATCGCCGTAGCGCGCTTGGCACCGCCAGCATCGGGGCTAACAATGACAGCCTGCTTGTAGTTGGGGATGTTTCTCTGGATGTAACTCTTGAGAAGAGGCCGGCCGTACAGGTTGTCGACCGGAATATCAAAGAATCCCTGGTACTGAGGATCATGGAGATCCATAGTAATGATGTGGTCCGCACCGGCGCAGGTGAGCAAGTCCGCCACCAAGGTACCGGCCTGAGCAACCCATTGCTTGTAACCAGGGCGGGGTTGGAAGTTGTTGATCTTCTCATCGGCACCGTTGCCATTAAGGGCAAACTTATTGGCCTCGGACTGCAGGGAGTCCAAGGTATCGCTGCGCGGAAGACCATTGACCGGGCGCTGTCTCTTCACGGGGCTACCGTTGCTGATATCCTCCAATTGCGCCTTTGCCAGGCTCTTCTGCAAGTTATCAACGCCATTCAAACCGTTCAACAGGCTTCCGCTTTCAGGCTTTCCCGGATGTGGGGTAGGCGGGGTACTCTCAAAAGTATAGTTGTTTCCCGGCTTGCCCGCAAGGGATGACTTGGTCAGAGGAGCTCCTGTCTTGTTGTAAGGAATGTCACTCTGGCGCGAGTACGGGAAAAGCGGGAGGACCGCAGTGACTCTCTTGGCGGAGGCGGTCTTGCAGGCAGAGATGGTGATCAGAAGCTCCATGAGGAGGTCATTCACCTTCCCGCCACCAGATTGGATGATATAGACATCTTTTCCACGGACGGATTCTTTGATTTCCACTCGGGTCTCACCCACGGAGAATTTCGACAGGAGGACGTCTGCCTGAGGGATGCCCAACACATTGCAGATGGTCTGGGTCAATTGCGGGTGGGAAGTACCCCCAATGACGACGATGTTTCGGACCATTTTGGACTGTTCGTCAGTTTGTGACTCCTCTGGGAAGCTGGGAGGAAATAGGACCACAGGAGAGGATGGCCGATTCGGAAGCGGGGACAAAGGAGGAAAATCTGGTGAAACGGTGGATCTGGAGGGGCGGCACGAATGATGAGATTAGCACGATAAAAGACGAGCTTGGGAGAGCAAAAGAGGAACAAGTGATCTCGTGGCGAGGACAAGCAGGCAACTACCTCATGGCGGGGAATCAGGAACGGGGCCCAAGCGAATGTATGGGGAAGACATTGAAACGGAGAGATTGAAGTCGTGTGAGTCCGCCATAGAGACGACCGAAAAAAAAATGCCTCTCCCGCGAGTGGAACCGGCGTCGCTGCTGCAGCCTCGGGTTTCTGCCGCTGCCAGCCTCAGGCTGCGAGTTGCCGAATCGGGTTAGAAATCTGGCTCGTCATCGACGAATTCATCGGCCCCGCAGCCACGCTAAAATGTCCCGAACACGTCTCCAGTCTTGTCCATCCTGGGGATCCGAAGTAAACCGGCGGGAAATGCCAAATGGAAAGCAGGGCGACGGAAAATCAACAACCAGCATCCCACCTTGGGTCGGTCGGGGACACCCAGTCGTCCGCGCCCTTCCTGCACAGAAAGACAGTGTCCGCTTTTGTCCCTTACAGAACTCAAGGTAGCTGTCGCATTACACCAAGGTGAGAAGTCTCCATTTGCCGGTAGGTACATGGAAACTAAATATGAACGGAAAAGCAACCCAGATGCAACAAGGAAAAGAAAAGGCTGGATTTCTATTCAGTCTTTCCATGCCCGTAGCTCAGGCCTAGGTACTAGATGCAGGCAATAAGGACAGGAGAGCCTCATAGTAATACAGCCGTCTAATGGCCACTCAATCAATCTACCTGTTAATCGCCCTGGTTAGCAACACTCTCCTGGTGAGGCTCGTAAGGCTTGATAGAGAGGCAAACTTCATATGAAAGGTAGGAGGAATTTGCTCACAGATTCACTTGTGGTACATGAGGGTTCCTACGCTGACAAGTGTCACCGGAGAACCTGTCGCAAGCCTGTCAACTCATCTCAGAGCACTAAGTCGTAAGTATGATTCGCGTCAGCCATAGGGTATGATCATCAATAGGCAGGGGATATCAAAAGCAGGACACTGTAGCATCTCCGGGGGCTCAAATATCACTGTTTATCATACCTTAGGATGATCGCCATCTCTCCTACCCTCCTCATCAAAGACACCCCTCACATAGAGAGTGACTGACCTGTTGCTGATCCATCAGTAGTAACGAAGCCATGCTCATCTTTATATAGACCCTCTGGTCGTCTCCATTTCAGGGCCGACCATGGGATTTTGTCAGTAATCCCCAAAGCTTGCGGGTGGGAGACGGGCTCTGGAGCGTAATCATGCCCACCGATAAGGCAACAACGTTGGGCAATGCGTAGGACAGCGCGTCCAAGGCCAGGAGATGCGACAATAGACACGTGACAGTGTATCGAAGCCCAATCGGTGGTGTGAGACCCCTAAGCCGTAAAGGGACTAGACCGAGGAGCAACATCCCGCGGCGGGATTCCAGAAAGCTACAAACAGACAGACCATGGATAGAACGACCCGAATCTCCTGCTTGTCTATCTGGTAGCGCATACCAATGGATCAGCTCATCGGACAGAACACAACCTAGAACATATATTTCACACCCAATATTGCCCCAGATGCCGAGTCGCCTTATATTACGGCGTCCGTCCCCGACGACCGTATCGTTCACAGTCTCCAATGCCTCCAGGCGCACGAGTACGCCAGCGAAGGTCTTCTTCTATTTACAAATATTACTGCGCGCGCTCACATTCGTCTGCATGCTCCTACTTGATATCGCAAAATTTCGCCACACACCTTTCATGCAGGACGGGTCGTGGATACGTTGGACGACTATTTGGTCCAGTCCGTTAGGATTATCCGTCTGTCGCATTGCGGATGCGTACAGCTCCGCAGTTGTGGTGCTAGCCAGCGCGGTGGTTTTCTATGGTGTTTTTAGGAAGGGATATACCGGTTCGTTCAAAATGCATAAAGCGAAAGATTGTGGAACTGGTGCTGATTGCGATTCGCATTACAGAAGAGTCGCTCCTTGTTATACGCGGTCTCGGTATTCAGACGTCTACCTCCTCCCAGACCTATTTGTCCAAGGCCTCGACGAGGTTCATACCTACTACGCAAATTCAGGATATTGTGATTCATGAAGCTTTCAAGGGGTTTGAGGTCCGATTCTATCTTGCGGTCATTGTGGAAGGTGAAAGCGAGGTGGTTGTGGTTTTCCCCGTGAGTATTGATTCGGCTCCTTCGCGGTGTCGCCTCTCAGTCTACTAATGCCGGCTAGAAACTCCTACCGAATCGGCAGATACTGGAGGAAGTCTGGAGAGGTTCGCGGCGCTGTTTATACGACTCGAAATCATAATGGAGCTCGATGCACGACTGAAAACGGACCAAAAAGATTTGTATATTGAAGGGCGCCATCCTATGCAAATATGTTCAAAAGGTGCGCATATCTATCTACATTTCCATCTTGGTAGGCTTTGCGCCGTTTTCCATTCTCCGCTGCTTTGCTGCAAGCCACCTCGCGTTTTGAACTTCCACGAGCTCTGTCTTCCTCTTCTGCATGACCGGGACATAAAACCCGCCTGTCCGGGATTCATTGGCACCCACAAAGATCTTCTTGCCTCGGTTCTTCCGCTCCCAAACTGGCTCCATTCCTTCACCGATGGTAGAGGATTTGTCTCCCTGACTGACGGCCAAATCTAGCAATGCGCCAGCCAGGATCTCCTCCATCTTGCGCTGCCTCCAGGTGGACCAGAGCTCCTCCACGATCCCTCCAAGACCGAACTTGCCACCCCCTTTACCGAGATGAGATTTGATTTGCCGAACATCGCCTGCATAGACCCAATCCAAGGTATCAGCACGGCTGCCGCTCTTCTTGTCGGGGTAGATGCAGTCCCAAAGCACAAGAGGAGCATCGGAAGCCATCTCGTAGGTTGGTTTTCTCGGGTTCTTGGAGACGTCAAGCAGCTCCGCCACAATGGACGGAGGCTCGAGCCCCTGACCAACTAGGAAGAGGACATTGACCATGTGCCGGACCTGATGCCACAAGAAGGCAGAACCCTCCAAGTGGAACACGTATACCTGAGATGCTGTTGGGAGAGGTGCCGGTGAAGATTCCGTGCTTTGTCCCGTAGCGGAAAATTCCGGCTGAGTGACATAACCCAGGGGATTGGTTCTGGCATCGAGGAGCTCAATGTCGGCGCGGAAGATGTCCCGTTGGAAAGACTCGATCTGTTTAGTGACATCCAATTTACAAAAATTCCGGAAGTCGTGTGTTCCCTCGAAGTACTTGGCAGCTTCGCGCATCGCATCAATGTCTAACCAACCTTCTCTGAACTTCGGAGGCGTATCTTTTCCATCCCGCGAGATGAAACCTGAAGGCCCCGGGGTAGGAGAAAAGGCTGGTTGAGTGAAGAAGTATTTATAATGACGTTCCCCGCAAGAGAAGCGGGCATCAAATCCCTCAGGGGGGCGCGGGCACCAAGCCAGTACTCGAATATCCTCGGGAAGCACCTTGTTCAGCAGACTCACGTAGGGTAGCTCGTTCTTGATGTCATCCCAGCCATCATCCACCGGATCGCTGGCCTCGTCCGTATTCTGCATAGCCGTATCGGCATTCCCACTCGACTGGACAATCTCGTTGGCCTTGGGGCGTGCACTGCGCACTCTAATACCAATAACCTGTCCAAAGGCGCTGACGCCTCTATCCGTACGCCCGGCCTTGGAATATTCGCATCCATCCCAGTTGATGTGATACGGTTTCGTCTCTCTGGGCGCATGGCTCTCCACAAACTCATCACCCGATGTATCCGTCGGAAAGATCAGTCGCGTCTTTCGCAGAGCCTTGTACATCTCCTCCTCAATCGTGGGTAGCGGCGTGGCGTTCCCATTCGCATGCTCAAGCCCATTGTACCGTTGTCCCAGATAGGCAAACTTCAAAGCAATAAACCGGGTATTGTATCTCGACGGGTCGATTTCCCTGCGCACTTTCGGTGGCTTTGGTGGCCGCACCTGCTTCTTATTCCCTCCCGGAGATGAAGGTTCGGTCTTGTTCACCTTGCCGTCGCTGGAGGCGCTCTTAGCTGCATCCTTGGCTGCGTCTTCGAGCTGTTTCGAAGGGGTTGCGGCAAATTCCGCTGTGCGGGAGTGCAACTGGCGCTCTAATTCGGTGATTCGGGCAACGAGGCTTGAGGTGCTCCATGTCGAGTAGTCGGTTTGGCCGGGAGGAACTACTTGTTCCTCAGCGGTGCCGGACATGGCTTTGGTAGGTAGGGAATCGACTTGGGCGTGTGCGCGAGAGATAGATTGGAATGTTCGCCTCGATGAGGATGACAGTGGTGAGGAAATGCGATTCAAGAAAGAACAAGTGCTTCCTTGGAATCTTCGCATCCCTGTGAGCACGTTGTGTGTGTCTCACGACCCTGGGTTGCTGTGGAGGGGAGATTTTTGCGGCAAAAAATTAAAGTTCCGCATATCATTGGAGGGACAGTGTAATGGAGACGTATGGTATTGTTACACTAGAGGCGATAGCAGAGATGGCAAGATACATTGCGTACTGCATGGTAAGTCGGGAGTCCTAATGGCCTCGATCATGTGTATATAATTGATGCCTCTATGGAGAATGGAGGAAGTCATCTTTCATTGGCCTTCATTCGTCAATCAAGAGAAATGGAAATTTCAATTGGAGAGCCCATGGATGCGGTTCGAGATCCGCCTATATATCCGGCACGTTTTCAAACACCTCGTCTTATTCTGTGGATCACCTAGCACTACGGAATAGTAGCGCAGCCTTCGTCTAGGCGCATAGTTACAATCGATGTGACTTCAACACGGCGTACAAGCGATCCTTTTATGATATATACTTCATATTGCGCCGGATAACCACGTCCAATGGCGGATAACGACCGCCCGCAGGATGAACAAACCGTGACCATCCTGCTCCTCGGAGACCCAGGGTGTGGGAAATCGACGTTTCTCTCGTAAGTGCAGCAGTGCAGCCGCTTTCCTAAAATTCATATACCCAGGTCCTCGCCGAAAGAGCCTCGACCATCCCCGACCTGCCAACTTATCTAGGGCTGCGCCTGGCTCACTCTTATAGTACCAATTGCTAACAACCGCCCAGGAGCCTGAAAACCAACCTTCGTAGGCCCCAAGGACAAAGATTTAGTCCTTCAAATTTCCAAGAAGGTCTTCTACGGGACAGTGACCAGCCGTTCCTCTACGATATTCGCTTCTCAAAGAAGTCGTTCACCATCGAGGCGTACGACACAGCAAGTCCTAATCAACATTGGTCTACCTTGCAGCCGGATGTCGTTCTTCTAGCGTTTGATGTCTCGAATAGAGAAACGCTAGACGGTCTTCGAGCAGTAAGTTAACAGTGGCCTTCCTTATATGGCAGAGACTGGAGACTGACAGTGCTCTTTAGTGGCGAAATGACATAACTAGATATTTCCAATACGGACAGGGAGAGCGCATTCCCATTATGATGATTGGGTTGAAGAGAGACCTTAGGGTGGAATGCGAGGGCATTATTTATCCTCAAGAAGTGAGTAGATGATCTTGTACCAATAGCAGTCGGGGTAGATCGTTCAGTTCTATTCGCGCTATATGTCAGATTGGAATTAACGAATCTAGTCGTACCGGATTGCACAGGAGCTCCGTTGTGATCGATATGCGGAGTGCTCTGCTGTCACTGGGGAACTGCTTGCGGAGACGTTCGAAGATATTGCCCGGCTCGCAGGAATGACGACCACTGCTGCTGGAGGCCAGACAGCTGGAGCTTGTGTCATTCTTTGATGCTTTGGATACCTTATTTGATGTCGTGACTGGGTTGATCAGGTTCATTGGTCTAAACTCTGCGTCCCGGATATTGCCCCATGGGGTCGTTCCACATATAAACCGGCAATTGTAGTGTTCAAGTTTCAATAGGATATAGATAGTGCGGAGTAGAATGATTCAAAGCACTGCTGCTACCACAGGTGGCCTAAGAGTTACTCCTACTCCAGATCTACGGTCGACTACTAGAGACCACACTTTACATGGAGAACAATGGTAGCTAGCATCACTTTTCAATTACGGCTATGATAAACATACAGGGAGAAACCAAGGTAACGATTAAGTCCACCTTGTGAAATTGACAGCACAGGGCTTTCCCCCAGAAGCTCACCGAGGCAAGAGAGCAACTGGATATCTTTCCCTCATAAGCGCCAGTCAATCATTGACAATGCAATTCCTCCTTGATGCACCATAAGCGAAACGTAGAAATGGACTGCGGAAGGAGACTTCGCTGTAGCATACCACGAAAGAAGAAGTAGGAGAATGATGTTTTGAAGTAGTGAAGCTCCCGTTGATTCTTTTCCTCTTTTTTCTTCTTTGTCTTTTTGAGATAAATGCTGAAACAGAGACTAGGATAGACACGACAAGGGATTCTTTTCTTTGCAGGGAAACGCCGGGCGGCATTTCCTTGTTGATCGAGGAGTCCTCGTCACCCTCAACCAATCGCCATTGTTTCGTGGAAAGAAAATAATCATGATGCCCTCTCAACGGCCATCCTCATCACCGAGTTCAGACGTTTACCACTTGCCCTCGGCGGGCTGGGTCTCAGCCCAGCTCTCACCAGCAGGAGCGGCAGAGCTGGCAGCCCAGTCGGCACCGTCAGCCTCCCAGCTGGTAGCACCAGCAGCGCTAGCAGCAGCGAAAGCAGTGCCAGGAACACCAGCACCGGCACCCTGGACATCCCAGTTCTCACCAGCGAAGCCAGACTCGATGGCAGCAGGGCCGACCTCCTCAGTGGAGGCAACCTTGGCCTCCTCGGCGATCTCCTTGTTCTCCTCGGCCTCAGGGTCGCGGTAGAAGTAGAGGTCGACAACGACGTCCCAGTCAACCTCACGGGAAGCGAGGGTACCACGGAGACGGAGGACCTCACGGGCAAGGAGCCACCAGACGAGACCGATGGCGTGGCGACCCTTGTTGTTGGTGGGGATGGCAACGTCAACGAAGTCGGTGGGGGAGTCAGTGTCGCAAAGAGCGATGACGGGGATGTTGACGTAGCTGGCCTCCTTGATGGCCTGGGCGTCGGTGCGAGGGTCGGTGACGATGATCAGGCGGGGCTCCTTGAAAGAGCGGGTGATGTAGTTGGTGAAGTTACCGGGGGTGAAACGACCAGCAATGGCGGTGGCACCGGTGTGGGAGGCGAACTTCAGGACAGCACGCTGGCCGTAGGGACGAGCGGAGATGACACAGATATCGGCCGGGTTGTCAATGGCGGCGATGATACGGGCAGCCAAGAGGATCTTCTCCCTGTAAATTCGCGCGCGCGCGTTAGATCGCCGTCCTAGATGAGTAACGTGCAAGCTATTGCCTGATATACATACCAGGTCTTGCCAATGTTGATGACATTGACACCATCGGGGCGAGTCTTCCAGAGGTAAGGCTCCATGTGAGACTGGAGGTTCTTGGATCCGAGGTGGCATTGAGCGGCAAGGAGCATCTCAATGTCCTGGGAGGTGGGGTTGAAGATCGGGGGGAGCTGAGAGGGGGCCATGGTGGGCGATTGATATTGCAGAGGATATCGAATTGAGGATATCAATCGTCTGGCACTTGTCGCGGTGGTGGTGACGAGGAGGAGACGAACGCGAAGCTGAACTTTTGACGCCGCGCTGAGATGGTCGATGAATTTCGCTTGCCCTTTGTGAATTTTAGGGCTAGGGTTAGCCAAGAAGAGCCTCCGTTCCGCCCGGGATATCACGTGTTATGCCAGCTCCAGATACAGACTAGCGTGGTTCTCGGCCTTCGAGATTTCGGAGACTTCACAGCCAGCGGCCTTGGATGCGAAGACGCTCGGAAGTGTCATTCGTTAGTCATTGGAATCTGTCTATCCTGGGCCTGCGACCATGCCTCCCCGCATTTTGTTACAGCCTTCTCTGAGGGCCATCACTGGTATGTCCTATTGTCTGCTGCAGCTCCTCCTCCGTCTTCAACCGAGTAATTGACCGGGTTTTTGTTATACTAGGTCCTTCATCCGTCCAGCTCCCCTTTGCCGCATTGTCATTGAACCCGACAAAAACTTCCGTGAGAGCCGGATCTACCGAGACCCGGGAACGCAGGAGACATGACCCTTTCTTAATGGCGCAGTCGCGCCAGCGCAAGGCAGCCAATATCTCCCGTCAGAAAGCCCTCACCAAGGAGCGCGAAGGGTCTGTTGGAAGCCCTCTTGATACGCAGCCAACGCCCTTCATCCAGGAAATTAGAAAGACGCAATCCACTTTGCAGGATAAAGACCTCAATTACTTTGTTACGCCGGATGGTCTCCAAGACGCGATGGAATACTCGAAGAACCTGACATCGCCCCTCCGGAGCCAGGATCGCGACACTGCTGACCCTCAGCTTGAGAAGGAAGCAGCTGAGAGACACCTTCAAGAACATCGAAATGCACAGGAAGCCATCCTTCGAATTGTCAGTGTTGCCAACGGTAACACTCAGGACCACATGCGGCTGCACATTCAAAAATGCATTGAGACCTTTGGCCGTCACAACACCGACAGGGTACTGCCTTCGAAGCCGACTGGCGTGCCGCACAAGTCAGCAACTGTTCACCTAGAGAAGACACCCCGTGTTGGTCCGGATACTGGCTCTCCGGAAGTCCAGGTGGCCATTCTCACGGCAAAGATCATGAACCTGTCTAGGCACCTCACGACGACCAAGAAGGATAGGCACAACAAGCGCAATCTGCGTATACTTGTTCACAAGAGACAGAAGTTGCTTCGATACCTTCGAAAGAAGGAGAGGGGTGGCCCTAGGTGGCAGAATCTGATGGAGACACTGGGTCTTTCGGAGGCTGCTTGGAAGGGGGAAATCTCCATGTAAATCCGCTTGTTGGCGCTTGTATTCTATATTTCTTATTCTGTATTTCCTCCGTTCAAGCTTAATATTGGCGTGTAACCTTACATCATTCGAACCTCTCTCGTAACAAAGGGCAGTGGCCAATTCGCATTTCATCTGATCCTGTCAGACCTGTGTCTTGGGGAGATTTGCAGCACACAAGTGTGGATTTGGCAAACAATTTGTATCAAATCTAAGCCTCCTTCCCAAGTATCGTATGAATCAGCTACTGTATGCTCCCACTTCCTGTTCTAGATTCCACTGTCAATTGTAAATCGTGATACTTGTTGATCAAGTGCCGGGGGTGTTGCTAGGGGCGGCAAGAGCGTTCATTGGGTGAGACACCCACCGCCTGGTGTTCTGCCGAGACGTCACCCCCCCGAGTCGCAAATTTCCCGCGCAAAAGTTCCCCCAAACTTCACCATCAAAGACCCTCAACCTTGCTCAGCGAGATAAGTGAATACCGTCTACTGCCTTCGGGCGCTGTCCAGACGCGTCATAATCCGCTTCCCCAGCAACATCAAAACATCTCATTCATGGTAAGCTAGTGTTTATACCTCCATTTCCTCCGCCCGCTTTCTTCCTTTTTCTCCCACACCTCATCCCTCTGTATCATCGGATATCGCACTTGCACTACCCACCGCTACTCACTGTTGCTATCTGCCTTTGTTGCACGGTCAAGCTTTCTACATTCCCCTCGTGCAGTAAGGATTGACTTTCGCCTCAACTCAGATCAATCATCCTGTCTCACGTCACCGCGTCCTTTGGTATTCTAAATCGCGTTTTATTCCATAGCGTGGCGACCTCTCTTCTCTCAAACTACCTTCTTCAGGAACCCACGATTGTCTTGAGGCTCTAGAATTTTAAGGACTGGAACTGTATTCTCTGCCATCCTCGCGCCTCATAAATAATCTCCGCATCGCGTTCCTTCTCTAAAGCTCCGTCCTTTATCACCTCAGCACACCCTCCAGCCTAAGACTCGATCTCTGGGCGGCTTGAGTTATCTCAGAGATCGGAATAGTCGCCGGTATTGTTCTGTACCAGCTCGCGCTAAAAGCCTATCTATCGTTCAAACCGCACAGCCAAGATGCGTACTCGTTCACAACAAGCATCGCCTGGTGGCTTCCTGTCACTTGATGATGACCGCGCCCCCCGCCGGACCAGGTCTGCAAGAAGCAACGCACAGCAGGATACTGCAACATCAACGCAACCTGCAGCCCGCGCGAAGCCTCAACGTACCACCAAAAAGACTGCTGCCACCACGAAGAAGACCACAGCTAAGGCTCAGACGCGGAAAACTACCACTACCAAACGCGCGACGCGCCAGTCAGCACGAAAGGCCGATAAAACCACGTCTGATGAAGATTCCCACCCTACCCATAACGATGAAGATATAACCACGAGCATATCGACCGCCCAGAAGACAACTCCCGAGAAGAAACCCGAGACCAACGAGTCCGAAGTCAAGTCAAAGCCTACATTATCTGAAAACGACGACAACAATAGTGAGTTTAATCTATGCGTTGTTCCCATGTCCCCCGTACCCACGGACCCATCTGCCCCCAAGGACCCCAAGGACCCCAACAACCACGACACCCTGGACTCCCAGGGAACCAGGGCTGCCTCGTGGCTGCAAGATTTTATCGACGCTCTGAGCGTCTGCTCGCCTCCTACAGAGAGGTCGAGGACGCCATCTTTGGCGTCAGAGTCCGAGGCAGTCCTGGCACCGCGTACCGCGCAGGAGTCGGGCGCAACCCACAGTGAGACTTTGAAATCCACCAATCAGATTACCAGCAAAGTCTCTGCCCCGACTCCTGCTGCGGAGGACCGCACCTTCGAGCAACCTGCGGAACCAACCGTGGTGGAGCCAATGGAAGAAACTGTCTCAACATCTTCCGAGCAGTCTAATACTGCCTCATTGGCTTCCGCTGCGGGCTCCGGAGGAGTGACAGTCGTGGAGGACGGGGAGGTAGGCGCGCTGATTACAGCCCTCGCCGGATTGTCTCTGGACGATCTTGCGCCTCCCTCGTCCGATGAAGCGACCGTCAATCTGATGGAGTCGACTACCGCGTCGATTGGAGACCCTGTTGAGCCTTCCCACATCGCTCCCCGAAGCGCCCCCGCTTCTCCCGCTTCTCGACAACAGTGGGTTCGGGAGTGGGCTCAACAGGTCCCTTCCACGGGCTACATTCATCCCATCACGGGACAACTCGTGGGAGGGCCGTCGGCGTCGGTTGAGTTGGCGGGAGAGTCCGCTTCCAATAGCGGCTCCCCGAACCGTCAGGATGGGGTTCGGGACTACTACCTGCGGAAGCGGCAGCGTGAGGTTCAAGTTATGTCCCCGCTGCAAGAAGATCAAGAATCGCAGAGTAGTCCCGGCCCCGGCTCAGGTGTCCCCAGCGTGGTGGTTTCCCTGGGGAGTCCGGGAAACCGGCCATCAACGGCATGCAGACAGAAGCTGACCGACAAACCAGGAACCAGAAAGCGCGCCCGCTCGGAATCCAGCGACGAAGAAAACAACACACCGCAAACCCCTGCCGCCAACAAGCGGCGAAATCTTGGAGTTCCCGGAAGCACACCATATAGACCCGCATCTCGCCCCCGCGCCCTGACTGCGAACATCACCCCGTACTCTGAGAGACGACGAAGACGCGCCGTCGAAAAGGATGGCCGTATCCACTCAACTGCTATTCGCGTATCTCAACTGCTCGCTCAGCAAGAGGCCGACCGGCGCCGCCAGGCAGCAGAGTCTTCTGCCCCTCTGAGCCCATTCCCGGGGCTGCCGCAGACCGACTTCGAATTTACAGTCGATAAGGCCCATAATCTTAGTCAGAGCCAAGAGCAAGAACACAACTTACCGGGGCAGCCTTCTACACTCCAGCAACCGGTCACTCCGGAGCGCACTAGAGGTTGGAACATCCGTGGCCTGCTTAACTCTGTGCCCCGCAGGTTTTCCAGAATCATACCCTCTTTTGGGAGGAGCCCCGAACGAACCCAAGAGTCCGGTATGTTATTCCTTGTACTCTGCCGATCCCAATCGCTTCATTAATTAGAATTAGTCCCTTTCCAACCGTCTTCTGAACGTGTGAATCGAACGCAAACCCCCGAGTCCTACTCGGATGTTTCTCAGAACCAAGCGCAACCTAACCGCGGTTCAAGCGAGGAGCCTCCCCAAAAGCGCGCTCGCAGGTCTTGGTCTCTCTTTCCGCAACCTTTCGACAGGTCCCTCTATCTTGCAGATCTTCCCAAAAAGGAATCGACTACTCCGTCTTCTACTCTAGTATCTCGGCCTGTTGATAAGCCATCAACGGAAGAATCGAAGACTCAAGAGTCAATCGCATCAGATGGTCAGGCTGCAGCTCGGACACGCGAACATGTTCAAGACAGCGAAGCAGAACAATCAAAGGAAAAGAAGCGCAAGCGGTCTCCGTCGCCTGACGTGATCCCTAACCCTCCCGGATGCAGCTATGGATTGGACTTGGATTATTTCTGCTATAGCTCTGAAAGCGATGAGGAACAGGAACTTCCGCAGCCACGAACTGAACAAAAGAAGCCTGATCATTCGGCCAAGGCGGCAGTCCGCAGTGCCCTACGCTCTGAGCGGCCATCATCGAAGAAAGTCCGTTTCGATGCAAGCCCAGAAAATACGCCGTCCAAACTCAGACTACGTGCCCGTGCAACCGACCCTTATCATGGCAGGCACTTCATTGGAATGGGCAATGACTCGGACGCCGCTGCTCCAGATTCTCCTACCCCCGCTTCTCATGTCTCTGACGAATCTCCAACGCGTTCCGGCTTCGTTCCGAATCGCCAGGGTACATTCCAACTAGACTACGATGCTTTCTCAGACGACTCGGAATCGAGCGGATCCCCTTCAGCAGCAAATGTCCCTGCACCTAGTTCTGTACCTAGCTCACCGAATGTCGCTCACGCTGGTGTTCCTGAAAGGTATGATACCTATGCTCTCATGTTGATAAAGGCAAGCACAGCTAACCGGTTCTCATTTCCAGTGTGCAATCCCCAGATGTCCGCCTGACCCCGCGTCAAACGGCTGCGGCGCCATCTACTCCAGCGAAGATTGACGAAGAAGCACTTGCCAGAGCTCGCTCACAGGCTGAGAAATACAAACCCAAGACTCCTAGTGGCCTTCGTACTGCAAGCCGATACTCGAGTCCTTTGACTGCTACACCTGACACGGTATCTGCATCTGTGCCCGTGGCCACACCAACACCTGCATCGGCGGATGAGCCCGTACCCGAGCCTGAGCAGCCTCCTACTGAAGATTTTGGAGACGATGAATTTGCTCGCGAGGCACAGTGGCTTTTTGAGAACTGCCCATCCGGAGACCTTAGCGACCTAGTGTGGCCTCAGCCCGTAACTTATGAAGAGCAAGGCTTTAGTCCCGAGGCGGTTAACCTTGTGAATGAGATGTGGGACCCCGCGATGGTTGATTATGCTTATGCCAACATCTGGACACCTGGTCTGGAGGCATTCAAGCGTGACTTGGAATTAGGCGTGTCCGAGGCGACACAGGCATAGACTGCGATTGTCTTTCCCGCCCTTCTATTATCGACATGATCTATCTTCTGCTTAAGCTATACGAGCCTAAGCCTGCAACATTGACTAAGGATCACTTCCGGCCTTGCGTGGCCTCTAGCTGGTGTTTCTGCAGAGCATGGTGTGTCATGCATGGAAGTCGCGTTGTTTGTATGAATAGTATTTTAGCGGCTGATCAGTGGATTGCATTTACATTTAAATCCGATCATTTTCATAAACACAACGCCCTCTTGAGTCTTGACTCAGGGAAACGCAGCTACCAAGCAACCTGTAAAAACAAGCAACTAGTAGCGTCTAAGCCTCTATTCCCTTCCAAGCTACCTTGCTACCATCCTCATCCCAAGCAGCAGTGAAAACGGCACCAGCGGCACAAAAAGGAAGTGACAGCACAAACATCCCCAGTCAACGTAACTATCCACATTCAAACCCCACTAGAGTTAACTACCACGATCCTAGTACTACCATAAGCCCACAACTGTTCTGAATATGCATCTTCCGACCAAATTCAAGCTGCCCAGGTCCCGTCTCTCAGCGAAACTCATCCCACTGGCACTGATTCAGACTTCTCACCAACGCGCCATTACCCTTGGTCTTAGTCAAAGATACCGCTTGGTCTTTGTAGCCTTCTATTGGCGATGAGCGAAGAGTCACGGCCTTTTGGTGTCCTTGTGGTATCATTAATTTTGCAGAGGTCTAGTCTCAATAGGGCATTGCTTTCCAAGCAGGTGTTGGGGTAATCTGGGATTGGAATTGAATGCATGGTAGTGATGGTGGTGGTCTAGGGGTGCAGATGACGATTATTTCGCTGTCGTCTTTTATGTCACTGGGTTTGTGTATAGTGTTCGTCCGTTACCTTCCTGCGCAGATGGCGAAGTGTGGTAAGGGTCGATTACATGATCAGGGGATGTGTTTGCCGGTGCTGGCTGGGATAGAGCATGTGGATGTAGTGATGAAGATGGTAGAAGAAAGGATATAGACTGCAGGAATCTATGGATACATAAATGGTATCAGTAATGAGACAACTATACATGCCAACCGGTATATCAATCAGTCGAAACCCTCGAATTCCTCCTCGTCATCCCCTCCCTTGTCTTTGGCTACACGTTTGGCCTGTCTCTCCTGTTCGTTCTTTGCCCGGATCTGCTCGATCATCTTCTCTGTCTCCATCACCTTCTGGCGCTCTTCTTCCGTCATCTTCTCCCACTTGTCCTTTTGTTGACGGACATGCTTGGCTTCTCTGCGCTTCTGCTTCTTGTTCCGGTTATCGAGGTTCCTGCTCCACGCGACGCTCTCGACGGCCCGCTTCTTGCCCGTGAATTGTTCATCTACAACGCCGTTCTCGGCACTCTCCTGGATCTGTTCCTGCCGGCGTTTCTCCCGTTGCTTATCCTTGTATGTGTAGTTCTCCCAGTCTAACTTCACGCCAAGGGTGCGATCGCCTTCGAAATTTCTCAACTCCGGCATCTTTGGAAGTTTTAGGAGGCCCCACGCATTGCCTAGGCCTTCCCAGTCCAGATCTGCGGCGCGGAATATACTGCTCGCTTGGTGCTTGCTGTAGCTTCTGAACCAGCTGACAAAAGCCTTCTGCCCGCGATCGTGTAATGCACGGTCCGCAAGTACGGCTTTGCGAGCCGTCTCCGTAGCCGCAGCGGCGTCTGCATCTGTTATGGTGATAGCGTGGGGGTACGGTCCCACTGGGGTCTTGCGAACTTCTAGGAAGGAAACGTAGTCTTCCTCTCGTCCTTGGTGGAGAAGGACGACACTCAGTCCCTTACGACCAGCTCGTCCTGCACGGCCGCATCTGTGAATGAAACTCTTCGGGTCGGAGGGAGGGTCGATTTGTATTACGAGGTCGACGGAGGGGATATCTAGTCCACGAGAAGCGACGTCGGTAGTCAGGAGAATGGCAGGAGTATGAGAGTTGACGAAGCGGTTGAAGTTCTTTTCGCGAACATTTGCTTGGTGTTTGCCATGCAGGGGTATCAACTGGAAATCATCGCCTAGAATCAAGGGAAGGATCGCAGAGAGGTAATCCACGCCCGAGCAGGTCGACACGAAGAAGATAGTTTTTTGAGGGGTTGGCTCAACCGAGTAGAGGATGTGCTTAATAGCGGGGAATTTGTGGGTTGGCGGAACGGCGAGGTATGTCATCTGCAAGCTATTTCAACAGTCAGCAAAATGAAGCTTCAATGATGTGAAGCAGAGAAACAGACCTAGCGGGTGTACGCTTATCCTGGACACCTGCAGTGCCCTTTACTTTAACCATAACCTTGACCGGATTGCGCAGACCAACCCGGACAATCTGATCCACAGCTTCACTGACACTGGCACTGAATAATCCTGTCCGTCGTTGCTTGGGTAGGCGGCGCAGGATATTCTGCAGGGTATCCTTGAACCCAAGGTCCAGAAGCCTGTCTGCCTCATCCATGACTAGCATTTCGAAAGACGACTGAGGGCAGTGAACATGGGGCGAGGAGAGCAATTCAAGCAGCCGTCCCGGTGTTGACACCAGCAGATTCGGGGATCGCTTGAGGAAGGTACTCAAGTCCTCTGCTGGTGAGGTCGAACCGCCGAGAAGGAGCTGCGGGACAACCTTAAGGGTGGAGGAGGGGAATTTCTGACGAGGTACATCGTCGTCTTCGTCGGCGGGGGCGATGGCGGAGGCAGATGGAGGATGGAATGCGAGCAAGGAGGTTAAAACGTTGTAGATCTGTGATGCAAGCTCTCTTAATGGCAACAGTCAGCGCTGTAGCCGCGAACTGTTTCCGTAGCAAGGAATTACCTACCTCGTCGGAGAAATGATAATGGCGCCGACATGATGTTTCTTGAGCGGCTCTTCCAGGCGTAAAAGCTTTTCGACAACCGGGATCAAGAAAGACAGAGTCTTTCCGCTTCCTGTAACAGCCTCAACGACAACATCCTTATGCGCCATGAACAGAGGAATGGCTGAGGCCTGGACGGGAGTCATCCGGGTGAACCCCATCGAGGAAACGGCATCCAGCACCCATTCCGACAGAGCGGGCTTTACTGCGTCCCAGGCTCGGGCAGACGTGCCAGCCGGCGGTTTGGGAGCCATTGCCGGTATAGGAGTATTGTGCAGTTCTCCGGCGTCACAGCCTGGGTCCGAATCAATACCAACTGGAAGAATGAAACCTGCGCAGTCCCGCCGTGGAGTCGATCTCTTTTTTTTCCCGTCAATTTTTCCTTATCAGAAACGCGGCGATTAGATACCGGAGGCGGTGAGCGCATTCTGCAGCAACACACGTGATGGTCCGCGGATTCGGCGGAAGGAAATCAAGTCAGCTGAAAGTTCAGCCCATCGTCAACAAGCATCAAACATTCTTCGATTCACCCGATCTCTCGCCGTCGGAGCTCAAAATAGGTGCGCGATCACGCATCAACCGCTCTAGCTCTACAATCTGCGATCCTTGGTGGCTATGTCAATCCTCTGCTAAACGTGGCGCGTCATGCGTGGCGGTGTTTCTGCCTGGTACTACGATCATTATAGAGCCTTACAGCCATAATCTACCTTATATTGTCAGGAAGGTCTGCCATCGCAATCTTTGCCCAAGATTCCGTCGTTCAACGTGTTCGGCCTACCCATACTCGGCGCCTGTACTTATAACCCCACTCTTATCTTCCCGCGACCGCCATCCGGGCTCATCCAAGTCCCGGCCCTTCCACCTTTCTCCATACCAACAGTCGACATGCCTTCTGATCCAGATGCCATACCTGAGACTCCTCGAGTCACCTCTCCTTCTCCCGTGCCATCGGAGGGGAGGTCAAGCTTAGGAGATTACTCGGGACCTATAACACGCTCCGCGGCGCGACGTCAACGGCTGGGGGAGGTGACGGAGGAAGCAGATGGCAATTCGAAATCGGAATCGAAGCGCTCACGGGCGCGATCTCGCAGCCCAAGTACTCCGGCTGAATCCGCAAGGCGCCGTAACAGAAAATCAAACCCGAAGCTACCGGCTGGCAAGCCCAAGGCACCGACGAACGGCCATGCAGCATCCAACGGATACCTATCACCACTCGCGAAGCCCGGCGGCGGCTGGCCCGACATCTCTCGATCCCCCTCTCCTCTCGGTCTCATACCTCTTCACAGCCGTTATCGCACCTTCATTCATCGTCATGAGATCCCGCGCAAACTCCTCCATGTGTCGATCGGCTTCCTAACCCTCAACCTGTATAGTCGCGGCATCCAACCCCTCCAGATCACGCCATGGCTCTTCGGAGCTCTCGTACCAATTGCCGCCATAGATGTCATTCGTCATCGACCAGAATTCCAGAAAGTCAACGAGCTGTATATCCGCTGTGTTGGTGCTCTCATGCGTGAAACGGAGGTTTCTGGTTACAACGGCGTTATCTGGTATCTGGTGGGCACATATACAGTGCTGCGCTTCCTTCCCAAGGACGTCGGGGTCATGAGTGTGTTACTCCTCAGTTGGTGTGATACGGCCGCTTCTACATTTGGACGTCTCTACGGCCGTTACACATTCCAGCTGCGGAAGGGCAAGAGCTTCGCCGGGACACTGGGAGCCTGGTTCGTTGGCGTTTTGACCGCCGCCGCATTCTGGGGCTACTTCGTACCCTATATCGGAACCTTCTCCAATGACCCCGAAGGATCATTCATGTTCACCGGCCGTCTCAATCTTCTTCCGGATCCGGTCAGGAACCTGATCGGCTGGACTTCAGACTCCTCCAGCTCTGTCATCTCAGGCCCATTGGCCCTCGGGGTCATGAGCGTCGTCTCAGGCTTAGTGGCTGCTGGAAGTGAGTTCGTGGACATCCTTGGCATGGACGACAACCTCACTATTCCGATCTTGAGCGGTATCGGTCTGTGGGGTTTCCTCAAAGTTTTCGGTTGAAGTAGCGGCGGTGCATCCATCCCCCTCGACATGGTTACATGTATATGTCCGACCCCTTTTGATTATTACCACCCGCGCTGTATCCTGACTGTTTGCTGTGAGAGGGACAGCAGAGTTGGAACGCGCTGCAGGGCTCGCCTATCATTCCTTTGACTCATCTCTTTTTACACTGTTAACCCTGTTTATTCCTTCCTCCTTATACAGATACACCCCCACTACCCAATGGCAGCACCACCGCTCTTCCTCACCTTGATTTTTCTCTCGACCCTCTGGTTTGCACAAGTGTCCATGAAGAACGGCACTGGAAATAATCATCTTCGCCCGCGGAAGGACTTTGTTTAATGATTAGATAGATATCCTGGGTTGGCGTGGCTTTGGCGCTTGCAAATCTACCCCCCATAGGCTGTTCAAATAATTCGTTTATACGAGTGTAAGGGACTTTTGCGACTACCCCATGACGTGATATGATATGATTAACTTCGATATATATCATGATGTGTATGCCAGCGCAAGGCATGTTTTACTTTAGATCCCCATTTATCATCTCCAACGCCCCTGTAATGCATAGCAAGAAGTCGGACATGGGAAAGACAAGAAAGCCCAGCAGCGAATGTTGGAAAGAGGCCAATGCACAATGCGTTCCATGTTCATTCAAGTCAAGTCCAATATGCTCACACGGGGAATTCGCTTCTTTTTGCTGCGGCTCTTCGAACCGTTAACCGTATCATTAGATTCTGTCGATTTGCCCGCGTCGCGGCTGGTTTCTGCTGGTGCCTCTGTCGTCCAAAATCCGTCTTGTACAATGACGGATTCAACATGCGACGCTGGCGTTGCAGAGTTGTCTGATGCCTTGGAACTCATATTCTTCTTGGGCTTCTGTTCCTTGGTCTCACCGGTTCGGCCCTTGAGGTTCTCGCGACTTTGAAGCTTTTTGGTGTATGTAGCATCGGTTTTCCCCTTCGGCTTTGAAGCAAAACCACCCTCTTCCATAGTCGGTAAGGGATGAATATTCTGTATATCAGACCTAGTAGGGTTGGGCTTGATATTATCCGTTTTCTTCTGATGCGATATTCGTCGAGGTCTCGGCCGAGATTCTTCCAGATCTATGGTCTCTTTGGATGGCTTAAGGGGTTTCGTGTCATCCAGCGCTATTGAGGAGATTGCCTGGCCCAGTTTTTCAACCTCAGAAGAGGGACTTTGTTGACGCTTGTGTCGCCGAGGCCTCGTCACATCGTGGCAGGTTGAATGGTTGGAAGGTAACGAAGGATGTTCATCCTTTTTCTCACTTGTCACAGTCCGCTTTTGCTTACATCGAACTTTTCCCGGACCGGAAGGGGATGACGGGGAGGCGGGAAAGACCTTTGCAGTTGGCAACTCAAATATGTCCAAATCAGAGTCATCTGAGAAAGCCGACCTGCGCCTGCCTGTGGCACGAGCTCGGTCGAGCCCGGACTGCCCTTTTGCATCTGCTCGTGGTGATACGTGACATAACGTAGAAAATCGGTCGACTAAATCATCGAAGCTCGGATGATTATCGTCGTCAGTCAATGGTTGCTGCTGGCTAAGTATGTTAGACGTGGGTGACTTCTTCGAATAGTTGGGAGAATCTGGAGACTGACGGGAACTCGACAGGCTGGGCTTCGAGGGTGATTTAGCCGCGACTGCTGCCTCCAAAAGCGCTGCGCTCTTGTAACTGGAAATTCCAGTGCGCTCCTTGGTGAGAGTCCCATACTTCAAAATGCTGCCTCGCTTCATTCCCGGATCTATAGGCCCCTTTTTCCTAGGACCTGTTTTCCGAGCGGTGGGCTTCTTCGGTGCCGCCTTCTCAGCTTGCTCTCTTTTCCAGTTTTCCACGACGTCTGGAATTCCTATTATGGCCAAGGTTTCAAAGACCCAGACCTTTTTGGAAGTATAGGGGTCATAACGCTTTGCGACACGTTTCTTGACTGGAATCTGAGGCACTGACACCCCCTCATTCTCTAGCTCTTCTTCTTCGTCACCAGAGATCGTGGATTCTTGAGAAGGAAGCGGAGGATTTGGCTCATCAGCAAGTATATCTAAGCCAACAACGTCGACAGGAACAATGTCAAGCTGGAACTCTGTCAACCCGTCGGTACTATAGCTCGATCGGCTTTTGTAGATTTTCTGCAACATTGGAACGTTACTGTTGGATAATCTGGAAACGTTCTGAGCAAAGGCCGATGCTTGTCTTCCAAGACGTAGTCGGTAGGAGAGAAGTGGTTCTGAAAGTAACTTGGTCACTTTCCTCGCTCCAGAGCGGTAGTTCCATTCAAAGGTGTCGGCAGCAAACCTCCTCAGTTCCACAACATCGATGTCTTTGTCCCAGGCATCCACTAGGCGTTGTTGAATGGCTCCTAAATCGCCTGCTGCTGACACCACAGGCTGTGCATAGTATGACAGAATTGTCCTATCTGGAAATGTGTCCGGAATTCGGACAGCTTTATGTTTGGTCTGAAAGTAGCCACTCTCGTTTTCTTCAAGCTCATACTGGAGTCTTTCTCTCCATTCACTCAGCTTTGCATCGAGGTCGTCGCAGTCCGAGTCAATAATCTCAAGAAGGTCGGCTCCAAAACCCGCTTTTGCGATCTCTCCGGCTAACTTGCTACCGCATTTAGGGACTCCTGACGGCAAGTAGTCACCACCACTCAGCATGGCAAACAGGATCATGCCTGCACGATCAAGCATCACACTCGATGGTTCTCCGGCGCTGTCCATGCGGTAACAGGTAACATGCGTCGCAGCCGCTTTATTAGTGCCGCTTTCTTTTGAGAACCCCATCACAGCAAAGGTTGATCCGAACATCAGAGTGTCAACGTCGTTGCTCATGACCGCATCAACAATTCCTGCCCTTTGCAATCTTGCACACTCTGCTTCTGCTTCTCCTGGCGCCTCGTGACGAGGGAACCTGAAGAGATCCACTAGAATCTTGGAAAGTCGAATAATGGGAGCACTTCCATAACTGCGCCCCGACACAGCTTTGCCTCTCTTGAAAGGCGGCTTATTCTTGCCATCATACACAAAAAGAGGATGGATTGGAAGTGCCAAGATCTTCAGTAACCTGTAGAACAAGGTGCGTAGTTCTGGGTTCCTCCCACCTCGGCCGGCCTGCACTTGAAAGAGCCATATTGAAATATCCACCGCAATGCGGATAGGCCTTTCGGTGTGTTGTAGATGCGTTACGGCCAATCTAGACAAAGAAATGCGTTCTCCAGCGCCAATCGCGTGGATAAGTCTTTGTCATATTAGCTGGGGGCTTACTCAAACTGGCGATGTTTGCACACTGCAGAGGATCGAATATATTTCCTTCCCATGTGTTCCACCAGCCAACACCATACTGGAGTGTTAGACTTACCCCGGGATCCCCATTCGGATAGCCTCCTTGAACTCCAAAAATCCAAGTCCAAGGTACCAACAAAGGCAAATTGCACCGCAACCCAAGGCTTCTGGGGGTGAATGGCAGGGAGCGATTGTTGTTTTGTTGACGTCGGCGACTGGGCGACGCGGCCCGATGTAGATCCGCCCGCCCGAGCCTCCTCCGCGGCTTCCTTTTCGCGCTCGACTCGACAAGGACTGGAGTTGAGGGTACAATCGCCAATTGTTGATCGCCCCAATACGGGTGTCCTTTCCTCCAGTGAGCCCTGATCGGCAGAGGGTATGATCTGAATTTCCGTAACACAGACGCCTCTGTCGAGAGGAAGTATGATCCGCGCGGGGTCCACGAAGCATTCTATCCACTACCTCCGAATGTTCCCCGCGCTTTTGCTTGAATAGCCACCACAGCTATTGCTCCAGCGACTCACCTCAATAACGAAGAGATGACAAGTACTTCCTCCACCACCACTTTTGACGATAGGCGTCCCATCTCCATGAGCTTCCGTCATAGCCAGTCCGGGAGACCATCCTCGCCCCATACGCCTCAACACCACCTCCGATCCAATAATTCTTCCTTCGCAAGCACCTCCTCCGCAAGCACGTCATTTCGAGGAGAGGAAGATGCTATCATATTCGAGTTTGGCTCCAGATGGCTTCGAGCTGGATTTGAGGGCGAAAGTACTCCAATGTGCGTGGTCGGATGTGGTCCAGAGGAATCGAGGAGAGTCGGCGACTACAGAGGCTGGTTGAAAAGCAACAATGAAACGGATATATCACACTCACGGCTAGTCAAAGCGGAGGAATGGACCGGCGCATACGAACTCTGGAATATGAACCTACGCGACCTGGATTTGGCTCTCGTTGACGACAAGATCGAGCGCATGTTTCGAGAGACCTATAATAAGTACCTGTTGACAGATGCGGGAACATCACGACTGGTTTTGGTCCTTCCATCTATTATGCCGCATCCTCTACTATCGTCACTTTTGTCGACCCTTTTTAGCCGTTGGCGGTTCCCAAGTATCACACTTTTGACGAGTGCTCCCATGGCCGTGACTGCAGCTGGGCTGCGTTCAGCTTTGGTAGTGGACATTGGATGGGCGGAAACAATTATAAGCGGAGTCTACGAATACAGAGAGATGACTGTCAGGCGCAGTACACGGGCTATGAAGTCGCTGCTCCAGGAAACAGGTCGGCTCCTCACACGTCTCTCAAATGGCAGCGAGGCCTCGCAGTCAGCGGATGAAATCTCCGTCAAGTTTGAGCTCTGCGAAGAAGTTGCTAGTCGGTTCTTATGGTGTAGGTCCAAGGCGGTCCCTCAGGGCTCTACGGGGATATCGGAGCAACAGCCGGCCGAATCTCATGAGGACGAAGTTAAGACGACCGATCAACCCGCGGTTTCACTTGCAGAAGAAACAGTGTCGCTTCCCTGTCCATCAGGTTCCGGTACCACCTATATCGATATCCCCTTCTCGAAACTCGCGGAACCAGTGGACAAGGTTCTTTTTGCGGAGGGCTTAGCAGAATGCGAGTTGGACGATGAGGAAAAGCCGCTGCCGTTGTTGGTGTACAATACCCTTCTTAGCTTGCCGCCCGATGTCCGTGGCACGTGTATGTCGCGCATCGTTTTCATTGGAGGAGGCTCCAATATCCCCGGTATCCGACGACGCATCCTCAGAGACGTGGCGTCCCTGGTTGAGAAGTATGGCTGGTCACCTGTCCGTGGCAAGGTGATTGAACAGCAACGACAGAAGCTCCAGAGCCTAAGACTCTCTCAGCCACAACCGCTCCCGGTCACGAAGCAGGGAGATACAGACGATTCCCCCGACTCTGGCACTGAAAAATCCACCTCGGAACCACAAGCAGACGATGAAGAAGTCGATCCAGTTGAGCAGAAGATTCGCCGTAACAACAAGGACAAGGATGCTAAGCCGCCGGTGCAAGGTGTCCTGCGTGAAGTCGAATCCCTCGGTCCATGGGCAGGAGCCAGCCTTCTTACGAGTCTCAAGATCCGAGGCTTAGTCGAGATTGAGCGGGAGAAGTACCTTCAACATGGCCTTGCAGGGGCTACCCGCGATTGGGAGGTGCACGGGCATGCTCCTGATAGACGCTCGGGGCTACGGACGGGAGGCGACCGGTCTAGCTGGACTTTAGCTGGCTGGGGATGATTCTATGCTAGAATGGTCTCCGCTCCATCTATCGTATCCCCCACGTGTCCACCCCACCGCACGTGCGATCTATTTAAATATGCACTGGAATTTGAGAGGCCCCATCGCTCCCTACACTAGTGCAGACGGCACCCTGAAATACCCTCTGATTTTGTTCTCCCTGAGATTGTCGAAGCAGTTAGCAGTAGATACGATACCCGTTAGAATCTTGCAGCAGATCATTTTAGATGTCTTTCATCAGATTTTCTCAAACACGTTTAGCGTAGAAGTCTATACGTCTCATGCCAGACCAGACATACGGCGTATTGGATTATGTACACGACCACGGATTTACAGGAGGTGATCTAGGTAAAGAACGGAGAACCAAGGGCTCAGACTTCCACCCTAAGATTAAGAGTATTGAACGGAGATCAGACAAGTTTCCGAACAAGCCGCGCTTACCACTCAAACGGTGCCGAATTGGTAAGTCGCCCAATTAACGGCAGGGCCTGTTTCAGGAGAGTAGATCTGGTCGGGCAGCTGACCCCATTGGGGGTTGTTGATGCCGTCGATCCAACCCTCAGTTTCAATAACGATACAGCCATACTTGTTGACGTACTCGGCGCCATCGACACCCTCGGCCTCGTTGCGCTTGATTTGGGACTGCTTGACGGGGATGGTGCCGTTCTGGCTATTGCAAGAGTAGATTTGGAGTGCTTGCTGGTTCGTTGCAACGTCTAGGCTGATTCCGGTGGTGCTGGAGTTCATGTGGATGATGGGGACTATGGAGTTGCGAGCAGCATATTGAGGGGGTCGGTCAACGATGAAGCAGGTATCGTAACCGGTGCAGTCGGTTCCGCATAGGCCATCTGTTTCCTTGATATCCTGACCCACAAGTTTGCCGTTGGTGAAGTCGGGGGCGCCGTTGTAGACGTCGACGTCTAAGATGGTGCCATTGGGGATCAGGATACCGTTGGTACCAACGATCCGCTTGGAGAGAGGCAGCTGCAGCCAAGTATCCTCGAGAACATTCTCATCTTTGAAGGCATTCAGGTTCCAGTAAATGTGATTGGCAAGCATGATTGGGGTCGTCTCAGTCAAGGCAAGAGAGACGAGCTTGGTAGTCAGCTGAGGGAGACCTTGGGGATTTTCAGTTGTGACTTCCGTCTGGACGCTGAAGGTAGCATGGGTGATGACATCTCCGGGAAAGTCCTCGAATGCACGATCAACCAAGGTGAAGGTAATGGAGGAATTGGTGTATGCGCTGACTGTCCAATTGCGCTGGTCATAGCCCACGGTACCTCCGTGGAGTGTATCTTCGCCACCATTCTCGTTTTCTGGCACATGGTACACGTCTGGACCAATTGAGAAAGTACCGTTCTTGATCCGGTTGGCGTACCGGCCGACGACTGCACCGAAGTAGGTATGATTGGTTTCAGTGTCTTTGAGATACTGCTTGGGGTCATCATAGCCCACGACAACATCTTGTAAATTGCCGTTACGGTCAGGGACAAGTAGGGACGTCAAGCGTGCACCGTATGGGATGAACTTGGCGGTGATGTTTTCCGCGCTAATGGTGTAGAGCTGGAAAGGGTCTCCTGTCGACTTCGCTGCTGCGGCAGCTTGCGACAGCGCTGGCAACCCGTAGAGGGCTGCGGACAGATAGCCTTTGAGGTGCATTCTGATGCCTAGGAGGAAGGTGATGATGAGAAAGAAGCAGCAGTACGCAAACAGGACGCGAGGTGTGATCCGGACAGGGCAGAGCAAGGAGCGGCAGCAGCCGAGAAGCTGGGGAAATCCCTGGCCGGGTCTGGCGGAGCGTCCCATAGTATTTATTTACTGCGAAATATTTGGTATTTTTTTTTTTTTACCTCATTATGGCGCGCCTGACCAGCGGGCGGGGGAACCAATACGCAGGGACCGAGAAGCTGGGGTAAAATGCAGCTAATTCCTTGGTCAATGTTTAGCTCATTAAACAAATATCCGAGCGAAGGCGTCATCTCACCCAAGGGGTGGGCTAAGGTAAACGTGGCAGGGGCCCGATGCCAGGACGCATGGGTAACTGCGCCGGCGTAGCTACTATCAGTAAACTAAGCTCTGGGACTGGGCGAATCGAGTACGGAGTATGGTGGAAGAAGTTGGTCCGCGTCTGACCACAGTCTGACCGCAGGTCGAAGAGATCGGATAAAGTCAAAGAATTGGGCCGAAGGACTAGGATCAACCGGTTTCTATCCCAACCCGGGAGGCGTGGTGGAACGACCTTGTTGAGCAGCGTTCTCCTGAGCCAGTGCCACAGTAGCGGAGATGAAGCCACGGAAAGGATTCAGAGCCACAGGAATGGAGCTAGTCCGGCCTGGGCAAGTCCCGGCGGGGGAAGGCTGGATGTTGCGGGGAAAGGCAACCGGCCTGTCGATCATCTTGGTTGTTCTCTCCTAGGTACGATGGCCACCCGGGGAGGACTGGAAGGTCACTCGGGCACGGGGTCGGGCATCATGAGCAGAGCCAGGGTGAAAGTACTACCACTGACCACCAGGGATAACGGTGGCGTGAGGTATGCGCACTAGTACTCCGTGCTATGTATGAAGTGAAGTGGTCTGGGTCCCGACTGATCCATCCCCACTGCCATTTGGGTCTCTCTGCCTTCCCGCATACCCCGGCAGGAACAACTCATCGGCCGGATCACCTAAGCATCTCCCCCTGCCGGGCGCTCGGCCTGCCTGATCGGGAGACTTGTTTATGTTATGCGGCGATTTTGTCGGATTTCCCCACGATTGAGAATCTGTCTTGGATAATTGAAGTTTTGTCTGAATTTACTGCCCTGAGGTGAGACGAAAAGAACTATTTTTGGGACTAAAAGATGAAGCTCTCCGACTCGCAAAGCTGTTGAAGTCCGTCCCTATGATACGCGACGGGGGGTCAAACGTCACCCCTCACATGCGCCGCATCGTCGTTTCCAGATCGAAATGTCCTCCCGCAGTCCCAGCTCCTCTCCGGACATTCTTGGACCACCTGGCGACGCCGAATATCTGATCTCTTCACCGTTTGTCCCCTTCTCCGGTCGCCAAAGCTTCATGTCGCCGGCGAACTTCCGCCTCCTCCAAAGCCCGCGGACGGCGAAGAGCAAAAGGCGGTCGCGTGTTAGTTTTAGTCCTTCAAAAAAGGCCCACTCCATCAAGTTTAACGATGTTGTCCTTCCTGCCTCCCCGACGATGAAACTGAACGGCCAGCAAAGTGGAATGTCACCGGATACCGTTCAGCCTGATGGAAACGTCAGCCCGTGGAGGATTCGCGTGACACTCGAAGCGACACAAGACGAAAATACAAACCAAGGGAGTCCCGTGCGGAAACGTTTAAAACCCTCGACGACAACGATGAAAATACCCCTCAAGGATGATACAGAACAGACCCCACGCAAACGCAGAGGGCGCCCGAGGAAGTCGGACACATTGGTGCAGGATGCGACTCCGCGCCCAGGTAGCCCAGGCCACACCCCGGGCCCTGGAGGGACAGGGCAGAAGAGAAAACGAGGACGACCAAGGAAAAGTCAACCAGATTTACCTCTGGCTGAACAACCCGTGGATTATCAAGAGAATGAACCGGAAGCTCCCATCGTGGAGCCTGAGCGGAGCTGGAGTCCTTTGAACCTTGCAGCAGATATGGGATCTGACGATGATATTCCGGGCGATCAAGGGCTTGATTTTGGCAACACTTCCGCACATGACGACCGGATGGCACATCCTGATTTGGCCGATCGAAACTCTCCTCGGGTGACATTTGAACCAACATTTGACACCCCAAACGTTGAGAATGTGGACCAAGGTTTTACAGAGAATGACGAGTACAATCTAAACTCAACCCCGTCCAAAATGCCCTCTCCGATTCGGGATAGCCAGATCATCTCCCCAACAAACACTCTGCACGCCGGCCGCACTCCGAAAGCACCGCGGATTTACCCCACACCGACCTCGTCATCAGTGGCTGAAGAAGAGAAGACGGAGCAGGCTCAGAGAACACATGCAACTCACACTAGGAATCGCCGTGAAAGCGGGCTTTACCCCACGATTGATCCGACTGAAGAGCACAGAGAGTTTGACTCCATAATGGAAAGTGAAGGGTTTAGCATGGTTTCGTTGGATACATTACCATCAGCGAAACAACATGAGCTCAAGAAATCTAGCCACCAGCAAGCAGCCAAGAGCGCACTTAAGCCTTTCATAGAGCGAGAATCGAATGGCGTGTTGAAGCGAAGAGCTTCGGCTATCAACCAGAGTCACGAAGAGCATACCTCCAACCGAAAAGCACAGCTGGACTCTAGGTCAAGGGACCAGTCACCGGCTCAGCTTCCCCCTCAGTCCGGTGGCGCTGATAGCTATCTGCACCATCCTTCATCAGAAAGCAGGCTAAGATCTGCCAGAAAGGTATCTGGATTATCGGCCACTGCGCTGCAGTCGACTTCCGCTCGACAAGAACGAGGGCCGTTGGCTAGACTTGTCCGGATAGTCCGTGCAGGCTTTGCTCTCGAGGGGCCTCTTAGAAAGTCAGAGGAAGAGCACATTTCGCGCCAGTCAGGTTCAAGAGTAGCAGACTCGTCAGATTCCATGTTGGATGCGTCTAGGAAACGACTGGAGCTTCTTTTTGGTGACTTCGCCCCAGAAATACAAAAGGAGCTACGGGCAGGCTTGGCATTTGGGCAGGAACTTGCAAAGAGACGGAGACAGAGCGATATGGAAAGGCGCATACAGACTGGGGTAGGAGAAGTAACTGCTAGAAAAATACCCGGGAAAAACAGGGAAGCAAGTGGATCCAGGTCACCACAGCGAACGGTGGGTGAGGCAACCCACTATGATACCCCGGGTACGTTTATGAGACGGCGGATGGAAGAGTGGCAGCGGGAGAGGGAGGCTATCAGTCGAGAGATCCAGATGGCGAATTCTAGCCAGGTCATCGTCCTTGACAGCGACGATCACGATCAATCGAACATCCAAGGTGACAGGTATGAAGACGATGACGAGCGCGAATATGAGCGAGAATCCATCCCTGATGGGGGCGCGCACGTAGAAGCCGAACATTTGGACGACGACGAGGAGGAGGAGGAGGAGGAGGAGGAGGAGGATGATGATGATGGATACGAAGACATCTGGCAGCAAGAAGCCCATAGTCAAGGCCACCACTCAGATCACTCGTCGCTGCTTGAAGCCGACAACACTGATATGCACCCCGGGCAGGATGAGTCTAGCCCATGGAGGAGTGGCTGGACCCCTGCTCGAAATCAGAACGGCAAGATAATTTCGCCGGCTCATTGGACAACCGAGCAAGAACAAGTGCCGTTTTTGGGCCGGTCAAGAGTCAAACAGCTACAGGAGCAAGAAGTTGACCTGACATCTCTGTACCGCGCTCAGGACACACCGAAGCGCAACCACTACTATTATGGGAAAAGCAGTCCTTTGAACAGCACAATACGAGGCTCTGTACGCCATTCATCAGTATCTCCGGTACAGGAGGAGGTCTATGAGCATGTGTCTGACCAGGATGGACAGTCGGTGGACTATGTGGAATCGAGCCCTCACCGGGACTCCGACGAGGAGACGTTTCAGATTGACCCGACGACTAGATTGGAACTTGCCAGACAGCGCCATGAGCCTGACATGGACGATGATGAAGTCGGGAGTGAGTTTGATGCCGCTGTAGCCGAGAGACAGCCCGCTCCAGAGGCAGGTGACATCACCCCCGAGAATCCACGGCATGCCAGCCCTAATGATCAAGCATCATCCTGGTTCCAGAGGATCACCAATTTCACGCCGGGGTGGCTCCGAGCACCGACTTCTGAACAACAAGGGCCCCCAAGTGAAAAGTCTTCGGGCGACGAGAAAGTTGTTGAACCGCCCACCGTTGAGCCAACGCATGATAGTGGTGATCATGGTGATGAAATCAACTGGGTGGATTTGGATGAGACCCCACGACCGCACCAATTTGGGGAGCCAGAGGATGAGCGACAGAGTTTCTCTAGTCCCGAGTCTTTCCAAGTGGTCGGCGATGTGCAGGCTTCATTGGACGAAGGAGAAGAAGAGAGAGAAGGGAAAGCGGAGGCACAGACGCCGAGAGACCAATCACCGTTTTCTGCTTCCGTGTACTTTTCGAACGACCACTATCGCTTGCTGCATCATCTCTATCGCTCGGCAAAGCTATATCCTGAGCGCTTCCCTTACCACCCGGCTCCTGGTCGCTCCGATATGATCGGCGACTGGATCTGGACCTCGGATGGAGTCTATGGAGTCCCGGTCACAGAGCTTCAATTTGCGATCATTGACAGATTTGCACAGCAGTTGTCCCAAGCCGATATGAAGGCAGGCGGAACGGGTCAGATCAGTTGGACAGAGGCTGACGTGCACAGACGATTGATCAGTATCATTATTGGTGAACAGATCAGACAAGAACGGAAGCAGCAGCTCCACGAGGATCGTTTGAGAGCCGAGAATTCGCGAAACAGGGACGCAGCCTACGAGACGTGGCGCATATGACTTCTCAAACCTGCACGTCGCTTGGCCTCTGCCGCCTGAACTCGTTTTTCCGAAACACAGTCTTTGCTGGCGCATAGACCAGCACACGTTGTAACGACTTCTATTCTTGTTTTTCTATGGGTACATTTTATTTCCGGGTCTTTACGGGTGGCGAACCAACGGATTGGATCTTGGTGGTGGGCATTGGGTGGCAGGTTCACTTCCCCGTTTTGGCCGCATGTTCTGGTATAGCATCTATTTTGTCTCTGTAATATTCCCCCTTTGTTTCTTTTGCTTTGGATTCTCCGCCTGTGATTGGATCTCGTCAAGTCAGCTGCCAAAGGATTTTTTTACTCGTTTATATTCGGGAAGGAAATGCGACGATATCATTGGTGTATGCACGATATGGGTTCCCTAATTTGGCAAAGGAGTGCGCATTTCAGTTGGGTTTGGAACCCCTTGTTTGACCTTGAAGATGATTTGCAGAGTGAGTTTTTCAGTGGTCTGCAAAGGCCAATGGACAAAGCACAGTTGACGGATCGTCATGGAACGTGTCGTGCCGTACTGATGTTTGCTATGTGATGCCTGCCATGTCCGTTGGACAGTTCTGAACGGTTCGATCCTGTTCCTTTCTGGGTCGTGTTCAACGAGGGCTCCTACTGCCACGTTTACTACTCCACGGGGTGCAGCTCACCGAAATAGCACCGGACGGGGATAGCTTGACTGCTCTCTTTTGACAGACTCGAGGGCATCGGATCTCATTGGCCACCACATTGTAGTTCTGACTGCGCGGTGCAGGCATTGGAGCGCCAACCAAGCGGAAGAGGCGACATACGAGCCTAGCCCCGTTTTAGAGGCCTGATGTCGGGTTGTCTCTCATGGCGCCTAAAACCGGATTCCCTGGCCCAGGATGCAGAGGCATAACCGTCTCGGGTGTTGGTGCAGCGGTAGTGATCTGATATATATAAAAGGGATTTCCAAACGGCCCGTATACATTCATGCCTGCGAGCCAAACAGTCTAGCAAAGGTCACAGCAGAATCCCCTCACCTGAAAGCGGTCAACACCGACGAGGTCCAGAGGATAGGCCAAACTTGTATATATGTACGCAATGGGGGTCAGCAATCCAGTCAAGTATGTCCTGCGCCTGTCCCTTTTCACCAAACGCACCGAGCAATCCACCTGGAAAGGGAAAGAAATCGACTCGGATCCGCCGATCGAGGTTCGCTGGAGCGCTGTACAGTGTCCAGATGACTTTGCATTGACCGATGCCCACATGGCGGTGAGCCCAAGTGAGTCCGATCTGGGCCACAGCAGCAGCAGCAGCAGCAGTAGCCGGACGGGATTGGTGCGCATCGTCAGTTGGGCCAGTCTGGTTGGCGACCGATGTCGGTGGACGATGGAGCAAGAGCGCAAACTGGCCATTGCAAGGAGCGAACTGGCTCGATGTCAAAAAGCATGGAGTTCAGAACAGGAGTTGTGGCTAGCACATGTATGGTCTTTTCTCTTTTTCTTTCCCCACTGCCGGCGGATCTTCTGTTCCCTTCCTTTTGCCTTCCCTCACCACCCTGGTCGCTCCCCCCATGACGGGCATGGCTTAGGGCTTGCGGTACCTGCATAACTGACACTTCATACGCAAATCTCTCCCACCAGATCAAAGACTTGCACGAGGAAAAAGAGGCTCATGAACAATTTCTTCACCACCGCGCGAAACAACAAGACGAGGAACAGCAACATTTCCGCAAATCCTGGATCCGACGCAAATCCTACGAGGAACAGCAACAGATCGCCCCTACACAGAGGACCAATAGCCGACTGCATCGGATACGGCGCATGGGATCATAGCCGCCGGACGGCCAGAGCTACCGTGATGCCTGAGTAGGAAGTAGGTCGGATGAACGTCATGATGGACGTGAAACAATGGCCACTTCTGACAGGTGTTCTCGACCGGCTAGGGGTTGAAAGGAAAATATTTACGACCTGACAAGTTCTAATTGTGATCAGCTCTGCAGGGCCTCCCATTTGGCAAGGTGAAAGGAAAGGGGAAAAGAGAAAAAAAAAAAGGAAAGAAAGAAAGAAAAACAGCAAGAGGAGGTCCCGACCATAGCATTCAGGATATCCTCCTGCATGGATTGACTAGTCCGGGCTTGGTTTATTTTTGTCCATAACTATCATTCTTGATGTCGATCCACCCGGCTGCACATACTTAGTGATCTTCCCGTAGGCTCCAGAAGGATCGCCTGACAAGGAGGGAAGAAATGAAAAAAAAAGTAACAATGAATTCAATCTTCGCGCAAGCATTTCACACGCACCTTTTTTTCCGGGTCTACGGGCGATCCTGTCGCATGGTAGGACTGGGTCCCCGATCGATCATTCTTAAGATAGCGTACGATGCCAAAGATAGCTTCTTATTCTTCTGATTTACTCCGTGAAAAGCAAGAAGCGTCAGTCTTTGTGGGTGGAAGGGTTATTTGTACGGAACACGGCGTCATAGTAGGGTCGGGTCTATAGTTAGGTGTGGTGTTTACTGTAAAAAGGAACCGATGGATCTAGGATACGCCACGCACAGCCAGACTGAGGAGATAAGGCCGCAAGAACTGCGCCAAAGTAACCGCGCCACGCTACATGGAAATTCATCCCAAGTCACAAGTATGCGGCATCCTAGTCATGAACATTGAAGACATACCCCCGGGACTAAAGCCGGACATGACCCGGCGGACCGGCGACTGCCGCGCCAGCCCCGAGATAAGCAGAGTGGCCGGCGCCGAAGATCAAATTTGGGGCTTGTTTATTTGATGCTGTGAGTGGGAGAACTACTGTACGTACTTTTTAGCACCCCTTTACTATGGTAGGTACTAGCAGATGGTCGCCACTTAGCGATCAGAGAGTCCCCATCTGTTGTCGTTGAAGCAGGGCAAGGCGCGCGGGCCACTCGGCCCCAGCCACTTGTTAAGGCTGTGTGGCTCTGCACTATTTGCACGGCGGAATCTTTTTGATATATTATATGATGGGTATGATCCAAGCCTCCTTTCGTCCCACACTTTGACCAGGAGTGATAGTCAGGTTGATGATTTCATCAATCACCCCGGAGTCTAATTCATGGGGTGTAAGCATTTAGCTCGACTGCTGCAAGTCAGCCAGAAAGGCCAGGCTTATCTCGGGTGCCGTGACTAATGGCGGCATTTTCATGAGTAACGCTGGCTGTCAAACTGTCAACTGATAAGCCTGCATGTCGACTTGCCAGGGATGACGAATAGGCGGTCCGATAGGGGAGTCCTGGACTCGGACTTTTGCATCGCACTTCATTCTACTTTTTGGGATTTTCGACGGCGTAGAGGGTTCGCTACTGGTTACTCGCTATATGGATAGATAGATATCGTCTATCATCCCCTCTTGGGCTTTGTCTGGCGTGGGTGGCTTGTTGCGCCCCAACACCACCGCTAGATAGCTACTTATTGCAGGATGTACTACCAGTCTGCCAGAGGGTTGTGTGGATGGCGAATGGGGAGGGAAATGGGAGAATGGCCCTGGTTCCTTCGTGATCCACGCCACGTCACGTTGCTTTTCCCAGAAGGATGAGGCCTGACGATCGGTCGATGGGCGCAAATCGGCCCCGCGAGGAAGAAGAATGATGGCTCACAATGGATTTGTTACTGATCAATTCGACAGGTGTTACTCCGTCGTGGGGATGGTCAATTTAGATAGCAGGCGCAGAAGAGACTACTGAGTTTAGTAGACTTACGTCGTAAGGAGACAACGCTGGAAGAGGCCTAGTGGTCCCCGTGATCCCGGAATCCGAGTCACGGTTTATTGTTCCTTATCGCGTGTTTGGGTAACCATCCCATCCATCATGGATCACTCTCACTTTCCACCCGCTGACTAGCTCGCCATGCTCCATCGGGGTTCATCGCTTTACCAGCCTTCCTAGGTATCTCTCCATCTAGTCTCTCCCGTACTGGCTAACAGCTAGCTTCCTCCGCTCGAACTCTATGACACTCCCCTCACCCTCCCCACCATTCAACGGCTCTGTTACCCTCTTTCGTCCGGTTCTTCTCTATCGGAACCCACCTACGGAACCGTTGCCACGCCCTTGGTGATCCCTGCCATTCGTCCTCGAGCCTTTGGTCTGGGTACCCGGGCTCCCTTAGTGCCTTGGCCGAGCGTGGTTCCTCGGGCGGATTTTCTTTTTCGTATATGCTTGTTCCTTTTTGCTTGCGGATGCCCGCTAGAAACATGGTCCGTCCCATGCTCGGCTGATTATCATCCTCAGGGCTTGCTCGGGTCCCCGTGGAAGGAAAGCCTGCGCGATGCCCGGAAGAAAGTACCTGTTCCCCTCTTTCGCATCTTTCTTCAAGGCCCGTGATCAATACTATTGATTGGATCCTTCCAATAATGCCGTGGGTATCCCTTGCTGGGAGCTTGATAAGCCTCGTGTCCACCAGTGAGGCCCGCCACCCTCCGCCGGCTGTATCCCCCGATATCGAGGCATCCCCATTGGGTTTTATGTTTATTGACTTAATTACCGCTTTCCAATTATCTGAATATCATTCTTGGTTTTGTCCGTTGCAAGGTTTATTCTCCTGGGCCCTTTATATCCACCCTCCGTCTGTTTTCCGGATGTCTTTTCTGACAGCCGCTTGCTGTTTGTCCGTAACGAGCCATGTCTGTCCTACTCGAGTCTGGCCGGGAATAGGTACCCTGTGACTTTCCAACCCTTCCCCCCCCGTCGTTATAATAGATGTCCGCTCCCGCCTGCGGGGAATCTCCCTCTCTTGGCCCAGATCGCCATGAGTGCGAAATGTCGGCGCCCATCACGTCACTCTGGTGGCCAGAGGATCGGGTGAAGGCCACCCTTTGCCCGGAATACATTTTCAGCCACCTACCTTCCAACATCCTACATCGTCTCGTGAACCCCTTACCCTGGGGAGAGGGTCTGACTAGCGAGTCTTACCTTGACTGGATCCTCGCCAAGGCCGGTAGACTCTTCCTGATACTCGTTGACATCGAAATTCCGGAACGGATCTTCGCGTTGGTGGATGAGTCGCTGGACGACTCGGATTTACCATTTTCAGCCCCCAGCGCCAGCCGTCTTCCTCTATCAGCTGAAGGCGACCATGCAGATCTCGCCAACAAATTCTTCCTCGCTCAATGGCGGTTTACCGTGCGTGGGATCAATGAAGGCGACCATATCAAGTATACCCAGAACGAGGGGGTGCCCGTGGAGCTTCTCCGGACCGGGACGGCCCTAGTGAGGGAGGGCGTGGAGAAGGTCGTCCTAGCGGGTTCCAAGTGCCGTGTACTTCTGCGGACGCAGGTCACCATTGGGGGCGCACCGCATTTCTTCGAGGAAAATGAGGTGTTGGAAGAGATCCGCTCTCTGAGGAGGCTAGCGCACAACCATGTCTACTCGATCTATGCCTCTTACTTCGTGGACACTACCGTGTGCACTCTTTTTTCGGGTGTATACGAGCGTACACTGATGTCCTTCCTTACCGATGTGCCTCAACCATTTAAACGCCTCCCGAAAAATGAGCGCCGGGAAATCCTGGTCAATTGGCCTCATTGCTTGGCTAACGGACTGTCGTGGTTACATGCGCACAGCCAACCTCACAGTCTGATTCGCCCGTCCAATATCCTGATCGACGCCGAATTTCGGATTTTTCTGGGCCAGTTCGAGGCGCTTGATACCCTTCTGTCCCCGGTCAAGCTGGATGACGTCGAATCATATCAGTATGGTGCCCCAGAGCGCTGGGTGCGTTCTGTCAGTATTCAAGATACAAACCTACCGCGCCCCAATATCGCTCTTCCATCCGGAGGACGTTCCGCCCGCAAACAATCCGCGTCACGTCCGTCACTCCTGAGCCTATCTCGATTCCGAAGCTCTCAAGCATCGGGCCAGGACTCGGATATGCCGCGTGCGGATTCAGTTACATCGCAGGGGACCGCCATACGTATCGGCCTGCGGGGCTCCCCTTCCCGGATGTCTTTTACCAATTCTTCCTCCTCAGGGTCGAGCACTGGGAGCACTCGCAAGCGCGTCATATCGTCTATGAAACGGCCTATGTTCTATACACCGTCCATCACTTCCTCGAATTCCAACTCATCGGGCTCCTCTAACGCTCCGTCTACTGTATATAGTCAGTTCGGATATCCAATCATCGGCTCTAATGCCGCAATAGTTCAAACATGGCAAACCCGTCAGACTGATCCAGAAGCTTCAGACATCTTCTCTCTCGGAGCGGTGATCTTGGACATCTTCACCCATTTATGCAAACGCAAGCTTTCTGCCTTTGCTCACCACCGCGGGGCTAAGAACCGGACCGCTGGCCGTGGTGGCGGCGTTGCAGACTGTTCATTCCATCTAGACCGGAACGCCGGCCAAGTGAGTTCGTGGATTACCTTACTCGACAGCGATGCGAAGAAACACAAGGATCCCATCTTCCAGGCTGTTCGACCAATGCTTACCGTTGTGCGAAGCATGCTGAACAGAGATGCCATTGACCGTCCGTCCGCGTATCAGGTCGAGCAGCTTTTTGCCCACTCACTCCAGAAACTGGACGGAACTCTGAGTCTCCACTGCACCTCCGATCTGCAATGCCACGCCCCGAGATCAAGAAACCCATTGCGTCTCGGTGCAAAAGCTGCTACATCCTCGGACAGACTAGTTGTCCCACGAGCCAAGCCGCCCGGGGTCAGATCGCCATCCCCTAGTAGCCTTTTGACTGCAGAATACTCGTCTAGCTCCGGCGGACCTGTGAGCCTGCAACCGTCCCCTTCACCGTCCGCCTCCAGCTTCAGCCTACCTGATCAACAATGGACGGACAACTACGTCTACAGCAGCGACACAGACCAAGAGCACGACAGATATACATCCTCTTCCTCGTCCTCTCCTGCCCCGTGGCGCGATCCAGATCAGGCATTAAGTCCCGCAGCGCACAACGATCCAACATGGAATTACAGCATTGCCCTCGGGAAGCGTTAAGCACTGCTGATCACACATTCCAACCACCTAAATATAGGCACCCACATTCCACACAACCATATCTCATCCATGGCCACCCGAAGCCCCACACTCCTTCACAACTGTAGCATTGACACATACTCGACCCGCTTGGTCGCTGAAACCTCACTGGCATTTACGGAGTACGGTGTTCTGCTCTGCATCCCTTCAACATTACCCTGTACACACACACCTTGCTTGTCCTGTATATTCTAGCCTTTCGGGTTTCTTCCTCTTGAGGCTTGTCTTTTCTTCCTCTTATCTCTATCTCTCTTACTAATCCGACAGCCTCACCTGATGACTGATGACGAATGAACCCTGTTTCTGGTGTGATATCCTTTTCTTTTATCTCCCCTTATTTTATCTTATATTGTCTGTGCTTAGTGATTATTAATTCCTTGCTTCGGCAATTTTCTTTCTTCTGATCTACTCTTGTGTTTCATATTTCAAAGTTACTGTAGTAGAAGTAAGAGATCATCAACCTTGTTACTTAGGGAAAGAGGAAACAAATTCAACAAACAAATCAATGTATTTATTCATTTCATTACGGCTAGCCAGTAACCAGGTCATATCATGCACGGCGATGTTTTACAGCACTCTACATATCCTTCCTTCCGAACTACACCGAAGTCATAGTCAAGTCATAAGATCGAAACATGATCCATCCAATCACTTACAACCAAACGACCACGCCCCCCATAAATGCACAAAGCAAGAAAGATACATCAATGAGGCGGTAAAACCCCCCGAGCTGCATCATGGCGGACCGCGAAGTCGCCCCGTTGCTGACCACCTCTTTGGACGGGGAGGTGGAGGCCAACTCGGTTGCGCCGAGGTTGGATTGGTTGATGTTGCGGGAGATGTTTGGGCTGTCTGAGGCGCTTGAGATCCCGGGAGCGGTGGTGGCAGAGGCTGATGGGGCGGCGCGGTGGAAGGTCTGTCCCAGGGTGGGTAGGGGAGAGCTGGGGTCGATGGCCCAGCCACCTGGGGTGGATGCCGGACATTCCGGGGGGGAAATGGTGGATGTGGATGCGCGGTAGTCGGATAGGGCCACGCCCGTTGGGGTCAACGTCGCCCACTGCGCTTTCAGGTTGTCGAAATCGGGAGCGATCGGGGTGGGTTCGCCTTGGCGGGTGAAGCCGTCCTGGACGAGGGCGTTGGTTGGGGGCGCGTCGGGGGCGAGAGGACCATAGTTTATCAGGCCGTAGTCGTTGGTTTCTTCGATCCATTCGTAGATCATGGCGCCAGACCAGGTGCCCGACATGGGGTCACTGAAAATAGCAGCCTGGTCGCCGAAGGTGCGTGGTCGTGCAACGTTACATCCGGTCTCTGAGAAGAAAATCGGGATGGGATAGCCCGCGGCTTGGTCTTGGAGGGACTGGTAACCGGACTGCTCATATGAGGAGTCACCGCACCATTCGTAGGCGTTTAGCGCGAAGAAATCCAGGCGTTCTGCAGGGTCGGGCCGGCATGCCAAGTAGTTTTGCAGCATGGGTCGCAATTCGGCGATATCAGCTGCTGAGTATCCTACCGGGATATTCCGATAGTGCTTCTCGTCGCGGTAGGATTTGAGGTCGCGGGCTGCGGCGAGGACGTAGGGCGCGGCGGGGGAGCCCTCCTTGGTGGTGAGCACTTCGTTGCCGACAAAGAACCCCGCGGTGTTGTCATATTGTTGGAACTCATCGAGCACGGCCTTGAAGCGATCGAACTGGGACTGGTCCCACTGGGGGTTATCCTATACGAACCAACACAGTCAGCACGCTCGGATGGTCTGGTGATCGGGCATGGAGTGCACCACGGACCTGATTAATTTGCGTATCGAACGTGTCGAGATCGACGAACAGGTAAATGCCAGCGTCCGCAAAAGCTTTCATGCATCCGTCGTGGTTGGCTTGGGGATCCACATGGTACACCCGGATGGCATTGGTGCCCAACTCGGCCATGCGGGTCGCATCTCGCGTGCATTGAGCGGTGTCAATCAGGGGATCGTCGGGAACGAGCTGATAGGCGATGCCTAGACCATCTGGTCAGTGCGGGATTGCGGGCGACCTCGTGGGTCGAATAGCGCACCTTTGATGTAGTACTGCGTGCCATCCTCGTAGAAGAATTTGGCGCCGACAGCCGAGATGGTCTGAATGGCATTTGCAGTGGAGGGACTCAACGTGTTGAGGAGGAGCGAGAGCGCCGTTGCAGATGACGACCAGCGTGTTCTGACCATGCTTCGCAGTGAACTGTATTCCCGGGTAGACAGAAGGGAAATTTTGCGATTTCAGGTGCTTCTGACGAAGGCCCAACCGAATGATGACAAGAAAGCCAATTGACAGTCTGACAGACCAGCACCAACGGAGAATAGAGAAACAATGGATGCACAAGCAGAGACAGCAAGGCTTTTCTGTGGTCTGACAGTGAATATTCCTAAGATAAGACAATTCACCCAAGCAGTCACAGACAGCAAAGGGACAATAATGCAGACTCAACCATAGAAGAAGAGACACGAGGTTTAATATGTGACGAACAAACCATGTAGTCATTCACCAGAAACCTTGTGAGGATTGTCCTGGCGCCCGGCCATACCAAGGTACCGCGTGTTCCCTGGAGGAGACATAACTCGGAGTCGAGTCTGCAGGGCGAGTGACGTTGAAAGAATTCTGCAGGAGCATTAATCTCATCGTGGCACTCGATTGCATTGGAGCAGGCATGCTATCTCCGGGGAAGATGGAATGCAGTACGATCGAAGGGATGCGAGGATCGACGACATGGATGTACTCTGCACCGTGCAACAAGGTTGCCGCGAAGTATGTACATCCTACAGAGTATGTTTTCGCGTCGGAGTTACCAGGACACCACATTCAATAATGCTGTGGACGACATGAGGAAGAGACCGCTACTCGGTCAACAGTAATGTAGTGACTACTCGGTAGGGAGGGATCTGAGATTCTAAGAAAAGTAACCGTGATTGTTCCTGGCCCGAACAGGAACCCCCTGTGTTCACGTGACTACAGGGGACTGGAGGGCGGCCCTGATTAGTCAGAACCAGACCAGCCCTTGAATGTCAAGGGAGGGGCAACCGTCAAGACAAGCAATTTAAGAATTAATTGCTTCTTCTTGCATGAAACCGGTGGATCATCAATATCGCCATTAAATATCCGGTTTGATCGCCTGGATTCAGAGCGTGAGACAACCGGGTGGCCGCCATTCATCTCCCAAACGATAGTGGCTAATAACGCTAGCGGATGGTGCTATTAATATGGGCTCCATCACCGACGTCAAGATCGAAGCGGAACCTGGCCAGTCGCAAGGGCTCGCCCGGGCTTGCCCGCCCCCTATTCGCCCAGTTGGGCTTCCGGTCTCGCCCAGCGCGACCGCACGAGGGCCCAGGGGCCTTGGCAACGATCGAGACCCTGGCGGACCCACGGACTAAATAATTAGGATCTCCTGGAGATGGGGTCTGTTCCCTCCCGGGTTGACGCCTGACGTGGATGCTTTCCCCCAAAATCACTGCAGGAGGAAAAGAGAAAATTGAGAAAAAAGAATGGAAAAAAGCACCGAGAGAAGGCACCGTGAGATCTGCTGTATCCATCGGTAGGACCACCCCCGTGAAGGATGGGGGGGTCCAGGGGATGCACGCAGCAATGGCGGCCAGATGGCGGGCTAGCGAGAGCGGATCGTCACCGGCTTGCGTGGATGACGGGGCCTCACCTGACTTGGGCTTCCTTCCCGCATGCGTGCCATTTCCTTCCAAGGAATTTCGTTAACGTCTCATTTCCTCCTTTTCCCTTTTCATTTCCTGCTTTCC